TTATTTAAAATTGTAATTAATTGACCAATCTGGTAATGCAAGGCCATTAATACTGTTTGTTTACGAACGCCTTGGGGGTGGGACATCTGCATAAAGACCGTCGGTTACTTTGATCCTAAAGGAACCGAAAGGCCGTGCGCGCGGCCCGGCAATTGGACCGTTTCTTAAACGTATAAAATGCAGTATGATTCGTACATACGAATCCGTTTGTTCTCGTTCTTCACGCTAATGATATCTAACACCTGGAAACTTTCAGACGCAAAATAAACCTTTCCTTTTCTTATTATTTTTTTGTAATTTAATCTTCCCGGCTGTTATGGATTGTGCGGATTTCGTTGACAGTGGTTTGCGCGTCGACGCGCAGGAAACCACCATATCGTCGGCATTGGCAACAGGTACCTTGACGCTTGCTGTTACGAGTGAAGTGATAAAATTTCGTTTATAGATTTTGTTGTGAAGCATGTTTGCAGGTTTTCTAATGTTTGACTACAACCTTTAGAGATCCGGCCTACTTCATCTAGCCCGCATGCTGATTCCGATTCAACTAACCAGCAGTCAACCCTTCCGCCGGAACCAACTGCAGATGCTGTAACCCTTCCGCCGGAACCAACTGCAGATGCTGTTAACCACGGGCAGCGTAAAACTTACGCTTGGCGTTTAAAGCCGGGCATGAGTATACACAATCCGCGTTCTCGCATTGTTCTTCCCGCCAGAGGGGTCGTTTATTCGGACGAAGAAGATGAGTCCGAGGTTGCAAAAAAAAAGGCGAAAGGCAACGATTTGCGTGTCGACACGCAGCAGACGGACAGCTCCAAAATTCCGGAAAAGAATGAAAAGGAAATTCGTAAATCTGCGCTCCCCAAAAAGCCGAAGAAGAAGGGATTCATGTGAATGGTTGAAATCATCGTTACGTGACTTTTGGGTCCTGTTATTAATACGTGAAATAGTTTCTTAACTTTGCCGAATCAAAATTCATTAACGTTTGTTTGCCTAGAGGTTACTTGGTTAGGTTACCGGAGCTTTTCTGTTACTTTAGCTTCTTCCTCTCAATGTTATCGAGTTTACATAATTACATTAAGTTACGCAGGGTTTCGTTTGTTGACGTTAGTCCTATGATTTCTTGATTCTGGTTACTGATGTTACGAAACTAAGGCCCATTAACAACGCTTGGTTACCTTTGGTTACCTTAAATACCGGATGAGTTTAAGTAACGGTAGTTACAATACAGCATTAGTGGCTTACAATACCTTCGGTTAATTGAATTACCGGTTTAGCTTTAGGTCATTTTTCAGCGTTCAGACTTTTTTAGGTTACGTTGGTGTAAATTAAATTACTTTGGTTACCTTAATTACCGATAAAGTTAGCTAACGTTGCAATTGTAAGACTTCTTCAGGTAACACTTTGTTACGTTGAATCCCACTTGATGACCTTTGGTAACTCCTACTAACCGGCTAAGTTTCAGTAACGTCACAACGTTAAGACTTCTTGAGGTTGCACTGGTTTACCCTTAATCCCATTTGATGACCTTTGGTTACTTTAATGAAGTGACGTTACCACGTTAAGTCAACTTTAGGTCATGTTGGTGTAGGTTAAATCGCCTTCGTTTACTTTAGTTACCGGTTGAGTTAAGTAACGTTGCCACCTTAAAAGTCCTCTTGGTTACATCGGTGTACGTTGTTTTCTGCATGGTAACCTTTCGTTACTTCAATTGCTGGATCAGTTAAGTAACGTTACCACGTTGAATCCCACTTGATGACCTTTACCGATGTTGGTTACTTTACAAAGGGGTTGACTTTGAGTAACGTCACAACGTTACGACTTCTTGAGGTTGCACTGGTTTACCTCAAACCCCACTTATTGACCTTTGTTTTCCTTAAAATTATGATTAAGTTTCAGTAAAGTCACAACGTTACTAAAACTGTTATACTGATTTTGTGAAACTGTTTATACGTGACATATCTTGTGCTCAGTGTTATTTTGGTTATTTTGTTATATAATGTTACGTTACAGGATCTAAGGTCACACTTACGTACAATTGTTTCCGCTTGGTTTCGTCTGTATACTTAAGTTACTAGCTTATTTTAGGTAAAAATATTATAACAATACGACTTCTTTAAATTACGTTGGTATGCGCTAAATCCCTCTTTGTCACCTGTCGTTTCCTTCATTACTAGTTCAGTTGAAGTTTAGGCTGTTTTGGTTGCACTAGCTTGCATTGAATTCCGTTTAGTGCCCTTTGGTTACCTAAATTACCGGTTGAGTTAAAACAGCGTTACAACGTGAAGAATCCTTTAGGTTACATCGGTGCACGTCGAATTCCGCTTGGTGACCTTTGGTTACTTCAGTTGCTGATTGAGTTTAATAACGTTACCGCGTTAAGAATCCTCTTAATTACATCGGTGCACGTCAAATTCCGCTTGGTGACCTTAGGTTACTTTAATTACCGGTTCAGAAATTACGTTACAGCATTAAGACTCTTTTAGGTTACGTTTAACTTTATGTGGACCTAACGATGCGCCATAGAACAGCTCCGGCGGTACTGCTTCAAACGAAGCTCTATAGTTCTATACCAAATGAAAACGGCAATCAGGTCTTATTGTTTTTTACCATAATTTTATCAGGGTCTATATTATAGCGAATCCGTAATTCTACATCTGTGTTTAGGAAATTATCTGAAAAAGCTAAAATTAGCTTTGGCGACAGTTCATAATACCAGTTACCCTTACGGCTATACACACCGGAACGGCTTAGGCGTAAAACACAGGACAATAAAAATTCAGTCCAGTCTTCATGCTTAGTCAATTTAAAACTGTTCCACGGTCGAAAATTTAAAAAAACCCCTTTTATTAATTAGTTTATTTCGTTTCCCGTTTACGCTTTATCCACGCTTCAGTTTCTGCTCGCAAATTGTCAGCAGGTTTGACTTGGTCCATCGTCCGGTAACACTGACGATTAAATGGATCCGACTTTACGGATAACAAGTGCCGAGCGATGGTGGTGATGGCGAGCTTGTGATGACAGAATCTTCAATCAGTAATCGCCGTACAAATTTCCGCCTAAAATACCAGCTTAATTAGCATTTGTCGGGTCTAATTTTAGCGTTATCAAAATAACCAGCCTGACGACAAATCCGCACAGCCGGATCGATCATTATCACCATTTATTTTCCTTGTAATAAGATGAAATATAAACTGAAATCCTTAAACAAACTGTAAATTCCTCTAACCTGATTGCCAAACACTCGAAAAGCCGCCGCCCCCGACACCTCCTTGGTGCAGAACCAGAAGGGCAGACAGGCGCGCCTGAAGTCCCAGAATGAAGATCTGCGACATGGCCGCAACGGTCTGCCCGACGAAAGTAACCACGTAGCACTTGGAGACAGCGCTGAAGCACTTAATTGCGCTGCCGATGAAATTCCCTAATGATCCGATTAAAGCCACCACCCGCAAGCCTTTTCTATCCAGCCGCCACGTCGCCGGAAACACCAGCGGAATATACGTCAGCATGTAAATCATGGACAGCCAGTCCACCGACAGCGGCGAGACGCCGTAGTAGAATACCATCTTATCGCTAATAATCCCGTATTCAATACACTGAAAGGCATTGCTCGTGGCATACAGACAGAAAGCATAATCAAACGCCGGGGTGTGGTGCGGTTCAGCGGCGGTTAAGATTCGTCCACAATCGGAATATCCCCGTCGGTGGTCTCGCGTTCCTCCTTGCCGCAGATCTGTCGGACAATACGGGCGAACAAGTCGGAGAAATTGAAGGCGAAAGCGTTGGATTCGCGGCGCTGCAGACGCTTATTGGGTACATCGACCGGACTGCCCTCGGCGCGCGGCTCCATCTTTTGGTAACTACGGCTGGGTCCTGTCGGTGATCCGACGGAGGGTGAGGAATATTCTCGTAATTCAGCATTGTCGTTATTAAGTCCATTAGGCCTGATATTACCCGTCGTGCCAGCGGCGGTAAATACGCTGTCGTCGGCTGGCCTAGACGTGCTAATCACAATTCTTGGCGATTTCGCTGTTTGCAGCGGGACTTTGGCCTTGGCTTCTTCGTCGCTGTCAAATGCCATTCTGTCACATTGACAATCAGGAATGTGGGCCCGGACACCGCAGCTGTGGAAAACGAGGAGATAACCTGCAAATTTTGCAACAATGTACGCTCCGCTTTGTCCTAGTTAACACGTTGGACAATATGTGCAGAAACACGGGCACTTGTCAACCGTGGGAAAATGCAAACGTTAATAATTCTACTTAGATTTTGTAGAATATTTTGGCATCGACCCGTATTTACGAAATTCCTCAAGACTGGCAATAATGGGTCTCACAAGACAACACGTCAGCGAGAACACGACGCAAAAAATACAAACGAAGAGAACCGCTAACTTGCTTGCATAGGAAGTTCTCTCAAAGACAGTCTGGCAAAAATGATAAATACTACCAGAAAAGAATCAATCGGAACTCGGTCTTATTCTTTCAAGTCAAGAAACTAGGAAATATCGACCGATTCAGCAGCTCGTTAGGCACTGCTACAAGTATGAAATTCACTCAGAAAACTGGACGCCATTTCACTTACATAATTACATTAACCCACGAACCGAAACTCAACTTATAATTCTTTGCAGACGGAGAAACGTTTATCTAAAAAGAACACAATCAGAAGTAACAAAAAAGCGAATTTCATCCAGACTAAATTAGAAACAAGACAACCGCATACCAGTTGAATTATGCCTTGATACAGAAACAATAATTATGACATAAATTGATGCGTCTGAACAGTAGCGCCTTATAGTGATTTTATAGTTTCTGCCGTTTCAAAGACTTCCGGTGCTTAAAGTAGTCGTAACCGCCCGGTTCGGCAGCGTAATGCAGTATTGTTTGCCACCCGCCATGGGGCGAGCTTTTAATGTGGCGCACGTGCTGTTGCGTCAGCGGCCATATTGGTTTTCAGTTTTGACTGCAACGCCGCAAACGAAGATCTTCAGTGATGTGGAGATAGCTTTTCAGAGCTCTTGATTTCGTTTCATTGTATGGTTCACCTAGATTTCCTTTATGTTTAAATTACATATTTCAGAATGAATTTCTAACGGTTATCATTGCGTCTGTCGACTTATGTTTTGTATACGTCAAACTTATAGTGAGTATGCCAAAATGTGTTAGGAATGTGATGACACGGTCGAAACCAGTTTCCGGGGCTCGAAGATCTGAATGCAGTGCATGGTTTAATTTAACTTTGTCTTGGGATTATACTAAAAATCAATATGCTTATTTGCAGCTAAACCCTTTTTGAAGAACGTGATGATCGAGTAACGGCATTTGTGGAGCCCTTCGTGATTTTGCTTATTCTTATTGTTGATGCAGTCGTGACTCGTCGGAGTGTGGCATGTAAGAAAATCACCGTGTTTTTCGTTGAGAAACTCTGGTATTTTATTCTCTGTCGTACGTTTATTCAGTTGTTAGTTTTCTTCAAATTTTTATTTATTAAATGAGAGAAAGTTTCACGAGATTGTGGCGTTTTCATCGCTCACCTCGTCAGCTGTATGAATGCGCAGATTGGTCACTATTCGCGGATAGCGCACGTCTGTTTGACGTGTAGAAAAAATAATCCGATTTTATTACTGTAATCGTTTTATTGTACGTTTTCGAATTTCCACGGTTTCGACAGCTTTCGGGTTTGTTTGCACAGGACATCGTTAGCCGTTGTTTATGGTTTATTTTTATTTGCAGCTAAACCCTTATGGGCCCTTATTTTGGAACAATTCGACGATTTATTAGTCGAGATTCTCTTGCTCACGGCTATCATTTCCTTTGTAAGTACCCTGATTAATATTGCTATTTAAATTTGACAAAATTGTTCTAACTGTTCTGCAACCGAATTCGATATTAATACAGCGAGAGATTTTCTCGTTGAGTTTTTATTTGATTAATGACGGTTGATTCAGTCGGTTTCCGCATGGCAGATGGTGATACATGATTGATATATGCTGCCATGTGATGTATTTCATTTGATTTCCGCTATTGTGAGTTTTTATATAATTTTCATTAGAATTGTTGCTTTGGAATCGCAATTCAATTACATGATTCCTGTTTGTACAGGTTCTCGCCCTTTTTGAAGAACATGCTGAACGAGTAACGGCATTTGTGGAGGCCTTCGTGATTTTGCTTATTCTTATTGCTAATGCAGTCGTCGGAGTGTGACAGGTAAGAAAACCATTAGTATTTTGCCAAAAAATTCTTTTTCAATTTTTTACTGATTGGAAATTAATGTTAATTTCGCAGTTCATTTTTGTTTCAATATTTTACGGGTTTTCAGTATTGTGAGATTAATGAGTTTGTCTCATTGATAATTTGGCGGTGCTACATTCGAAAATTAGGACATTCCAGGCCGATTTTCAATCGTCGCCTTGAACCTTGATTTTTGTTCCACGGCAGTCAAAGTTGCGCGCATCAGCACGATATGGGGTGTTGTTCCGATTTAGAACGCGGGATCATAGGAGGAATGCGCGAGTCTGAGAATGTTTAATGAGAAAGAAGAAACGCTATTAATAAATTCAGGAGTGATAAGTAATAGAATGTCAGAATGTGTGTGTACAGAGTGCTGTAGTACATAGCTTGTATGGTGTGCTGTTGCTGCTGCTGGTGTGTGTTATAAATGACATTTTCCTCTTCAGGAGTGATGTAACGCCTTGTCTAAACAAGTAGTTTGTCGCGAAATGCAGCAGAGAGTCTGCGCTCGGCTTGGAGCTGTGAGAACTTGCATGGAAGAATGCAGCGAGGGTTCGTTACGGCGCTGTGCCTGTAGAGAAAGGCATAATTATGCGGTGATCGCTCAAGAAGGCGAAAATATGCGGCTAGAAGTAAAGGAGTTAGCAGCGTAGCATCCGTGTACGTAGGTTTAGGTATTTTTTTCGACGAAGAGTTGAGGAGAACGAGAGACTTCTTAATAAACTCTTTAATGTTTATAGAAACTAAAAATTTTTTGAAGCGGTGAATAATTGCGTGTACATGAAGGCATTTTCAAGGTGGAACGCTGTGTGTGAGGATGTAGAATTTCGCGTTTGCTGCGTTGGAAGAGCCCGACGTTACGTTATTTGCGATTAACTTGTTTTTTATGGCTCTAAGAAATAAATACTCGGAATCAGTATTTCGCAAATTTTGAATGCTGGCCTGTGTGAAAGAATTTCCCATTCTTTTTATTTTATGTTTTCAACGCAGATACATACTTGTTATACATCGCTTACAGGTACATGCCTTACGTCGCAGTTTTGTTGATATTCTACTTTTTGTAACTTAATAAATTTGGCGGGGAATTTTTAACTGGGTGACAAAGTAGCTGGCATGAGAAAACAGCAAAAATGAATAATGGTCTTGATGTGATCCGAACAATTAGCTACAGTAGCTGTCTGTTAATTGAGCACTATTAACGTGCGAGTATTTTTAGATGTTAATATAATTAGTTGTGCGATAAAGCATTAGTTTGTGCTGATCGCAAAATGCCTTCATGCTTTTTGCCGGTTGTACATGGGCTGACATTGACAATGCGCGCGCTACGAGCCGAGATCATGTGCAGGCGATGTTATGCAACAATGTTTGCTTGTGGGAACGTTTAGAATTTCAAGATTGATAATTTCAAGGCGGTTTTATGGTATCACATAGGGTAAATTTCAGTTCTAACCACCTGATACAGTTGTTGCACAAATGGTTTCAACATTTACATTAGCGTAAAATAGGGTGGTATTTTGAAAATGTCTGTGCGATTATCGTAGGAAGGGAACGCCGAAAGCGCCATTGAACCGCTGAAGGTGTATGAGCCAGAAACTGCCAATCATCTGATCAGATAAGCACGGTATCCAAAGAATACGAACCAACCAAATTGTACCGGGTGATTTGTTTGAAATCAGTGGTAAGTATGGCGATTTTTGTGAATTTGAATTCTATAATACTGATTTTAATTTGGCTGTGTTCTAAACAGTTATCGTGAGTTATATGTTGATTTTATTTTGGCTGTATTTTCAACAGTTGGTGACAAGATTCCCGCGGACATTTGTCTCACGAAAATTATATTGACGATGGCAGATCTCAAGAATATCAAAAGAAACGCGGAGGTATGTTCTATTTTACCTAGCTATTTTTTAGAATAGCTGTTTTAATTAGCACAAGTTATTTACACATGTAAATGAATTAAATACAATTTGTGATTTCTCGCACTCGTGGGATAAACTGTCGATTGGCCTTTTGCAGATCTGAGTTCTCTGATCTAGATTTATTTCAGTATAAAATGCTTAAACGTGCTTTCTATCTGATGTTCATGTCTTACAGCGTGCCCGCGACTCGTTTAAATGTATGGTACATCAGACGCCTGACGGAGACGACTACAACATAACGCCGTGCTGTGGAAACATTATGTGCACGGCATGCTTTGCGATGCTAGTGCAGAGTGAATTAGATAAAAACAAGGACAAGAAAGCGGGAGAGAAGTTATTCCAACATCTGTGCCCCAGCTGTCGCAGGTACGTTAGTTTTATTAATTTAAGTTTAGTCCTATACTTCTCATTTTCTTGATTCTTGCGTGTATGATTGTTTTCTTTTTTACGCGCAGCCCGAACTGGAAGGCGCTACGCAATCTCGGCTGGATAAAAGGAGCAGCTGATGACAGCGGCAAAACAGTGGACAGTATCCAGGCCGCAATCGCCGTTGGCGGTCGACCGCCATGCCTGGATGCTGATGCCCAAACCGTTCTTCCGATTACTGCACAGGCTCCTCAGTCGCACATGCTATTTTGTCGACACGTGTCTGAATTGGTGTTCCCTCTTTTGGACGAGCGCGCTGTCCAAAACGGATACATATTGCTGACGGGAGTTGAACTACGACTACTTTACCTGCTGGACCTTGCCGCCGCGGATTACGCTTTCTATAAGCAAGTTCACTGCAGTATAAATTTAAAATCATAATTTTAGCAGGCTTTTAATTATTTGTTTTTTGTAGATCGGAGAAGAATTACTTGGAAGCAACTGGAACACAGTATTACAAATTGTTCTAGAGCAATGAAGCGACGATATTCGAGTACGGCAATCTGGCAAGGCTGATGGAGAAGCTCGGGACACCCTTAGAAGTCGTGAAGTCTGCGGCTCTTCCAGAATTCCTTTTTCCTCCATCGGTTTTGAAGAATAATAGAGATTCAACTGAATTTGTTATGCAGTGGGTTGGACCTTTTGCTGTTGAAGGAAAAACGGAGGTAGTATTTGGATGTCAACATCCATAAGCAAATTACTACCTCGCTGTACTTTTTTGTTACAGTATGTTACGATGTTATTCGAACGTTTTGGGTTGGCGTCCCTCCGCAAGCCAATTGCATTCAATAAACCGCACGCTACAAAGGGCTCGTGCAAGCCTAAATGCGCGAAATGTCGGGTGAACGGCGCCATCAGAAACGAAGAAGAACATGCTTATAAAATGTGTGTAATCAATTATTATACCTATTTAAAAAATATTTTAGTGCTTATTGCTATTTATTATTCCAGGGAAGCGGATTTGCCGTACCGGATCATGTGCGCTTTGTGCGGTATTGATATCGAGTGGAATGAGATGCAGTATCATGTCCGAACAGTACATAAGGTGGGTGTACTGTGCCCCGATAAAATCGACTTTATTTACGGTGTATAAAATGTAGGTCAACCTACAGTGTTTTATTTTCTAGGACGCCACCTGGAATGTGTGCCGATGCTGGGCTCCTCTCGCTGGCCAGTATGCGCCGAGCACGCCGCACGGAGTGAGCTGTCCGCTGCGAACATTTCCCCTGATGACTGGCAAGCGCGGGGAACGATACCGGCACAAACCGTTCCCGCCGACCATAGAGAAACGCCCCGAGCCGACATTTCCGGACAAAAAAGAAACTGTTCGCGTGAATCTCGGGCTTGTTGTCCGAGAAGGTCGCGCTTGGTGGCAACTAACGTGGCCTTTATGAAGTGTCGGTCGACCGACAGATTGCTGTTCTTGCCATTACTTTGCTTTTTCGTTGTATTTCTGTTTTTGTTTGGCAAAAAAACTGTTCTTGACGGGCGATTTTGTTTGATCTTGTTTTTTTTAATGGGAAACGATGGATTAACATGTTATTTTTGATTGGGAAACCACGGATTAACAGTTTATGTAAATTTTGATTTGGCGTATAACGTGGATACAGATTTCATGTTGATATAAATCACTGTTCTATTCTGCTGCCCAAATCTCGCCGTTAATATAGTTTATGATGAACTGTTTAACACCTGAGGCATTTTGATGTAGTTTCGAAAATACTTTTTGACGAGGGGGTGAGTCTGCAGCCTCGTAATTTTCATGAGTAGCTTAGCCGCAATAAGACATCGTGCTGCCTTTTCACTTGACACCCACCGTTTGCGTCACGGGCAACTGATCTGAATTCACTTTTAGCAGCAGCAGCAGGCAGCACTCTGGGAAGCGGTTTAATTACGGTATGGCAGATATGCAAAAACTCCTGGCCTACGGATTAATTCCTCGGAAAATGTCATGCGGCCGAAGAAACGATCAATCGCTTATCGATAATCCCTGCCTCATATATGAATTCATATTCTAACGACAAGCAATGCTTTTTTCTTAACCTTGTCTATTCGTTTTTGCATCTCGTAAAGATGATATACATTATTTATGGTCGCGAAGAAGATACATGCACTTATAATTGTGAGATCTCCAAGGACCCGCGTTATGTCGGTTTTCTACGCCACTGATCTGATCTACTAATCGAAAACAATTCCGGGATCACCGTGTGGTGTTCGAATGTCACAAGTCACGGTCGACAAATAATCCCAGTGACTGCAACTTAGCATGTTGGCCTGAACATCGTTTTTACACCGAACCCAGCTTCCATCATGTTTTTGAAATTTTGAAAATGAATTTCAACAAATGAAAAACTTACTTTAAATTTGGGGACAATGTTGTAAACCTGGTTCGGTATCCGGGCTCGTTAAAACCGATCCTTATGCTAATGTGCGTTTTAGCGTAAAATTTGGTTCATAATGAGACGGGACATCTGAATGAGTTTAAACTTTTGTAATTTCCACACAGCCATTACCGGATCTTGCGCGCATAAACGGCTTTCACGCCAATGTATAATCTATCATTTTTTTCGCTACTTCGATTTAAACATTATTTGAACGGCCATTTTAATTAGTTTTACAAAGTTACACTGTTTTTATAAAGATACACAATTTCTTTTAAAGTTAAAATAAATATGAGAATTATTAGAATTTATTTTAAAATTCGGGAAATCAATTCGGAAAGAAAAATGCAAGAACCGTGGTTCGGCGTAAAAACGATCCTCATGTATATGTGCATTTCCATGCAAAATTTGGAGAAGATCGATTGAGAGACTTTCGGTACACCGGAATGCATTTAAACTTTTTTGAACTTTTCTTGCAGCCATAACTCCCGTAGCGGATGTTATACGCACAAACGGTTTTCAGGCTTACGTATGCAAATCCTCTCGCTATAGAATTTTGTAAAACACAGCAAGAAAGTGAATTTCGTCCATGTACAAGTACACGAATTTGATACCATGAGTCAGGCCACTTCCCTTAAATAAGTGAATACGACTTATACGAGTAGAAACAGACACAGAAATTTACGGTAAAATTAATCCCATCAATGTGCCAGTTCAGTAGACCGTTATTTAAATTGTTTAATTTAGATTTAATTGTATATTTTAGTTATAATTTTCTTACAGAAGTACTACTTATGAAAACCTATATAGGTTTTCTATATATAATTTTCTTACAGAATTACTACTTATGAAAACCTATATAGGTTTTCATAAGTAGTAATTCTGTAAGAAAATTATAACTAAAATATACAATTAAATTTAAATTAAACAATTATAGATATTAACTGGTAACATAGTACTCTGTACTTGCTATGTACAGCAAATTTCGCAGTACTTGCGCCTTGCGGTAGGTATTTTCGTTGAGAAATTGTGGGTTAAGTGAATATACTATAGTTGTTAGTGCAGTACCATGAAGTACTTGAAAGTCACCGTAAGAAGAAGACGTGAGAATCTCTGTAGTGTTTTTTTCCATGAAGATTTTTGTATTAAGGTAATGCCATTCCTGTGTAATATAGCCACGTGAGAATTTCTGTAGCACTGCCAAGGCTATTTGCGTTCCTTTTCGGAATGGATCCTGGAACGGCCACTTTTGAGCAGGGTCTGATGCGAAATTGCGGACACACTTGGTGGCCGCTAATGAAGCATGTAACCGACATCATTTCCACTTGCATCAAGCCGCGTAGAAAACCTCTGAGTCGTAAAACAAAGTATCTGTAACTATTTCTATGAGTAGATTATGGCACATGAAAAATATGTCAGAAACCGGTCGAAAAACCTGTTGTGGTTGAATAAGACCTGGAAAATTATAAATGTTACGACTAAAATTCGAAATCATAAAAAATTGAATTATTGCCGTGCACACAGCTAACACCCGTGTTTCCCCGTGCACACAGCATCGACCAAAGTTTACATGCAATGGTGTGCACGAAAAGTCTGGTTATGATCCGATCTCCTTGAAACTTTGCTATAAAAGACACATGGCCATAAAGTCAAAAGTGAACCAATATCAGATTTATAGAATTTTTTTCCGATTTTAAAATGAATTTCAAAAAGTTGAAAATTCATTTTAAATTATGGAAAACTGTTAGGAACTTGAAATTGGTTCACTATCGACTTTAGGGCCATGTGTCTTTTATAGCAAAGTTTCAAGAAGATAGGCTGATAACCAGACTTTTGGTACCCAACAATGCAATTAAACTTTTCACCATTTTAGTACGCCATATCTCGGCAACCGGATGTTGCGTGCGCAAATGGTTCCAGAACAATGTTTACAAATTGTTAAGCTTTAGAATGATCTAAAGTATTGCAAAAAAGAGATTCGGACTACGCGAAAGCGAAAGTTTTAGTGCATGTATCCCATTTTTGACACTATGTACCGGGCTATTTTTTTTAAGTGGGTCCCTTGTTCCTGGATCGCTACAAACATGCAGTGTCATGGAAATCTCGCGTAATCTACGCCTCACATTGTAGCAGGATCTATTGCTGCCCGTATTCAAAAGAACCGGAAGACAACTATTGGTACAGACTGCTTTCGGCAGGCGTATGGCGCACAAAACGACAACATACGAGTACAATGTGCATTGTACGGTGACGTACATACATATATCTGAGGGCTGAGGTCACTTCCATGATTTTGTCCAGTGGATGCACTGGTCTGTACTGAAGCAGAACACCAAAATACATACTTCCGATTTCAAACTAAGCAAAACTCTCAAAAAATGGAATCCGCCTTTATTATTATCGGAGGATTCACAACAAACGCGAACATCAGCAGAAGCAGCATAAAAAACACCAAACATGCAAACTACTGTAGAGCCCGAATCCACACTAGGTATGGCGCTTTAAAACCGTATGCACGAGTTCACAGGTACACTGAGAATAAAATAATTATTATGTAGCAAACAGAATGACTCAATATAAATCAATTCAGATTGTGAAGAGATCATAAAAATCCGATACGTTGAAAAAAAATTTTATAAACTGCGGAAACTGAGTGTTCCGACAAAAACGTTAAATCTTAACCCGAAAGTTATTTCGTCACATGCTCTTCTTCGAGTTTCAGCGCATCAGTCCAATCAAAAAACCGCTTGGTAGCGGCCTTTTCTTTGTCATGTTCAGCTTTATCATGGCGTCGTTTATCAAGGAGACTCTCCAGGAAGCGCCACTGCACCCACATACAAGCCACGCTCCACAACAGTAGGATACCGGCTACTTGCAAGCGTTCTGCTAGGACCAATTCCGTAACCGGGAACGGCAGAAACAGCCAGACGAAAGCCTCTTTGAGGTACACAAAGCCAGCACCGAATATCCCAGCGAGTTCGCAGGTACAACGCCGTCCAATAAAAGCCGTTGGCTCGCGTACGACGCCACAGAGCGGACAATCCATTGGGCGGTCTCGTAACTCATACGGATCGGTGACCGTCGCATCGACAGAGTCGTCATTAACTTTAATCCACTCGGAACACACTCTACATCCATCGCAAGAAACGTGATTTCGCGGGACCACTGTATCGACTCCCACCGTTTTCTTGCTGCCATCCCGCCGAGTTTCGGCGTTGTCCCTGTTAACAGTATCATGATTTGCTTATGCCAAGAGAAGAAAAATAAAATACACCTCGGCAGCCTTAAGTTTTAGGTTCGTGCCAAAAACAAATTTTCAGAGAACCCGGCTTGCAAAAAAAAGTGCAACATGCTTCGGGCTAGAGAACCGCTTCGGGTAAAGTGTTAGCGGTTGCTAGCTCGGAACGCTTTTGCCCGGGCTTGATATTCGTATTGTGAACTCGATTTCATATCTCAGAACTGGGAAAAATCAAAAATCAGTGCGCGACAGAAGCATGAAATGCTTTTTCTACATGCATACGGCAGTTTTCCGCGCATGACAAATCTACCGTGGTGTTTCTACTCACTCTTCTTCGTCGGGCTCCGGTGCAACGGTTATCAGCCAATACAGTTTCAGGCCCACCCAGTGGGAACCGGCAATACAACAGCGCACAAACGGCCCCAGTATCGTGGCTATCGTGAGTAAGATCGGGCCGAGCAAGACGACGGCCAAGAGAGAGCCGCTCCATACTAGCCACACAAATCCGAAGAACCACGAGAACGGAGAGAGCCGTGCATGAATACCGTCATGCATATTTCCATGGCGGCTGTAATCTAGCTCTACCCAGTAGGAAAGGATTGCCGTTATCCGTCCAAAACCCTAACAACATGCCGGAATGGGCAATACAATTACATGCAGCATTACAGCCGGATGGGCATTACAATTTGCACTGCATAGCAACCGAATCATCTCTTCCATCTGTGATTTTTACCGTATCAGCAGCTGTGTTCGGGCATCCGGTACCGTAGTCCACTACCCGACCAGTGGAATCCCATTCTCTGTTCCCGGGGAATCCCGCAAACAGTTTTAGCACACTGGTGGTGAAGATTACAGTGCTGCTGATCAAAATTAAAGATCGAAACTCAATCTGTTGCCGTGGCTGTGAACAGTTGCCAGCCGGTGTTGAAACAACTTCCGTCTGATCTTCGGGATCTTCCTTGGCACCTGGATGTTGTCTGACCAAGCTCACACTGGAAGAAAAAACTCTGAGCAACTCTACTAGGCATCTATTTTATCCTGTACATACAAACTATGTATATATTATGCAATAAGAATTTATAAGGTGGTTAACAGTCTAAAGATTCTCGGAAACGTTTTCTGGATTTTTATTTTCACTGCTATGCCCACAAACCAGACATATGCACTCAGCAGAATTGATATGATGTGAACTGTGAAGTGAACTTTTGAGCGCTTTTTTGTTAAGTTAGAGCGCGCTTTAAGAAATAATTTAAAATCGCTTCTAAGCCTTAACTCTCAGTACTAAAATTCTGGTTCGATGATTCCGGGTTAAAAGTTGTAAGTCAACCAAGTTCATTGTCAAAACCAGGAAACAACGTTGTCTGACAGTCCACTGTACCACAAAGTAGGAGAGAGACGTCACATGGCTCTCACAGACCTCAAACCATGTCTGCAGGAGGTGTTCTTAAATAGTGCAAATTGGACGGGAATTGCACTTTTTTAATTCAATACCTTAACAAACTTGCGTCGCAGTAATTATGCACTACTGATCATGAGGCGCTTCGTACCGTAGCTTCTGGGTAATCCACTGCAGATAAGTGACGTTTAACCACAATCCCCAAATCCTTCCCGCACTATACATGGCCAGTAATGGGAGCATAACAGCACAACAAGGTAGCACGGCTTGCACTCCACAAGCGCTGATTATGGCCATGGCGACGCCTCCCGCCAACATCACTAACGGGAGCATGCCGACAACCAGCCAGAGGAATTCAAAGACCAATAACCCCGCAGCGAACATAACACCGAGGAAAATAAAAGGCAGAACGTTGAGAATGGACAGTGACCGCGGGGTATGCTGGTGGCAGAAACGCAGATGCCGCGACAATGGTATGAGATTCCAGTGCCGGTTAACGATCAGCGAGCACATGACGGATACCGCTAGGAAAATGGCGGCAGACACGATGAGAAACGTTCCAAGGTATCCAAAATTCACCGGTACAGTGACCGTGGAGATAGTATGCGAAGCATTCACACCCTGAGTGGTGATCGTCCCGGGTTCCGTCCAGGGTAATGCCACATGATCCCAAAGGCAGCCGCTGATGTTCTGGCCAAGCAACGAAATACCCGTATAAATACCGAAAAAACATTTTTTGTTATTTTACTCACTTCTTCATTATACTCACTATTTTCATTGTTTTATTCGAGCACAACAGCGCAACAAAGTGTGCGCGGTTCCGTAAACTGGTGAACTTGTATTAACGGTTTATCAAGAAACCAGTTCTGTAACACAGTATACCGCCCGCGCAAACTAAATGCTTATAGCTATAGGAACCACGCAAAAAATTCGTAAATTTCATCAATTTCACGCAGTTTTTTTTGCGGAAACCATTATAGGACCACATACCTATCCGCGGATTTTCTGAAAATGGCAGTTCTAATGAAAAAACTAATACAATAAAAAAATTACATTTCAGCATAAAATATTAATGAATTAATTAAAGGTGACTGCTATGCGCCCCGACAAACCGGGCGCATAGAATTTAGCTATGCGCCCCGATGTCCGGGCGCACAGAATTTGGCTTTGCGCCCCGAATGTCCGGGCGCAGAAATATCGGCGATTTGCTGTTTTTCCGAAGGTTTTTTATGTTGTATTTGGCTTCTTTTACTGTATTTATTTAACAACTCCATTTTCCTGTTGTATTGTCATAAACAGGGCAGCTTACATATACCTCAACCTGTAAATTTATTGGCTTTAACGCGGCCTACGGCAACAACAGCGACGATGCGTAATTATTAAGATTTATCTGAGCACTGGATGAAGACACTAGCACCGGAACACGCGTCACCGGTGCAACTGACTCCGTCGTCCTTGCTAAAGCCAACCCCCAGTCTCCTCTCAAAAGAATATGGAATGGGGGGGGGGGCAACTGCATGATACTAGTACATGAAAATAATCTTAACTGATACTAAAGTGGAATTACTGCAGTGGAAACAATAGCAGCTAAAATGAACTAAACACAAATGTGCAATCAGTATGCGACATTGTCAGTCAGAGTTGCATTGCTCCCCGATTATCGGGATGAACATCCCAACGACACACCCTAATGGCTTTTCTCGGCTTGACACTGGTCATCCAAGTCGTCCAGCCTTGCAACTACCTCCGCTACGTTAAAGGAAGTGGCCCAGTACATGGTACAGTAAAACCTGCGTACTTTGAACACCTACAGTTCCAAATTTTTCGTTCAATGTTGACGCCTGTTCGATGTACAGAACAGCTGCCCCCAGGGGGGCCGCCCTTGGAGACAATGCTTATGCGTTCCATGCGCTTATGCGTAGCTGCCCCTGAAAGCGAAAAGGCGCCGCCTCAAGGGGGACAGCCCTGTTAGCAAGCCTTTTTTAAGCAATTTTCGCGCATACAAAATCAAAAACCATGTGGAGTTAATGCGTAACCAGCGAATGTCTAGTAAACTCTGGTCCGTTATGCGCTTTTTCTCTGTTTTTTTTTTCTTAAAACCAGATTCCGATGCTTTGTTCATTCTCAAAAGGTCTAAATATTAGTAAATAACTAGATCCGTTCCAGCTAATTTGTTCAATGTTCACTTTTGGGAGTTGTTCAATATACGCGAGGTCCCCCTTGTGTTATAGTCTACGAGACGCGCCGGTTCCGTAATAACCGTTCAATGTACACCAGTGTTTAATTTACGCGAGTGTTCAAAGTCACAGGTTTTACTGTACCATATTCGTGTACATACACGAAATCTTTCACTTTCGCGTACTTGCTGTAAAGTTGCTGAAAATCAGGATCTCTCAGACTGATTCCGTGATGTTTTGAGTAAGCTTTTCAATAAACCATGCGATAAAATGGGAAATGGGTTAATCGAGTAAAAAAATCAATCAGTTGCCGGAAAAACATAAAAACTTCGATATTTCTGCGCCCGGACATTCGGAACGCAAAGCCAAATTCTGCGCGCCCGAGCACTCGGGGCGCACAGCTAAAATCTATGCGCCCGGTTTGTCGGGGCGCACAGCCATTTCGTTAATTAAATTCACTTGTTCTTCTTTATGAAATTACTGTTGCATTCACAATAAATCTACGGAAAATTTTACATGCACTTTTATTTCAGATCACACAAAAAACCTTCCTTAATTTGGCTACAGTTGATGGAAGACCACAAGAGCAGTTGAGATGAAGCTGAAGGTGGCTTATATGATTTATGCGAACACATCTCAACTAATAACGACCAAAAAAACAATTACAAAAATTAACAGATGGTAGCTGTTGTCAAAAAACCTTGTTTCAGTTTGCAGGTATCTTATTAGCTTTATACATTAACGCCGTTCCGAATTCGATTTATTTTGAAAAAAGATTAGAGAAAATTCGAGAAAACGTAAAAAATACCGTGACGAAAGAACATATCGCAAATGGAACTGATGGCGAACTGGTGCAAGTTACCCTAGCAGAATTAACAGGGCGTATAACGACATTACGACTGTAGTACTCTTACGATTAATCGCGCTATCCAGAGCAAAGGTTCCGGGCCAAAGACGTTTTCCCCATTGCGGTCCACGCGGTCATCCTGCCATTCCGGAAGAAAGCGATATCCCAGTCTGACGGCCACCTGACTGGCCAACCACAAGACAAACATCGCTTCTGCCATGATTTCCTGGTACGCCCATGCTGACTTTTTATCCAGACGATTCCGGACACCTTGGACTCTTTCCATCATATCACATATGGTTTTTCTATGAAACTGGCTGACAAGCAATTAGTAAAAAGGGCCTACTAAAATAATGGACTGAGACGCAAAACAGATAGGGTTCCGCTTACGGCTACCGCATACTTAATTCGGCTAGATTTCAGCCTCATGATTTCACTGCTGGGCGCAGCCGCATAAATGGTTGTGCGTTTTGGTTGTCCCTAGGCGCCCATCGTTTGCGTCACAGACAATTGGCTTGTATAACCTTCTGGAAACATCCCCCCGGGAAGCAGTTTTATTTTCAGTGTGGTAAATAGGCAAAAACTCCATTTCATATGGATCAATTCCTTCGAGATGCCATGCGACGAGAGAAATAGTCAATTGTCTGCCTATATAATACCAGTCTGGCTTGTACGCAATTTAATCAAAATGAAATACTTTTTTTCATGTCTTTGCCTTATCCTTTTTACTTATTGAATAGGTCTTGTGGAAATACCTGCGTACGTTTGTAAAGCAGTTATTCTTTAAGAGACACGCAATCTTGTATAATTCCAAATGTTGTTGACTCGCATTTGTCGCATATATCATTGTGCGACGCGATTGATCAACTAATCCATGAAATTCCGGGATCATCGAGCGGTTTACTGCATGGTGAAAGAAAAGGGCGACCGACAATAGTTAGTTTAATTAATAACCGGTAAATTAATTAATAACCGGGCGACCGGTAATTTTGTTTTCTGGTATTGTTTGGATTAAAGGGAGCAAAGTGTCACGATAATTATGATCAAAGGTTGTTACTAATGCTTATATGTGCAGTTCAAAACTTCAAAGATATTTGTCAATTGTCACTGCAAAGTAGATTTCCAACACTTAACAAGCTAACGACTACGAATTATGTTTTGCGCAGTAATTGTCTGGCTAACGGGCAACTGTAATGTGTTTCAGAAAACGGGGTTGTTATTATAATTTTTGCGCGTTGTTATTATACTGGAGTATCAAAACAAATTCAAAAAATAACATTCAAGTTAACAAACGATTTCGGGTTACGGTTTCGTGTGACAAACCTGCAAAATCTCAGTTCGCGGTGGTCTGTGGTTTCCATATTGGGCATCCTTTCCGTGTGCGCATGACACGGGATAGAACAAAGCACGCGGTTCCTCAGAATCTAGTTGAAATGCTAGTGTAGCATTATTCCTTCAGTTTATAATTTATTAGAATGTGCGCGCGCTAACATCTGAACTACACATGCAGTTTGCCGGTTTATGTTAGATTCCGGAACATCATTATATCGCTGTATAGCGAATGACTTGAAACAGACAACGATCTGAGATTATAAGAAAATCAAATTTTTTCTGTACTCGTATGCATTATCCTGCAAACAGCAGTAATACGAGTATATTGCCAGGATCTACTGTTCATCGGATCAAATGTCCACAGACTGGCTGAAGCTGCAGTTACGTTTCCCGTTTGCCCATCAGGGCAGCAAGGATCAGATCAGCACTGAATACGTCCCGATCTACGGACAATCACCTGGAGGAAATCACTGCCTAATATACTCGTTTGCCTTTGCCTATGACCTGCTATTGGACAAGCAGATTCCAAACGCCAACTATGTCCAGGAGGACGAACTACGCCTCTGGTTTTTAACCATACACGAAACCGACACATTGGCGCCTTCCCCAGATCGCTGGGGCGTAATCCTCGAACGAAAACCGCGGCGAACGATCATAACTTCACAGTAACAGCAGCAGATACGGTGGAAATACACCGGCGTTTGCATATGTCTAGCGGATACAGAACAGTATCACTGCGAATATTGCTTGCATACTCAACGATGCAATAACTGTCGATCGTGCTTCTTAACTACCACCTCAAGAAATAACAAATTTGACGTACGGGGACGTAAGTTTAAAAAATTAACTGAAAGAACCGTTCAGTTTTCAGTTTCTACCATAACTAGTGGTTGAAAATATTACGCAAGATATTCTCGCGCGGTTTTATCTCTCTCAAACTTTTTGTTCGTATTTTTATTGTGCGGGGAAAAACTCTCAGACTGGCTGTAACTTTCGTTTGACCTTCTGGATCTTTCACGGAATCTGCTGGTTTACTCGTAATCTTCCTATCATTTTGTGTACAACGAAAGTTGACCTCTAGGCGCCTATCATGCACTTTTTGATCTAATCAGCTTAAATTGCCGCTCCAAATTTTGGTGATTATTTTGCTCCTTTCGCTCCGTTAAAATGGACGAATTTGGATTTTTACCTAGTGGACGTTGCCGGATTAATGAATAGTACTGTAAAATTTTATCGAAACGAAGTAGTGTAATCTGTGCGTGGGTGTGAGCGCGGCAAGAAAGCCGGCTGAATTCGATCGCGATTGACGATTCTCGCCAGGATGGTACCCTGTGGCGGTTGGCAGCCGTGCGCCTACGGTGCGCCGGGAAGTCATCGTAGGCCCATAACAACAAGTGCTTATCCCGGCACTTTTTGAACAGCGCGCGTTCGCAAATTACGTTGTTGGTTAACTGGGCAGATACATGAAAATTTACAGAAAACCATCCTCTGCAAACGAGGAAAAAATGTGTGATAAAAATGTTTATGGTATTATTAAATTTAGCGCTGATGTTGTGGCCATTGTATTGCATTACCGCCTCGAAAATTGTAGCACACAAACAGAAACAGAGCGAATGCATAATTCTCCTGTTGGCGCACTCCAAAATCCCTGTTTGTTAGTGACGTCAAAATGACACACTGCCAGTCGGCAGTCTCGGCGAGAATCACGAATTCCTGCTGTTACGAGGAACCGTAATCTGAAGCGACACGTAATCTGAAGCGACAAGCTTGTGCAATAACTCAAAATCACTCCACTTTGAAGTCCTATCTGAGATATCAAACCCATGCATGATATACCCCATGCAATATCAAACTTTATTAAACAGTTGTAGGGAAGCATATGAAAACATCAGGAAATCGCGTACCAACTGTGTGGGTGGTGTGCGTTAAGTGCAATATCTGTTGGTATTCCAGTTTGTACGGAAATCAAATCTGCAGCTTTTCGCCACTAACTCTGCAGTTTGCTGCAGGTTAGAAGAACGCCCGCTTCTTTCTGTCTGGCTTGGTTAAAATCTCGCATCCCGGTGAGCTCGACGGATGAATCATAGCCATGTTTTTTATTACCTGCTGATGTATGTATGCACATGGATCTGCAGCCAGTTTTCTAAAAAAGTAATCCTGTGCATAAAATCCGTACAAGTTACAAGTACAGATACCAGCCGGCACTTTCGGTATTGGACAAAACATTAAATTTATTGAACCTTGTTTATTGTAGTCTGCGGAATTGCGAAACTAGCGAAACGGGCGTTACCAAAAAGCCACCCAATAGTATAGAATTGCACATCTTTGAAGTACAACGGTACTGTTTTTAACAATAAAAAATGTCTGGTGTTCGTTGCGTTCTGGCGCCGAAAACGGTATAATCATTGGGTCAGCCTCGAAGTTTTTGAATAGGCTGATTGGTCTCTCACGCTTCGAAAATCCGACGTTAGGGTCGTTCGAAGCAGTCGTCTACAAACCACCGAGCAAAGCAGTTATCACCGTGGACTATGAAAGAGTCCAGGACGGAAGCCCAGACTGACAGGACTCCGTAGAATGTAAAACGTGTCGTACTAGGGATGAAATGCGCAACGCACGATATCCAGACTACGTTGTACAATTTATTGGCGTTCTCAATCATGAAAATCAACACACTGACGTTCAATGCTCAGTGAGCTAACGTCTACCAAATATCTCTCATACAAACTGCACGGCGCATAGTGAACACAGTGAACAGCAGCCGTCAGCCAATCAGAAGAGAGCCACGCCACAGACGGTAATTCCATGGGGAATCCCCAGTGCGTAGTGCAACGAAGCAGTCCCCCAACTCCAGTAGCGTCACTAAGGTGGACGCAGGGGAGCCATCGCCTCACACAGTCATTACGTAAATCAAATCAGAACGGAATTCATAAGGTTATTTTTCCTCTGTCTGTCAAAGCTTAAAAACAAGAAGTTTCAGTCGTATACTGTACAATAAAATAAAATTCAAGCTAACCATATTGGCAATATAGCCCCAAGGAAACCATCCGATGAAATGGTTAAAGATTAAAAAACAAAACAGAAAATCACAATGTGAACATGTTATTGCATAATAATCATCATTTCTTCATCCCCAAAATGTCGATATGTTGGAACTGGCTACGGTACGAGTACGGAAATGAAGACAAACAACGATTCTATGGTGTCATGCAGACCAGTTCACGCTTCAACCATTAACCGCTGGTTAGTTTTATTAGCGAACTGCCCCTTAACGAAACTGGTTATCCAGGGTGCATAGGCGGTCGTACAATAGTCAAACACGAACAGCGTTATCCAGGCCGTCAATTCCACAGACACCCGGCGCACTCCGTAGCGGCTGCCCTTCTCCCGGAACCATTTCTTCCGACAATATCGGTACACTTCCCATGTCGACTGTACAAATCGCCAGGTTAGCCACGCCGTGTATCCGGTTAATATGAACAAAATACCCTGCCATTGGAATTTTCTAGGCATGAGTAGTTGTGCGGCGGGTACCGGGAGTAACAACCAGAAAGCCCAGCGGCGCACATTCGTGAAAAGGAGAGTATGAATTTCCGTCCACAACGTGCATATGCAGAGAGCTTCTGTGGTTGGTAGACGGGACGCGGGCATATAATTTTGCTGGCCGTCCACCCAAACGAGGCCGGATTCTTCAGTTTCCTGTTGTCCATATTCATCCGTCTTCTTTGGATTGCTACTGTGCGATGCGGAATGATTTGTGCCTCCGACAAACACCATCAGTAGCGCGTACTGGGCACTGTAAAAATTCCATGGTTTTTGGCAGGAAGGTTTTAGAGAATATTCTAAGCAGAATTGTATTTTGTATTCTAGCGTCCGCCTGATTCAAATATGTTTCAAATTCTCTATTTGTAATTGACTGTCGGTTACTTGTCATCCTCCACTTACCGTAGAAAAGCAAATCCGTCTCGGCTCATCAGTTTGTTAATTACGTGACCCATAAAGCAGCCGGATACCATGGTGTGGACAAACCATAGCATTCGACGCAGGGCCAGTTGTGATGTGTCGGTAATGACAATAAGAGCGGCGCTCCAGTACACCGATGCCGGGTTCACGCTGCGGGTGTTGGCGTATCCTTGACCTGAAAATTCGGCAGTATCGGCAGCTGATATACTCCATGACGTCATATTAGGATGAACGGCTGCCTAAAACATATACACTGCTGAAAATCTGCCAGCAACGCAGCGTCCTAACTGTTACAGGATTCGAGCGACGTTTCTGGAGCCCAAGCAACCTTCGAGATGTGCACCACGTAACTTTTACTGCATTTCTAAGCAGAGTCGTGTGGGACAGTGGGAGACTCTGTAAACCTGTTCTTAGTACTCCTGACGCGGTGAATTTGGCTCGCGAGGTCACGGCTGGGCTTCGATTCGATACGGCTTTTACTGGCTACGATAATAATCGTCAGCGCTAAAGAAAGCGTTTCCAGTACAAAGACTGCATACCGTTGCTGAATTTCGCTCCGCATAGAGTACCCCACAAATTCCCGTACCGGTACTCCATCCGTACTGCGCTTTCCGTAAAAGTGCCTGGCTGTGAAGGTATACCGTCAAATATCCAAGAAGTAGCGCCAGAGTTGCCGTGCAGAACACGGCTCGCGGTGACCGCCGATCACATTTTTTTGCTGTGGATGCATCGTATGTCGATGATTTCAACAAGGAATCAGTTGATGGTTTTGCATCCAGGCATCGTTTTCTAAACAATCCGACGCAAGCAAAAATACTTGAACGCAGAACAAATAAATAAATTTCTCCCGTTTATTTGTATAACGGGAGAAATTTGACAAAGCTTATCCGTACAAATTAAAAGCAGGAGGATACTCACTCCGAGTCACTCGCATAGTACCGTAATTATCGAATTTGTGGCTCCCCCCGCAATAAGAGCCCCCCCTGAAATAAGCCCCCCTCCCCGATCCCGTTTGAAAAATAATGCCACCCCCCGAAATTACGCCCCAGGGGGCCGTTATTAAATGTCAAGCGCTGCAAAATGATAGGTATACCACAAATTTCTTCCTAATAATTGTTATGATTCGATGGGTAAACAGTAAACGGACATCAACATAATGTGGTATTTGTTGGCGAACAGTTGCATAGGTAGGAAACTAGGAATATACTACCGGAGTACCGGTAACTATTGCGTTCAATTCCACTAGAACAACATTCGCAGTTGTTTGAAATATAATGCCCCTCTCCAAAATGTGCCGTTTGAAAAATGATGCCACCCCCCGAAATTGCGCCCCCTCCCCGAAATAAGCCCCCCTCCGCCATGACGTTCGAACTATTTGCACCCCAGGGCCACAAATTCGATAATTACGGTATATCATAAGCACAGACGAGCGATATGTTATGTCGATAAAAAAGGCTGAGTGGGAGCCAGATTTTGAGTTGGTATTAATTAAAGCCGTTTTATGCAGTGCCATATCTAAGTGCGCATGTATTGTATAGGCAATATGGCACAGCACGGACAAAAACGGTTCAACAAGTACAAGTGCTCCTATATTTATAGATATCAGGTATGCGCAACCGTAGCGTACGCTACGGTTAGCATAAAATTTTGGTTTGCTGATCCAGAGAAGCAACCACTGTTCTACATTCCTTTACTTTAATTTTACCGGATTTTATTACGAATCCATGTTGTATAGCTGTCACTTATCCACCATCCCCAAATCCTCCCGGTACAGTGAATAGCCAATGATGAAACCAGCATTACACAGCCCGGGAACAATGCAGCTTTGCCGTATACCGTGGCCATGTTATTGAGAGCCGCACCCACCACAATGACAATCGGTATGACGATGGTCAGTACCCGCAAAATGATGCATACGCCGTTCAGGACGAACAGCGCACAAAACGTTATAACAAATTTTATCCGACATCCGCAGACATGGAAGAAATCCTGGCCATTCTCCACATTATAGGCCAAGAGCGTGGTCAGCGGAGCGCAATTGGTACAGTGGCGCTGTGGTGCTGTTGACGGTCGGTGGCGGTTAACTAATAATCCACCGACGAGGGAAACGCCCAAAATGATCGTACAGCACCACAGCATGTACGCCGCCAGATAGCCGACGGTGCGCCGGCTACCGGCCGGACTGTGGCTTCCATAAGCAAGGTGGACTGACTGGGTCCAGGGCTGTACCATACGATCCCAGATGCAATCGTCAGTATTCTGCAGTACAACAGATCACAAAGCTTAATCTCGTGCTATGCATCACTCAAATGACGTTACGCTGTTGGTTGATATCATAATGAAATTTCGAACCACAAACTGACTGATGCATTTCTTAGTTCACCAACTCTGTGGTTTAACTCTAACAAGGCAGAATCGCTAAACCGCCATCTGCCCAATGCAGTTTCAAATATGCATGTACTTAATCACAGCATGGTTGCGATTTTTGTAATCTCTTCGCCAAGTAATTATTTCACTCCGTATGTCCTACAGAGGTAGATAGGGTATTACCGCTCCGTCCCAAGGATAATATCAAATAATACAAAAATAAATGCACAAGAGCATACTCAGTACTCACAAATCCGAATATCTCCAGGACGGGATCAATGTCCGTCACACTGTTCGGATCAAGTCCACTGGACTGCCACTCCGGGAAGAGACGGCATCCCAGTTTCATGGAGATGGGCACTGCTAGCCACAAGACCAGCACGGCCTGCACTAAGATATCTTCATAAGCCAGGTTCACATTTAACTCCGCCAGTTGTTTCGCCATGAAACAATATTAACAAATGTTGTAAATTAAATTTTTAGCCGAGATGTATCCGACGAATGCTTTGGTCCTCTCTATCCAGCGTTACTATCAAACTCGATAAATATTAAACATCCCACTGTCAAAAATTTCTGAAAAGTGCATGCCCATGTCATTTTCTAGCGCAGGTTGTCGTCATATCGCAGCTTGCGATCGGTTTACATATTGCCACAGTACAAATACACTAACCCGTCTTATTTTGCTTCCCAGTTTTTCTAAGATTAGAACCTCGCTGAACGGCAGCCAAGTGACTATCCGGGAAATGTTTACAGGGGGGTAAGACATTCCCTGATGTAACTACTCGGTCTTTCCTCGCTTCCTTGTTTTGATACCAGGAGATTAATTTCTACAATTGAAAAATCGATTATAGCTCTGATTTCACGGCAGACGCGGTGACCGCGCTTGATCGCTGCGGACGTCTTTTCTCGCCAAAGGTATTAACGCGGCAATACGATCTCCTCCTATCTGGCAACGGCTGCTTTCAAATTCTCTTGATTTTACCGGCATTACATAATGGCAGTATACCTACGTGTGTAAATAACCAAGGCCGCCTTTTAGGTGCATCGTACTGCACATACAGGAGTAGCAATGTGTATCGATTAACCATTTTCATCTCGGATTTGCACGACATACCAAAACCAAGAATATAAGCTGAAGGAACACCTGGATTCCAGCTAATGGTTGCACATTACATGAAGACAAACCTTATGGTACAGGTTTGGTACATATTCAATGTTTCTGTATTTATAAGACAAATATTAATAAATGCAGATATAGAGTAGTATATGCAATAATCAGCGGTATGGGTTTGTGTTGGATCAGTGCGATCCGCGTGACGGTCAACGTAGTCCGGTCGCCATTGTGTAAGCCGACAAGCCCTCGAATACATAATATAATATATCAAGAGAACTGAAAGTAGCAGAGATAGTTCAAGTTGACTGGATATGAAGTACGACAATTAACAATTACAGAGTAAACCCGACCAATAAACCAAAGAAAACACGATGCTTCTCGAAACCAACTTATTACAACCAATAACGGTTCACGAAGGCATCACACACAATGTGTGTATGTGAACGAAAAGCAAGCATTATTTCGTTGAAAATCTGACGGTACAGTAGACAGAATGCCATATGAAAGGTGCAAAGATAGCTTTCAGCACTCATATTGGGTGTAACACTTCTTAGTGATCCATCAGGAACGCGTATATTCAACCGCCCAGTGGGTGCAACGATCCATTAGGACAGCACTTGCCCAAGCGAACACGTGCGACATCCCCATTCGCACTCCACAAAATATGCAATAATCCTGAAACCACGTCTTCATCCAGTGGCAGAATTGATCCCACGCTGACACCAGCCACTGTGACACCAACCACACCGTGTAGCCACTCAACAGCAGCATCAGACAGGGCAGTTGTAATCCATCCGGCAGGAATAACTCCGCGGCCGGTAATGGAAGGAGAAACCAGAAAGCCACATGCCGCACACTGACCAGTACCACAGCCTGTATCTGTGTCCATTCAGTGCATGCACAGCGGATGTCGTCCGTGGGTGGATGGTCAAAGTCCATGACAATTTTGCCGTCCATTAGGATATTCCAGTAATCTACCGCATCCAGCGGTTCTTCGAAGTTGTCTTCGTCATTATCATTTACTGGCATTATCCGATGCTTTCTACCGTGAAAAGCGGCCTTCAGAGATCCGTAATACGTTCTACAAAAATATTTTAACACGGGTACTTCGGTTTTTGAAAATATATTGTATTTACACGTGTTTGGAAATTGATAACTCACGTATCTTAATATCTAAACACAGCGAAACTGTGAAAAATGGTTGTTTTTAGTATTGATATAAAAACCTCAATCATCAAACTCAGCTTGATAACTGTGCAGAGCCTTGACAAGTTTTTATAGCAAAAGCACAGTGAAATTAAACTCGAGACTAGATACAAAAACGTACGCGATCGCGGTTTAAATCGCGCGGTCTTCCCCAACGGTATGCAACCGAGGGCCAGTTTATGAAACGTATACGGGTACAAAAAGACTTGACTGTGTGCTGTGCGATAAATGTGACGGGAGTAGGTTACGTTCTCAATTTCTGACTAAGCATTTGCACCAATTGCACGTATTATAGCGGATGAAGCATATCTAATCCTGTGGATGGAAAATAAACCAACTACTGTAATTATCTGATTTTACTATGATTCGTGTACTCGTTTAAAAAAAAGGTGTGTTCAATTATTGTAAACTAACATTCTACGAGCCAACGACTTACGCGCTATCAACTGTACCGTGTACGAGCTAGCAATACCGACGAGCTATTCTAACTGCTTTCGAGCTGTGCTAATAGACTAAAATCCGATTTCACTATCACGCCTACGTAAAGGTTACAGTCTTCCTGGAGCGGCACATAGGTCTGCCAAATACAATCGACGTTACTATTCAGCAATGAGGTTTTTCTCGGCAATTGCCAAGAACCAGTTTTCCCATATTTGAAATTCAAAATACCCAGCAGAAGTCCGTTTAACCGAAAAACCCTTAAATCCGCTTACCGCAATAAAGCACGTCCCTCCGTTCTGAAGGACAGGTTGCCGATCACATGGCCCGCACCAAAACCACAGAACCGATGGGCAAACAGTATCAGTTTCGCTGTGTATTCGCTGGAGCGGTATGCGATTGGAAGAAGCATCTGTAAGCAGTACAGCGGGAAAAGAAATTCAATAACACTGCCTTCTGGAGCCGGCCAATAGGAGGGCCAGAAATCGTTCGCGCATCCATTTGCGTCTACGGTCACTATGCCCACAATACGTTTACGACGAACTGTCGTGGAACCAGTTGGATCCTAAAATACTAAAATATTAGTGTTTAGGCTTTAGAGAATGATCAACTGTTCGAGACATTGAGTGGCTGCATGTTGACCAATTCATCTTGACCGAAGAAACCGAAAAGCAACCATACTGAAAGTCTTACTATTCGCTTGCTTGTTTTCTCATCAGAATGTTTCTGCTTTACTTATTATAAAACGTGCCAACAAAGTTCACAATTACCAAACCCCACTCGTGTTTTATCCTCTTTTTGTGAATTCACTGCACAGATTTGTGATGTAGTAAAAATGACGTCAGTGTATCCCATCAAGGCATACTTTCGATTGCTGAGATGGTGATTCACTTAATTAGACCGACAGATGCTGATAGTTATTGTATTGTGTTGTACCGTTGTAGAGTTAACGTAACTCTCAGCGCGAGCTGTCCCACTTCCCGAATTTGGTTCTTCCGAACTTAGCTCTTCGCCTCCCGAACTGAGTTCCCCGAACAGTGCCAAGAGCTGCCAGACATGAAACATTACGATCAACCAGCCTAGAATAAGTGTCACTGATGCCAGGAACAGATCTTTCCGGGGCGGTCGAGAACCGTTAGCTTCCGCTGCCGGTCGGTTCTTTGGCGGTTCCGGTAAGTCATCGTTAGATTTTTTGCATGGTGATTTTGTCGCATTCCACCGATTCCTATGCAAAGAATAATTAAAAATGTCCAAAATATTGGCTTCGCGTATGTGCCGTTAATATGCTTTATATTACCGACAGACCCTGCTGCCCCTCTCCCACCGCCAGCAGTAATGTTCCCCGCGGCGGACACTTGTGACAGTGCACCGGCGAATACTGACCGCACTCGCAGTTTGGTATATTTTTATTTTAATTTATTTTTATTTACTTTTTTCAATCTTTAAGTTTAGAAACTGGATGAGGTGCTGTCCACATCGTTTTGGCACTTCCCTCACGCGCACTCTGGCAGATTATTTCAATTGACTTTGCTGATATTTTACTCCTACGGCGTTGCCGAAAGTGCTTTTGCATAAAAACCAACTTTGTAGTTAACATTTTAGTATGGTAGAATTGGCAAGATCACAGATTGACCTGAAAATAAGCCATCCTACACAGAATCTCTGTGTACGCTTTCTGACATGGTTGCTATTATATGATTCTGGCAATGGCGATAGGTCAAAAAAGGGTCAAACATTTCCGAGGCAAATTTCTGCCGGTTAAACACTAATTTACCACAGTGCACTGCGAATCCATGTGGCATAACTGTTTTTCATCCACAGTCTCCAAAGTCGTCCGGTACTGTATACCATCAGCGCACATAAGATCCCCACACAACACGGAAACACAACAACATCCCCGTGCGTCGCCAAGCGCAGCAGAACGGTTGCTACCACCATAACGGGAAGGGCTGTCACACCCACGAGAAGTAAACGCATAAACATCCAATACACATTAAGCTCGAAGAAGGCGCAGTAGATCATAATTCGTTTTAACCGACAGCCCCACAAATGGAAGAAATCCCGCCGATACTCCACATTGTACGCCAGTATCCGGCCTGTCAGCACAAAACACGTCCGAGGGTGCTGAAAACGAAGGGGCGGGGTCCAGTGGCGGTTAACGAACAGGGATGCCAGCAGCGATATACCCAAAACTATTGTGCAAATCCACATTACATAGGCGCCACGATATCCGGTGAACCAAGGCACTGCGGTGGCGCTCTGATCGGTACAATTGGTGCTTCCGCTAAAGACTTTCCAGGGTTGTACCACAAGGCCCCAAATACCGTGGTTTATGTTCTGTTAAAAGATTACTGTTTAATTAACCTGGCCTTCGAAAAAGCAGACATTTTCAGGAAAAAAAGATATCCGGCCTTAACAGGAACAGGAATGTTCAGAAGGATATAAAACTATATAAATGCAGCGCATCAAGGCGCACTTTTATTGATTTTTCTTCTACAAATCGGCCGTCCGAGTTTCGAGTAGCGACTGTTATGACTCATACGATAGTCAGTGGGTTTAGTCTAAAGTTGGAAGACTGAGCTGGCTAACGTTTGAACGGTACTTACGTATCCAAATTTCTTCAGAAGCCAGTCAATTTCCGATGCCGTATCTGGACAGTCGCATCTGGTCTGCCACTCTGGAAAGAGTCGTGATCCAAGTTTCATGGATATCTGCAGGGCCAGCCACAAAACCAAGATGGCTTCCAGCGCGATTTCTTGGTAAATGGGAAAGGAATGCTTCAACGGATTTCTCAGCGCCATTGTGTATTTGCGGAAATCCTTCGGTAATATCGCCAGAGTTTAAAGGACTGATATTCCTCTAAGAAACAGTTTTAGCGACACAAACTTGGGCGATCAACCGTAACACGGTTAAACTGATTGAGTTAAGACGCTCCCGCTGGTGCTCTGAGACAGTGCGGCGGTTTGTTTAGGAAAATGGGGGCGTCCCAGTCACGAACGATTATTGCCCTCCAAAAACCCATAAATAAACCAGTATTGCTCATCCCCGGCAACATATCTGTGTACGAGCACACTTAGAGCACATCATTCTCATTATATCAGTGCCGCTTTCGGATTGGGGAAAGACGCCAGTTGCGAATCCATAAATTGATCGCGATTGTGACGCGACTGTCTACCTGCTACCGATCTGACTCGATTGGAGTATGAGATTTGATTTACGAAGCTGAAGACCACCGGCACAAACGTACATTGCCAGTTAACTGTTCCGTGGAACCCAATGGTTCTCTGTGTGAATTATAACAGCGTATCCCGTGTGTTTCGATATGGCGTTGTACGTCAAGACGATCGATAATCGATATTCACGGGTAAATTGTATTTTGCAAGCAGCTGCTCGAGTGTTCTATTAGGAACACCTCGGTCTGTCATTTGATTCGAAATTTTTTAAACGTTCGAAAAAAACGCCTTTTAATAAATGTTTGCGTCGGTGTTCACGAACTGCCCTATCTATGGTGGTTTCCCGCATTCCTCAAAACAGCCAGAAAACGACCTCTCTTTCCACAAAAAATGTAGTACAAAACTTCAAATTTTTAATGCATAAAACAATACTAGTACAAGCGAGTGCTTCTGTGTTCTGTGAAGTATGTCAGTACAATACTTTAACAGGTAAGTACTGTATTATAATATGCTAAATGTAAGTCATGTGCACCGTAGTGAGCTAGCATGAAGAATAACAACAAGTACGACCGGAAAATTTAAGAAGCAAAACAATAGTTGTTAGGCCGACAACAAACAGTCCAACACGACATCTACCTAGCGAATGTGATACTTAATTACGTATTACTAATGAATAATAAATGTGTACAGTATATAAAGAAACTTAAGCCTGAAAATGGTAGTTACTAGTTGGTGCTGGCTTGTAAATTATTTTACTACTGCCGCAAAAAGTGAATAAAGCGGCATCATGACGCAAACAGTGTAGCAAACGGATGAAAACTCTTTCAAAAATGTGCAAGGTTAGCAGTCTTGCACAAATACGGCAAACCAAATTATACGGCGGTAGGTGCTGGCGCGTTTTTCTGCAGTTCCGATACCACCGTTCTGCACTCATACATCACAAAAATCGTTCGCGGATCTCTTCCTTGCATCATATAATTAGCAGAACCCGGTTTGAAGATCGCTTGCCACAGGTTGTGTACCCGTTCCCACAATATCTTGTCCTCTAATTTTTCCTCTACTTTGTGCCGCCACCAGTCCCGCAGGGACTCCCAGTACTGTCCGAATATAAATGCCGTGTAGGTGGTCAGAATTGTCAACAGGATAGGTAATTGCCAGCTTTCGGGCACCACACACTGCGATACCGGCAGCGGCAGCAGCGTCCAGAACAGCAGTTCTTTTAGTCCAACAAAGCTCACGCAAACGATCTTGGTCATGTTATTGCAGGCGCAGGGCATATCCAGTTCGAGGATGTCAGGCGGAAGCCGCAGCACCCGACATACATAGCACACTAGCCGGCGGCCGCGGAGCACCGAGATATCCACCGGACCGGTAAGGTCCGCTGCGTAATTGGCGGTCATCCATGCAGCGCACGCTTCGCAACAGTCAACGTGTGCATAATGTTCTCTATACGATGCATCCGCCGAATTATCGGATATTTGCAGGAAAGCTTGGGCTTCGTGGCGTTGCGCCTCGGCATCATAGGACCGTTCAGCTTCATCCAGCCAGTCGATTGGTCGATCCCTAAAAAAGAAAACCGGTTCGCGTATTACCAGATAATAATATTTTAACTGCTGAGTTATCCTCATATACTATTGACTATTTGCTTTTTGCAGTTCTGAAAAAAACCTTAATTGAATTGATGATTACACACGTAATGCGAACTTATGCGATATGTTTTCCCAACCGGCTAGCTTGGGGATTCCCGCCTTGCATTATTTTTCAAGTTGCATTTCTCTGTTGCTTATTCTGCTTTGCTTAACATATCGCGAGTTCGACTGCCGATTAGTTCAACCGGACTGTTATAAACAGCCAAGCTTCCGAAGGGCTAAGTTCCGTTTGTTCACAGCAAGAAAATTATTTGATGGTTATGTCGGAACTGCCATCTGATATTTGTCAACCTGTCTAGTACAAAAAGGAGCAAATCGTAGCGCAACAAGAGAAGAATTCAGCGGCGACTTCTACACGAGAAGGGTTCCCTCTGATCACATCAGAAGGAACTTATGTAGAAGAGTCTAAGGAAGTTATTCTCATAACGCAAACAGTTTATTTCACGTTAGCACCCCATCGGTTGTCCCAGCTGTCTTCATTTACTTCTATACTAGCTGCCTATTACTTACGGTACATCCAGTTTTGCTTTCTTCAAACCGAAAAGCGAGTAACACTTGGTTTTGCAAACGACAAAGCAGCTAATTGGCGTCCAGAACAGTAAAAACCCGATCCAGCGGAGCACCATACATCCAGATATTAGACAACTGACAATCGAGAGCGTTGCACTCCAGAACAGAAAGGTCAGTCCCGTGGTTCGCGCAAAAGGTGACAGTTCAAGCAAGCCATCCACGTGACCCGCAGTAAACGCTTTCGAATCTACCCAGTAGGACACGATAGCCGGAATATGCTCCAGTCCCTAGAACGCGTAAATTGTTAAGATTAGAATTTCGAAGACCGGCACTGTATAGCATCACTGTACAGTGTGCACTGCAAGTATAGGCTGAATGGAGTACACTGTGGGTCTTTACGCTTCTTTTGAGAGCATAAAGAAATTAATCGCTGTCAAATTCGAATTTGCCACAGTGGGGCGTGAATACCTTCCATGTGCTTCAATCGGAATGTGCGATGCGGTAGTTCGTAAGTAGTGTGTTCTATTCACTTCATTGTCATTGTCAGTCAGTAATTATTGGCCTAGTACTGTAAACAATTATTACCTATTTTACGGTACGACTACTTACCTTTGCATTGGAATCATCGCAGCAGTCGTTCAGTTCAACGGCATCAAAACGTCGATAGCCAAGGTGCGGAAAACTGAGAAACAGCTTGTAGCAAACGTTGTATGCGACTGCGGTGCTTCCGGCAGTCAGCACACACATTCGCAGCAGGTACTGTTTGCGGGGCGCCGACGGAAGACGCAGTTGCGTTTTCTTACCGCGTCCCGATCGATCGAGAAGGAGCTGCACTCCACATGTATCCCTAATTCAAATCAACAACATCATGTGTCTCTACGAAATGTTGCAAAAGTCATGCAACAATATTTTTCCTCGGTGCACCTTAGTGTTCGAATAATATAGGACAAATACGTCTCGTTCATCCAAAATCCCCAGAGTCGCCCCGTACAATGAACAGATAAAACGCAGCTCGTAGTAATACAACAGGGAAACACAGCCACTTCCCCGCATAACACAATTATCGCAGTAACCACGCATCCTGCCATAATCACCACAGGCAAAACGACGATAACTAGCCATAAAACGCCGAGGAAAAGCGAAGAAACCCAGAGAAAAATAGAATCGATAATCCAAGAGGCGCTGCAGTAGAAACACTCCGCCATGTAATCATCTGTAGAGACACCGAATCCGAAAAACATCGAGATTTTCTTGCAGCAGGAAAAATGCTGTTGGGTTGAGGGCAAGCTCCAGTGACGGTTAATAAAGGCGGAGCATACAATGGAGGCGGCGACAATGTAGGTCATTGCTAGCGTTAGAAATGTACCGGTGTAGCCAAAGGTCGCCTCCGTCTCCATAGCTGGACTGATTGCACAATCATCTAGCAATTTGGACATTCTCGGGTTATTCCATGGCGCTGCGATACGATCCCACAAGCATCCGCTGACATTCTGAAAAATTGCTATCTAATGCATAATTAGAACATTTCATGCAAAATAACAGAAACTAATATTATATAGTATTATACGTTGAAATACTCGTATGTGCAACTGCCTAGTCACTGCGGATCTATGAGCATTTTGTAAGAAATCTGAAAACAGTTGCTCATCTGAACATATGTAGTTAGCATTGCAATAAGGCATTAATCTTTTAGCGGCCGAAAGCTTCATTTCTTTAGAATACTTGTGCGTATCCGAACTTACGTATCCGAAGAAGTGAATCAGTTGATCCAAATCAGTCACAGCATTCCGATTCACTCGGCTATCCTGCCATTCCGGCAAGAAACGGGAGCCCATTTTCATAGCTATTTGGCTGCTGAACCACAGCACAATAACAGCCTCCATCAGCATCTCCTGATAAACCCATGCTGACCTTTTGTTCAGAAAAGCGCATACAGCTTTCTTAATATTTGCCATTGCCAACAGGTAAAATTTGCTAGCAGAATGTTCACCGAGGTCGAGGAGCCATAACGCAGATTCCAAGATAAACCGTTTCCAGAAGAGGTTTAATCTGTGATATGATATGCGTGAGCCCGAGTGCTCTGCTTAGTGTCATGCGAAACTATAAGGGACTGCAATCGATCACACGAATCACTACGCAGTCCCCGTTATAAATCCTCATTATCCGACTTGCATGACACCTTCTGACGTCGAAGCAGTTCTTTCATGGTTCCGTGTAATCTGCGCGAAAATCTGGCAAGAGCGCAACTGATACACCACTCACACAAATTAACAATGTTGATGGGAACAGCTCCACCAGGAGAAAATTTAGATCAATTGTCCTCTGTTCCTAGAAATCCCAAGCCTGCTTTCTGTTGGTTGAGTGTAATGCTTTATAATGCTAACTAACTGTTTTCTCTAAATTGTAACTGAATACAATTAAACTGGAAAATACAATGTTAATGGTATTGCAGTCTGTTTTTCTATGCCGATATTTTCCCAGTAAAATTAAGGTTTAAAACGTTGAGCACGTGGCATAAGTTGTAGCTGGACAAGTGAAGCAGTGGAAGCGCAATTCATTGCTGCTCTTTGCTGGAAGCTGTTCAGAGGAAGTCGGAAACTGTATGGAAGAGTCTGTGAAAAATTCACGGCGAAACTGATAATTATGAAGACTGTCTAATGTTACAAATTTAAACTCAAGGTCAAACAGCAATAAAACGCGTTATTTAACGGAATGCTGATATAGGCAACCACTTTAATCTGCTTTGGCATGAACATAAAACGGGAAGACACATCGAATTACGCAAGCCACTTAGAAATGCACCCATTTATCCGTAGAAGCGCCTGTCCTCAAGCTCTTTTTGTGTCGCTACCAAGACAGAAATAAAAACCCAGATGCTGCTTCCGCTGTAATTAAATATACTTCACTAACTCTTCGAGAGAACAATTTATTTCCGGTTACCGCTCTCAAACGCTGCCCTGTGTACTGTTTGCTCCTGCCCACTTTAGATCGTCAGTCTAGGGAATCGCCTAATTGGGTAACTACTGGCCGTTACCAAACCCATTCCCGGCGTGGCACAGAGTATCAGTAAATTTGTGTTTTGAATTTCGCTGAAGCGCAGTACGGACATCTTCTATTCAACGGAAAGATGTTGAACGCATCTGCAGATAATGTTACGAATATCTCTCGCATCAGTAACAGCACTCATGTTGAAGGAGTGCCGATAATTATGAAGTACGTGCTGGCGGTGTTGGCCCCTTTGCAGCTATGTTATCAAGCGCCGATCGTTGTGCTGTTTGTATCATATCAACGCCTCCGTACCGCATTCAACGTTTATCTCATCAACCTCATGATATGCTTTATCACGATACTTTTAGTGGAATACGTTAGCCTGGTGCAAATATTGGCTACCGGCGATGTTGCGCCGAGTGACAAGGTTTCCTGCGGACTGTCCATTCTTCCAGAAGGCGTGTTGATACACACGGTAGCGACTGGTATGTTTTTGGTGGCTCTTAACCGAATTTGGGCTGTGACGTTTCCGCTTTCCTATCGCAAGTGTCATACCGTCCGCTTGGCTGTTGTTGCCTGCATTGTTGCAAATATTCTAACCACCATCTTTCGTCTACCCTATTTAATACTGGCTCTGGAAGCCTTTCCCGGCAACGTTGAAACGTGTTTTGAGCCACCGTATCATACAGCACCTTCATATTTTGCTATAGCCAAATTTGTGTATGTGCCAGTTTTTATTTTGGTTTTCGGGTCGCCAGCTTATGTCGCTATCATGCGGCATATTAAACGGAGAAATGTTGCCGGTTAGTAGTACTGTAACGAGTATTTACTGCAGTTACGGGCATATAAATGGATGTTTTTATGGTTTACGAGTACAATGTTACAGGTGGAAATACCGGCACGGCGAGACAACCCAGCAGCAGCAGTTTCACAATATATTTTGGGACTTCGTTAATTAGTTTTGTCACATTCTGCTTTACGTTTCTGGCTCAGTATTACTTCCCACGGGGAAAACTACTGGACGAGATTGGACGCCAGATAGGGAACCTCAACTCAGTTTTGGAAGCAACGCTTTTTGTGCTTTGCGCGCCCTTGGCAAGAGAACTCACAGCCCGGAAATTAGGCATACGTAGCAAAAGTGGACGCATATCTGCCGTGGCATCGCAAAAAAGAATGACAACCTCAGTTTAAGTCGCAAAAAAGTAGATGCTTCGTATTCACTCATGCTGCGCATAAAAGAGCTTCACAGAATTATGCGGATGTACTTCTGTTGAACGCAGTTGCAAAAACCTATGCCAATCTTGATCCCAGTGCAGCATAATGCCGGAAACAAAAAGACATTTTGGCAATGTGTACTTGTACGAATAACATTCTCAAGATCAAATTGTGGTTAAACGCATTGGTTAGCGCAACGGTTACTTACACAGTTAAATTACGTAATCGTGGTACACCGGTACACCATGAGACCATAAAAGGGAGGACACATGTGCTTTGCAAACCACTTTGTTACAGCATTCAACTATCTGTATTTGTGGAAGCGTCTGTCCGCGCTCCACTACTGTTTCGCTTAAACCCGACGAGAATTAAGAGCCCAGGTGCTGCTTTCACCTTTAATAGGTCTAATTCACATCCTCTTCGGCAGTATAATTGGTTTCGGGTTTGCTGTCCATCGCCGGTATGTGCAGTGTCAATTCTTGTACTGTTCCTGTAGCTTTGTATTTGGCTGCAGAACCACAGCACAAACAAAGCCTCCATTAGCACCTCCTGATAATCCCATGCTTACCTTATGTTTAGAAAATCGTACACAGCCTACTTAATTTTTGCAAGTACCAAATAGTGCTCTTACAGGCAGAATTGTTTGCTAAATACCTTTTCTCGTATATCTGTACAGACTGTACTTGCAACGAAATACGAGTTACTGTATTTACACGATATTAAGGGACAGAGAAATCCCCTGGACCGTCCGCACTAGGCGTCGGCTTCACTGATGTCAAAGAAACCGACTGTCACTGGGGATTTCTGTGTCCCTTAATATCGTGTAAATACAGTACATGCCAATAATCTGGGCATCGCAGGGTGTAATGTGGTGGGCGAAACGCTTTGATGGTCTGCGCTACTTTTTCAGTTGTACTCGTACCAATTTTGTGTTTGATAAGTGAATGTTAGTGGCTTTTTTACATTTCAGTGCGAGTACTGTACAAATACTTGCTTGATATAAGTAGTTATGTTACGAAGATACATGCAATCGCGCCAGCGAGGAAGTTTTTCTGCAAACTTTAAGCACTTTGATATCCAAGCCAGGCGCTGTGCTAAGCACGGTAAGCAACAAGCACGTCATCAGCCCAACCGTTTTTGGCAACGAAGTGGGCAAAGCAACTTGGTTCGATTAGCAAAAAGAAAACGGGCCAACAGTTTTGGTACAGTACATTACGATTCACAGCAAAACATCGTCAAGAGAAGCCCAACTGTTTCAGGTTTTGAAACAATGTCATATCAGCAGCACTTTCCGAAAATTAATAAGTACAAGTGACTGTAAAACTGTACGGTAATAGTCAGAAATTTCTACAATAAAACAGGCGGAAATAATATCAGAAGAAAACATTGTTATGGTCGGCACCGTTATGATTTTCTTTGCCATGGCTTGACGGTTAATGAAATACTGGAGTTAAATTTCCAAACGCTCAGAATCGAAGAGAAAAAGCTCCAGGTCTGATACACTGTGAATCCCAAAAACAGGAGGAGAAGCAACGGCCACTGTAGGTGTTCCGCGAAGAGAATCTCTACGTAGGGAAGGGGCACCAGCATCCAAAAGGCGAACACCATAAAACAATAAGGAACGTAGCCATCAATTGCCGTCCACAGCGCACATGCACATCGCGGGGCTCTCTTTGCTGAAGCACGGAAAACGGGTCGTTGATCGCGTTGATTCATCGGTTGAGGCTCTCCGTACATGAGCTGACAGAGAAGTGTGCTCAAAGCACTCAACCTAATAATAAATGAATAAAATTGGACAATCACATCTATGGCCTCGTTATTCTTGTGTGCACTTCGACTTTTTTGCATTCTGCGTTTGCGTTCATATATGACTTACATCATGATCTCTTTCCTCCAGCCGTATAAGAAACTTACCGTTAATTAAAGACTTAATTTTTATTGTTTTTATTGAGTTGAAAAAGTCGGTTCAACAAATCTATGGTATCCTGGCTACATAAACTTCTTAGTAAAATTGCAGGAAGATTTTGTAACGATCCCTTACCCACGCAACCCATACGCGCAGCGACCGGTAAACAAGACAAAACCCATAGAAATCAGCAGCAGTGTTGCTGGTTGCAGCCAGTCAGCAATCATCGTAGCGTACATCAGTGCCGAGGCCAAAAAGCGAAGCGCACGTCCCGTCAGCACCGTTACAGCTTCCGGTGGAAAGTGGAGCCATTCTCTCTCTGTGACATCTCCGATAATTGTCTCCATAAATTCCCAGTGCGATCGCATTGCCACACTGTGATCCATGCCCTGCAAAAAAGATAGCGCAAAATGAGCTCAACACTTGTCATATGAATTCCCTTCCACAATCACAAATTAATTTAAATAAGCTTTGTTTTTTTGACCGTTAAACGCCTAAAATTTTGCTTGCCGTAACTATAATCCTGGAAGTATTATATAGCCCCACGCATGGTGCAAGGTTAGGAGACTGGGTCTGTCCGTTATATAACGTCACCACATTGCAATACACCGCCCAGCAGCCGTACACCCATGTAATCGCGCTGATCCACAGATAATGCTTGCAAAACCATGCGTTCTCCAAGAGTACAGACTGCACATGCGCTGCTGTCTGGTTTGCTACGACGGATGTCGGTTTCTCTTCGTTCCGGTCCTTCTGTTCATGAGAATATAGTAAAATGTTGGTTTCTGTTGAATCCTTTTATGACTCCGCATCCTTCTCCATCCCAGGTTGTTCTTTCTTAGCCGTCTTGTTGTTTTTGGTTAGTGTATCATTTGGCTGACAGCTATCACAAAATTTGAGAAGAAAATTAATACCTAGTTAAAAATTGTCAGGATTGGTGAATTTGAAAAACATTACCACAGTTTTCTAATAAAATTCGCCAAGTAAGGGTCGCTCATCCACACTTCGTTCACTCGTCCGGAGCAGTACAAATTGACAACACACAGCAGCACCAAAACACATGGATACAATGAGAAATCGCCCATCCTTTGATACGCGGCATAATAAAGAATTATTCCTATGTTGCTACTGAATAAAAGAACGGGAAACACCACATCAACCAACAGTTTTAGTAAGCTTAGAACGAGAAAGCCACATCCAATTATCCACAGCGTTAAAATATGCTGCAGTTTACTTCGTGCTTTATCTCCCGCGTGGAACTCACTGTTCCCCAAAGTCAGAATCTGTGTGAGCTGAACGCAAACGCCGGCATGACCTTTCCACTGAGGTGGCTCCCAGTGGCGGTTGGCCACCCTGGAGACGAGCACAGCCGCTCGCTGTAAGGTTAAGAACACGTACAAGACGCTAATTCCGATGGCTGCAGTAAGTTGGCGTGAAAAGGCGGAAAATTCTTTTTCGGATAGGTTTAGTCGGCCGGAGAGGGAGCTATCAGAAACCAGCCAGGGGTCCGTTATGCGATCCCAGATGCAGCGTTCCGGTGTCTATTTACGAGAACACTAATGCTTGAAATACCGTTGGGCAGACGTCGGACTTGATGTGAAACAAACTTTATGCTACGTAGTACTGAAAAAATTGACTTTACAAATTGCAAATCTACAAACTCGGCGCTGTTAAATGGTATACGCGGACATTCAACATAAACTGGTCTCAGAAAATGGGGTCGAACTAGAATTTACTTTATTAGGCTTATTTTATTATTATAAAGATATGCAGGGAATATTAGATATTACTAATAGTAATTCGAGTATAAGAAAATTATGTTCAGTAAATTCTATACGAGTACACCTTCGACGTTTTCGTATTCCGGACATTTTGACAATACGGATTCGGGTACCGGATACCAGAGACACGGTAGTCCCTTGTTGTTCCTCATGACAAAAACCGTTCGAAAATTGATTAGATGACAATTATTACCGTTTCTAAACAAGCTTGTACAGTACACGCCAATAATAAAATTTTGGATGTTTTTAAATGTGGAGCAACGTGGAGAAAGCCGTGTCTCTGGTATCCGGTACAAGAATTCTTATCGTCACAGACTCACAGTGTATGAAATTCGAAGAAACCTAGAATCAATGCTGGTTTTATTATCTTGATACAGCAGCTCTTTGTGGTGCAACAATCATCGGCATTTCATTAGGCGTTTGTACTTGAACCGCATACGGCATATTTATTCCATATTATTTGAATATACAGATATACTGTAATTATCGCATCTACAGACAGCAGTTATTATTTTCCAGCTAAGTCTTGAGTGCACTTACCAAAGTCCATGTCGACAGGAAGATATCGAGATCGGTTATGGCATTAACGTCCACGCGCGTTGTCTCCCGGTCGGGAGAAAATCGTGCGTCCAACTTCATACCGACTTCATTGGACAATCACAAAACGACAATTGCTTCTAACATAATCCCATAATAACGCGGAGCCGATGACGAGGTGACATGTTTGGAGAGAAATGCATCAACGTTCTCCATTTTATGCAATGAAAGGTCATAAAATCAGTGCCAATAGCAGAGTAAACTCATGCACAAATGTTAAAATTTCTACAAACGGTCGGTAATATAGTACGACTTTTAAAGGGAGGATTTGAATGGTACTGAACGTTGCTAACTGATGGTAAGGAAAATAACGCTTCATCGTCTGGATGAGTAGATTAACGGTTTCAGCTGATGGCAGTTCGCAGCGACCGTTTCATTACAAACATGGAAAAAGTCTGTCTGACAGTACAACTTCCTGGCACTGTATGCAGCTGTCATGATGTCAACAGCTGCAGCTCCTCTTTTTTTGCCATTTTAATTAACCTGCGACTGTAATAGTCAGTGCCTGTGGTGGTAGTGTCTTCATAATACTGTCGGCAAATATATGGAGGTATTAGACAAACAGATGGTTCACGAAATGTAAATAATTGAAGATCAGTTTACTAACGACCGAACGCCGTTTTCTGCTACACAAAGTTAGGAAAGATAATTATTATTATTGATCGCTCCAGTATGCATGGTACGTTTTTCTCATTATATTCAGCCCCTGCACGTTTTGATCCAAAGTTTGCTGAATTAGTTACCCTGAAAACGCTAGCTTCTACTCTCATAAATGAAGTACAATATTTTGTGAAGTTGCGAAAAGATCCTTAACCTGGGCATCAGTGAAATTACTCATTGTGGAAGGACAGAAACGGCAGGGTGACATAATTATCAAGTCAGCTACTTAATAATTGCCTAGGTGTCTGACGAAGAATTTTTGCCATTGCCTATGTTTGCGAATTAAACCTCATGGTCTGATACTGTAATGTTAAAAACTCCTTGTATAGCGCATTATTGATATAAACCGTGATGTAATCTCTGGTACATCCTGAACCAGGAAATAGGAAGACACATGTGTTTCACAAACCACTTAAAGAAGCGCCCATTTATATATGGAACAGTGGAAGGTGGAAGCGTCTACCCTCCGTCGTTTTCTATTTCGTTGCAACTACGTGAAAATAAAGATCCAGGTGCTACTTCACTATAATTAGTTATATTTAAGTAACTCTTCGAGAGCGTAATTAGTTTCCGGTTACAGCTCTCCATCGTCGGCAAGTATGCTGTTAGCTCGTGAACACGTTAGGTAACCAGTCTTAGAAACCTTTGAAATAGGCCATTATTTTCCGTTAGGCAACCGCATTTCGATTTCGCAACCGCAAGCGCATTAGTAAATTTGAATTCAGATCTCGCTCAAGCAAAATACCGACATCTTTTATCAACGCGAAGATGCTAAACTTGTCTAGTCTTTTGAATATCTCAAACATCAAAAACAGCAGCCAAGTTGAACAGGTGCACGAAATTATATATTACGTTCTGGCTGTGTTGACACCTTTGCAATTATGTTATGAAGTGCCGATTGTTATGCTGTTCCTATCGCATCAACGCCTGCGTACCGCGTTCAACATCTATCTCATAAACCTCATGATGTGCTTCATCACGATACTTTTTGTGGAATGCATTAGCCTGTGGCAAATCTTGGTCTTGCGGACTGGCCGTGCTTCCGGAAGGCGTGCTGATACACACGATATCGGCTGCTAATTGTCTGGTGGCTCTTAACCGAATTTGGGCGGTGACGTTTCCTCTCTCCTATCGCACTTATCATACGGTCCGCTTGGCTGTGTTTTGCCTGTGTTTTTGCAAATATTTTGACCGTCACCTTTCGTCTGCCCTATTTGATACTGACAGAAGTATTTCCCGGCAACGTCGTAACGTGTCCCGAGCCACCGTATCATAAAGCACCGGCGTATTTCGATACAGCCAAATTTGTATACGTACCAGTTTTTGTGTTTGTTTTCGGATCGCCAATTTATGTCGTTGTCATGCGACACATCAAACGAAGAAATTTTGCCGGTTAGTACAGTAATTACGATATAAAGAGTCTCTACTGCAACATATGAATATTATTACCGTACGGTTAACAAATTTATTAATGTTTCAGGCGGAAATGCAGCTACGGCGAGACAGCCTAGCAGCAGCAGCAGCAGTTTCACAATCTATTTTGGTTCGTCATTAATCAGTTTTGTCACAGCCTGTGTTGCCTTTTTGGTTCAGTACTACTTCCCTCGGGGAAAACTATTCGAACAGATTGGACACCAGATAGCCAATCTCAATTCGGTTTTGAATGCAACGGTTTTTGTGCTTTGCGCTTCTTTGGCACGAGAAGTCCTTGCCCGGAAATTAGGCATAAGAAGCGTAACTGGACGCGTATCTGCCATGGTATCGCAAAAGAGAATGACAGCTTCAATCAAGTCCACCGGTTGAATTCACCATGAATGCGCTGCACAGTGGTGACTGGTTTAGCTGCAGGTCTTGCGATATACAACTTCAAACTCAAAAAATTTAATAATGTTTCCCATGTGGGAGAAAATTTCGAAACGTTAGAATTTATGTACTTATTGCTCTCATCAAGTTTTCATTAATGAATTTATTAAACAAGTGCCGCCGAATATAATGTGTGACAAAAAAAATGGCTGCTTCTTTTCACGTATTACTGCGCGCACAAGTGCTTCTTAGATTTATCATTTATGAGCACCGGATGTATTCCTGTTGGACACAGGTGCAAATATTAACAGATTCGAACCAATGAAATTACTGCCTAAAATTCTATGTAAACTTTGCGCGTATGCACTGTAGTCTGTACTCGTACAAATGTTGTCCCAAATAAGTGCGTTGGCACTTTGATGATTTGCTGTATCATCTCTTTCTGCACTGTTTTCATTGATTGGCTTAACTAGAAATTTTTGAAAAAGTCAAATTGTAGTAAAACGCATTTGTTAGCGCAGCGTTAGCGTCGACAGTTAAAGTAATTGTGCATCATGAGACCGGGAAAGGGAAGGCACAGGTGTTTCGCGAACCACATCGTTAAAGCATTCAGTTATCTGTGGAAATTTCCACCAATTTTCACACGCTATCTCAATAACAATCACAATCCTTGCCGGCGCTCGTTCGGAGGTTTTATATATTTTTTTCCTTTTGTATGTATTTTACTATTTTTGTTGCGTTGATAATTTTATATTGCAAAACGGAATAGATGTTGTGGGATTGTTGTGGTGGTACAATGAATATACTGTTACGTATTCCGTGAGCGCCACATCCGTTGACCTGTAAGACTAACAATTTTGTTTTTAATTTCCCCGATTTTTCTTATCACTATATCAAAGTTATTTCCGTTTGTTGTATTTTCAAAGTGTTGTTTTACGTTGCTTTATGAATTCGTTTTTATTCTTTACATTTCGTATCTCCTTAACGTAATTCTTTTCGTTTTACTTAGTCCCAGTTTATTTTCTACGCTGTTTTGTGAATTCGTTTTTTGGCTACAACCTAAAAACAGATTCACACAACAACCGAAATAAAACTGAAAACATTATGATTACCTCAATTTTATTTAGGTTTATTTTCACTTTTGTCGCCTTATTTTTTTTAGATCCATCTGGTATTGTTCTCATGTTATTAAAATGGAAGGTATTGATTGCCCGGTCATACATAATGACAGTGAAAGATGTTAGGGGCAATATTAAATTGGCGTCATTTCTGCTGGAATTGCCGGGAAAAAAGAAGAGTTATCTGGCGTTTTCCCGAAGGAGAAGGTGGTTCACCTGAAGTCATATGCCGAGTACAATATGCGCGAATTCACCGAGGATGAGGTCTACGTCTTCGCGGCCAGTGTCGACCGGTCGCAGTCCGAATCGCTGACCGTCGACAAAGCCCAAAGCGAAGGTACTGCGCATGGCCGAAACCCTCGTTAGCGTCTCTTTCCGGTCTGCTGCAGTTTTGCACATAAATGCTGCAGCCGGATTACTCGGTTGCAAAAACTTAGCTGGAATATAGTATTATAATTTTTATCGAAATCTCCTGGAATTTTTTTATTGAATTATTTAACGACCGCATTGCTTTGTCGGTACGGTGCTGCTTTCGCTTATATAATTAATTGTATGCTTAGCCTTACGGCCTTACCAATACTGCTTCAGCAAATTTGTGCTGTGGGAAAGGTGAACTGCTTTCTTTGCATTTTTATCATGTACATTGTTTTTGCTCAGTTTTGTTTCTTGTCTGTGGTCTGAACTTTAAATGAATCACTGTCAGTAGAAGAAGGGCGTATGTTAGGGAAGTGTTTGAACAAAAAATTTAGCTCACAGATTCAAAGACGGTTGTCATACTGTCATAGAAGACAAGGTTAGAAATACCGGTGGTTGTTAACCACATTAACGATGTATTCGAGAAACGCCGACAAGGTTTTGGGGCATATGGCCAGCCTCGGCTCGGCCGCGGAGTCTCGTGGAAAACGTCAGAACATGCTCGGCCACCGGAAGGAGCGTATACGTGTTATCGCGAGCAGTGCCACCTGGTCCGTGGCCAGGTGACCCCCTGATTCGTGGCCAGGGGTCGAGGACACCTGATTCGTGGCCAGGTGATACCCTGATTCGTGGCCAGGGAGTGAGCTGGATCCTGATACGTGGCCAGGATGTTGCGGCTGCCTTCCGGTGCGGTTCTGTGCGTACCATAGCGAGAGAGCAGCGCGAGTGAGGGGGAGCCCCAAACAAGAATGGTACGCGCAGACGTTGCGGGCGGATGTAACGCTTAAACGAGGACGATTTCCACCGTCCCCGTTCACATATGGCGTCAGCTGACAGGCCATCGGCGGCAGCCGAAGTGGCACCGCCAATTCGAAAAGAATGGGATGAGTAGCGGGCGCGGTCCTCCCCATCAGGAAGGGTCGTCTTCAGTGCCCGTGTAAGGTCAATCCGCGTGAGGAAGCGGCCGCTGCTATGGATAAAAAATGGCAAATCAGAAGGCTGTCGATGCTGACGCTGCTGGGCATAGGTGACACAGGCGTTGTGGATGATCGGAGCTTCGCTAGCTGTCAAAGACAGCGTAGCTCCTTTCCCGTGCTGGTCTGTTTTCGACTGCTTGATGGAAAGCTGCAGCATAGAGTCGTTCCAACGCACGTCCCGTAGCAGGAGGGTGGCAGACATCCCAAACGTTGTTGGTGATGGCGATGTCAGTTCCGACACTCGCAGCAAGAAATGATGAGCCATCGTGAAAGCGGCCCAAATCATCTGTTGGTCGTACTGTGTGGGGAAGGTTAGATGTAATCGGCTTGGAAGGCGTCCCAATAACTGAGAAGTGACCGGAAGTCGTTGATACGGTTGCGTTCCAGTCAGTCGGCGGGCGCCTGCCACAATCTGCTTCAGTCTGGGGTTGGCTGTCGGATCGGCCAGTTTCTGCGATACGTGACGTCTGGCGACAGCGGCTACATACACATTTATAGTTGACGATGACGACTTTCGGTTGAACAAGTATGCCACATAATCTTCGACTGTTTCCGGAGTGGCGGGCCATGGTTGTTTCATTACTGATCTGCAAAACTGCTCGAAGCTTCGCTCTCCATTTGCGTAAGCTCTTCGGGTAGAAGTAGCCACTCCGGCGGCGAAAAGGTCACCGGGGCCGAGGTTGTTATGGGAGGCTCCTTTCCAGTCAGAAATGGTTTCAGGCGTGTTAGCAAATCCGGTACTGCCGTGCCGTTGGTGTTCGCTGAAGGATGGAGCTGGCGAAAGCGTTGCAGCTGGAATCGAGACAATGCATCAGCAATGCTATTATCAATGCCCGCGATGTGTGCAATTCTGACAACAAAATTAAACCTCGCCGTAACAAAATGAATTCTGCGTATAAGCTCCATTACCGCTGGGTTTCTACAACTGCCAGTTGACCATGTCTGAGCTGTCCCTGTATTATCGCAATGAAAAAGCACTCGTTTTCCGTACAGTTTTTCACTCCAAACAACACACGCTACATAGATCGGGTACATTTCGAGGAACGTTATCGGTGGGTTCACTTTAAGCAGCCATGATGGCTCCTTGAAACCATTCATTAGCTAGCGCGCCACCAAAACCTATCGAGCCCGCCGCGTCAGTGTATAAATGCAATACACTTGCCGGCAACCATTCTGGTTGTATAAAACCGGCCGTCCCGTTCCAAGCTGGTAAGAACTCTCTCCACCACGCAATATCACGACGAAATCCCTCCGTCAATTTAATCCTGTGAAACAGCCGGTTCACCTTACAGCTCAGCTCGATCATGCGTCTCAGAAAAATTCGGCTTGCTGGTATACATTTCGTCACGAACGACAACTTGCCAATCAAACTCAAGAGCTCACGTTTTGTGCACTGCGTACACGCGGAAAAGTTTTCGAGCAACGCAGTCAACTCTGCTAAGCGTGCGGCAGATACTGACAGAGTGAAGTTTTCACTGTTGATCTCAATACCCAAAAATTCGATTATGGTAGCTGGGCCAACTAGCTTTTTCTCATTAATCGGAACACCCAAATACTTACACACTGACTGTACCTGCATCACCAACCGCCCACATGCTGAACCCACTGCTTTATCGCACATGAAAAAATCGTCAAGAAAATGCAGAAACGTATCGCTACCAGTGCATTTTCTGAATATCCACTCTAGCATGCGAGCGAACGTATCGAATAAAAACGGGCCTGACCGTAAGCCGAACGGGACTACTACGTCATAATAGAACTGTCCATCCCATTCGTATCCCAACAAATGCCAGTCTGCCTGTCTGACGGGTAGATTACGGAACGCATTTTGAATGTCAACTTTTGCCATTAACGAACCGCGACCATGGAACATCACCATTTTCACCGCATCGTCTACGCCTACGTAAGTAAGCGAATACTTATCTTTTGAGATAAAGTCGTTCACGCTGAATTCGAAAGGCTGCGACAGGTCCATTATCACCCGGTGGCCTAATGGTCTTTTTGGGCGCAGTCCCAGCGGATTTACGACGAAATGCGGATGCGGTTCCACCGGAAACGGACCTTTTGTGTGGTTAGCCTGTAATTCTTTAGTGATCATCACCGTGATGACATGCGGGTCAAGTAGAGCTGAACGTGCGTTAGCTGTAAATCGGCGAATCTGCGGGCCTTCGTAGCCGATGGCGAAACCAAACCTGAAACCCTGTAAAAGGAAACACACAGACTCGCGGTCGTTATGCTCTACCAGTAATTCAGCGAGTCTCTCGACGAAAACGGGTGTCGCTACTTCCGGCTTTGGCGTTGATACTAGTGGCAGACTTCTGCTGGGCTGAATCGTGCTCGTGGACGGTGTGGTCAGCCGCTCTGCATGTTCCACACAAATGCTTAAAGCGGCAGTTTGACCCGTTGGTGCATCTCCCGTTGTTCCAGTTCCTGCACAAGTCTGGCGGGATGTGTCGAAAGGGCCGATCCCCCTTTGCGTCTTTCTGACCGTGTGCAGTAATCTGGAGCTTTTTCGGGCAGTCTTGGTCCGTATGGTCCGCAATGCTGCAGTCGCGACATAATGGCAGATGAGCGCGAAGCGGATGTCGGGCTATACAGCGGTCCAGCAGGTTTCGGTCCAGCAGGTTCCATTGATCATGGTTAGTGACATCACGGATGCGGCAGGCACGGAAAGTCTTATCATACTCCAACCACACCGGCGGCAGGTAGACACCCGCCATTTCAGTCATAATGGTATGGTAGGAGTCGAGCGGTTGCTGAAGAGCGGGATGGTAACAACTGCGCACACGGCGAAACACAATAAACGCTTCGTTCCACAGAGTGAACGAAGTAATCGTAATTTTCTTAGGCTTCGAGTCAGAAAGAATAAAGTTTCCATCTCTAATCTCGAATTTAGCTTCTCCCTGAATCGGTGACATGATGGTGTTCGCTCTAAGCAGTTTATCTAAGTCAACGTTCACCGTGAGATCGTACAGGTCTTCAAGACATTTCTCACTGACAATTGGGAACCCAGCCGGCAACGGTGGCGGTTTCTTACTGTTACTCGCTCCGGAGCTGGTGGACGGCGTCGCCTGGGCCTCGTTGACTTTCTGAGTGAGCTGGGCAAGCTGATTCTGCTGATTCATCATGAGCTGAATCAGCATAGTCGTTTCCGTCGGTGGTGGCTGGGGAGGCTGTGATGGTGGTGCCTCTGATGTCGACAGGACCGGGATGGCGTCCGCGTCCTTCTGCGCTAACAGTGACTGCAAGTGCTGCCTTGCCATGGCAATCTGAGCATTCAGGTTTCCTGTGCTTCCTGCGCTAAAACTTCCGCCTGTTGCCGTCGGGCGGGCAACAGGGTTCGCGCGCGCGCGCGGACGGCCGCGAGCTGGCCGTGTCGCAGGTGGTCCGGGCGCATTAGATCTCCTACCGCGCCGTCCGGTCATACTTTATGCGAAACACACTGCTGAAAATTGCAAACGTTAACTTTCAATGGTCAACATCCAAATCTGACACACATGAAAAGTGAGGATAACAGGCAAAAGACTCGCACATGCCGAAAAAACACCAATGCGATAAATGCAACTAGGCCAGCATGAGATAAAAACTGGCGGTTAGGTAGTCCGTAGGCAAAAAGGCAGTTTGCACACCGTCCGCAAACAGGAAAGGCAGGCGATTCGCTGGCACACAAGCTGGTGCTACATTCCAGGAGGGAGGAGAAAATACATCCGTCGGTTCGCTCAAAGTCCGGCGGCTAATCATTAATGTCCTGTGCAGAAAGAGAGACTAGCTCTTGCCGGCGTTTCTCTCGCACCGTTATCCAGCAACAAAGCGGTAACTGTGGACGCAGGTGTGCAAAAATTAGCCACCTTCTAGAAGCCAATTGATTTCCGGTTAAAGTTCATTAAATCCGGCAAACGCACAGAGTACTACCTCACGTCTTTAGACAGCCATGTCTTAGAAACTTGCTAATCTGGCCAGTATTTTCTGCCACCCAACCGTATACCCCAGAAATAGAGGAAAATTTCAAGGGGCGTTCAAGCGGCGCTGGTTCCTTTGGAAATATGCTACGTAGTGCCAATTGTTGTGCTGTTCCTATCATATCATATCAACATCATGCTGTGTTTTATCACGACACTATCAATGAAATGCGGTAGCCTATGGAACGTATCTGCACTGGTCAAGGACACGGTTACGGTGAATGACAAGGTTTTCTGCGGACTGACTATAATGCAATAAGGCGTGCTGGAGCACATGATAGCGGCTGGCTACTGTCTGGTGGCTCTCAACCGTATTTGGGCCGTGACTTTTCCTTTTCCTATCGGAAGCACCATACCAACCGCTTGGCTGTAGCAGCCTGTGTTGCTGCCAATATTTTGACCGTTGCCTTTCGTCTGCCCTATTTACCGCTGGCCTTGGAGGAATTTGAAGTAATTTCCCGACGAGGTGGAAGCGCCCTGCATTGTGCCGTACCATAAAGCGCCGATGTATTTTGCAATAGCGAAACTTGTATTCATACCGGTTTTTATATTGCTTTTCGGGTCACCAATTTATGTTACTGTCATGCGACATGTCAAACGGAGAAGTACAAGTGTGCGGCAGCCAAGTTGAAGACAGTTGGGAGAGATTTTTTCCCATTTCAGATTTTGGCGTTATTAACCGTTTATCGGCTGAAACCAGTAAAGCTAGGTGTGGGAAGCTTAAAAAAGGCTGTTATATGATAGCCGAACTCAGTCTGGAATTTTGGGATTTTTTTCCCATTTGCCCCCCTAAGTTTGAACACTGACCACTTCGCATATTGCACACAGGGTAGGGCGGCAAAATAAATTTCGTTAAAATCCAAATTGTCTGTGACTTGACGATACTCTTCGTTTCTAAAGAGCCTAATACTGACACCATGGATTAAAACAAATTTTAACGAGATAAAGATTGGAATCAACAACGGTTTCTGGAGGGAGTCCCGAAAGGAAGAATCCTGGATGAAATAGAGGGTCTTGGTTTTCGTAGTACAACTGTTACAGATATCGCTCAAACTAAAAGCTGCTATAAAAAGCAATCTCCTAGGAGCTTAGGTTTTGCATCATTATGCCGGCAGGAGGCAGATGATGCCTCATAATTATACATGGAATTTTTTTCGATTACTCTAAAAAAACTGCTAAAGTTTTGAAAACAGCTAGTTTTTGTAAAACATTTTCTCATGTGAAACGAAACGAATTTTCTCATGTGAAGTACTTAACTATTTTTTTTCTCAAAGAATGCGTAAAAGTACACAGAAGAAAAAATTATCAGCTAATTCGAGCAAGTTGCTGAGTAGCTATAAAACAAAAACCTCGAGAAATGCTGGTCAATTTAAATTTTACCGGAAATGAAATTATAATGCGAAACGCATCGGACCTGTACGAAGGACAGCCAATAGTTTGGCGATTAAACGTCTAGGAGGGTCTGCACCATAATTTGTGTGCATACAGCAAGAAGAATTCGTACAGGGAAATAATGGATTGAATTAAATCTGCATTGTCTTCAACTTGGCTGCCGCACACATACCCAGGTATAGCCGGTTAGTCAGAGTGGTTTATGGATGCTCCAGTCTGCACGTATAATTTTTATTAAAATTTTTAATGTTTTAGGAGAAAACTAGTGATGTGCTACTAAATAAAACTAAATAAATGCTATTTAATTAGTAAAAGCTTCCCTAAAATTAAATGTGTAGTAAACAGTAAAGTTTTACAGGTAAAATTAGTAAAAATAAGTAAGTATTCAGCTACAATAGTAAATAGTAAGTAAATAGTAAGATTTTGCTTTCACTAAATAAAAGCTATTTACTATTCATTTACTAATCGCATTTTAGCAAATAACCAGAAGACTCGTTGCTGTACAGTACTGGGGCAGGTTCATCATTAACGGTGTTGCACACTAAAGTTGGTGCCTTAACAGACGGTGGTATTGCTGTTCACGTAAACGCAATGTACCGCCAACCCGAAACTGCGGTTACATTACGTATAATCTTTATGAATTTGAAATGCAGCAGCATGGCAAGCTGATTGTGCAGCACAGTTGTACTGCTTGATTTTGCGCCTTTACAGTCCGTAGATTCGCATAAAGCCATAAAGTATAGTATATTTGATTCCTTCATGAAAAGCGCAAGCGTCCCAGTTCTTATAACAGTGAATTAAAAATTGAAATAAATTTATTTAGTATAATTAGTAAGTAATTGGTTGGGAAAAATGGAAATAGTAAGTAATAGTAAGTATGCGAAAAATTTTGGGATTAATAGTAAGTAATAGTAAGTAAATGTTTCGGACGATTAGTAAATAGTAAGGTTGCAGGAAGCTGTAGTAGCACATCACTAGAGAAAACCCCGGTATAGGGAGGCAACCCAACAGCAGCGTCACTATTTATTTTGGAGCTACTGCAGTTAATTTTATTACGTGGGGTTTTGAGGCTACGGCTCAACATTATTTCCCTCAGTGGAAGCTACTTTCGGAGCTTGGAAGACTGATAGTCGACCTCAACTCGGTATTGGACGCAACGCTGTTTGTGTTCTGCTCTCCTCTGGCTAGAGAATTCCTGGCACGGAAATTAGTAAGGCGAAGACAAGTGGACGTGTATCTATGATGCCTTCGCAAAACAAAATCTAGAACCGCACTGTGAACTGTGGTTGAATGCGATATGAATAACGGCATGCAGTATCACAGCAAAAATGAAAAAAGCAACTACTTATACCTATATCTGCGCTGGGTTGTGTACAGCGGTGCATTTACTAGCCATACTCGTACCGGAAGTCTTGATGCGGCTTATTCGTGAGCCAAAGGGGATTCCCACCTGCGCATCCGACTACTGGAAAACCAATTACAGCGATCTATCATTACCTACATTCGGATTCCTGATTTTCTTCTTTATCGCTTGCACCCGTTTATTTTACCGAGTATTGTTTGAAACAGCCTTCTACAGCACCGGACTTCCCATATAAAAATGAACAGTCAGTTTCACGGAGCAGCACCTAATATTACATTTCGGCCAAGTGAACCAGTCGTTGGCATTGTTAACTTTTATCAATGAGCGTAGCTGGTAGTAGTATAGTGGAAGTAGCAATGTACTGTATGCTGACTAATTCGCTTTTGTACCTCAGCGCTTTACGACTAACGAAGTTTGCTATTGATAATTATGGCAAGACTCTGACAATGAGCAGTCTCGAAACCGTGTCTGACTGTTATTGGAATTGGATAGCTTTACTGCGGCATGTGCGTAACTGCTGGTGGCGGACGCTGTCAAAACTGAAAACTGCGTCTGCGCAGTTCAATAATATTACATCATGCTGAGTACATTGATCACGCTATCAATTTTCACCGGATTCCCAACGCTCCAGGAAATGTTGAACCTTTGTGGAACTAGAAATGTCAGCTTAGATATATATTGAGCCATACATTTATGGCAAAGGCAAAGTATACCTTTCACATTTAAAGTACGTAGACTACAGGCATATGTAGTTATTACCTCGTACTTAGCAGTTAGCACCTACAAAATCGAAAGCCTTGCAAAATTAATTAATTCTTTTACTCAATATGACTGGTTTGTTGGCTAGAATTTGTTTTATGGTAACGGATGCGAAATGGCTAATCAATCATTCGTTGTTTCGTTTCGTTTAACGAATATCACGACTTCTCTCGAGAATTATTATATTGTATTTGATGGTTCGCCTAACTTAGCGAACATTACAACCTCTCTTTGGAATTATGACGCTATTGCGCCAGTTATTTGGTGGTGTCTGGTTCTGCTATCAAATGGTTTCCTCCTGGTCCTCTTTGCACTGCATCGACATCTTATCACACCTTTCATGGTCTACACGATCTCTTTGCTAATTTCAAACATTCTTGGCGATAACGTTAGCATGCTGCCATATTCCATCCTTTCAACGACCATTCCCTTAGAATACACGGAGATACATTCTGCAATCTTTGTTTTGAATGGATACGGCGCCTGGATTATCACAAGCGTAACAGAGTACAGCCATGTTTTGATTGCCATAAATAGACTGTGGGCTATCCGTTTTCCGATCCACTATCGAGTGCATCATAACCGGCGACTGGCGATTGGTGTTTGTATAGCGCTGTGGATAGCGGTACATGTGCTGACCGTTCCGGCATTCGTTATGCAGTGTCAGGACGAATTATACGGCCCGTCTAATCGCACTCTAGAGGAAATAATGGGAGACGCGTACCTAGTAGTTTGTAATGGTTGTCCTCTGGTTATAATCCTCGTTGCGTACATCGCTATTCTTGAAAGTAGCTCCAGTCGACGACAGCAGAGAAGGGCGAATCGCCAAGCGAATGGTGCAACTTCCGCTGTGCCGGAACCGATCAACCACAAAGAGCGCAAATTAGATGCTCGGGAATCTACGCGATCGTTAGCTATCATGACTTTCATGACGATTAGTGTGTTCGCTTGTTATTTGCCGTCTAATCTGCCGCTTATCATAGGTGGCTTTACCGAGCTGACGGATTCAGACTGGTTTTGGTGTTTTCAAGACGCACTGTATTACATACAAGCCGTTCTTGATCCGTTGATATTTGGATTCTGTATCAAAGAAGTTCGCGAAGATATATTCCGCGTCTTTTCTAAATCTTCTCCATAAATATATGTATTTCTTTTCTGTAAATATATTGCCCATGGTAGTAGCGCGCTGACTACGACTGGTTCTGGGCTTTTGCACATTACGTTACTCAGGACGTTACTCAGGTTCAAGTGACAGTCAAATGCCCAAGCTACTGTACGTGATGTAATTCTGAATAAAAATTTTCATTTTCTTATTTTCTTACATCAGTGTCTTGCATGTTTTACTTATAATGTTCGCATGCTGCAAATAAAGGAGCATCTAATTTTTATTTCTCCAAAATATACGGAATAATGTAAGAGTAAACAATAAAACGGGATCCCGTAGAGACCTTACGGCTGGACAGATTCAGTGAGTACTTTGCTAATGTTTATCGTAAAATCAGCAGGCCATCTGCAAATTTAACATGTTCCTCGTACCAGTAAACCATTACCTTTGGGAAACAGCGAACGCGGAAGTACGCGAAACAAAAAACACCGCTGTTCCGCAGGTGTGACATAATAGTTAATTACTCTTGCTAATAGTGACATAGTTAATTCCAGAGCTTCGCTGCTTCTCTGGATTTCCTGTTAAGTGATTTTATGCAGTAAATTAAGTAAATTCAATCTTCTACCAATGTAATAATACGTGTTGTACGATAACCCAAATCAATAGACATTGACGGTGACTTGAAACCGCCTCAAATAACGGATATCAGTTACAACTCTGCCAACAGCGCCGCGCCGAATTCAGGAATCCCCAGTAAGTCCGCAGTGCGAAGCCGGTCAAGATAAAGAGCAGCGACGGCCATTGCGCTTTTTCCGGCAGAAGATATTCAAGTGCCGGACGTGGTAACAGCATCCAGAAAGTGAACACTACAAAACTGTGTGGAATAATCCCGTCAATGGCCGCCCACAGTGTACAGGCGCAGTGCGGAATCTTGGTTGGTGAACCTGTGGCGTTAAGGGAACAACCGTCTCCGTTCTTTGTTTCGAGATCACCGTACATGAGATTGTGCAGTATGTCTTTAACAGCACAGATTTTACTACAACCACAAACAGTTGTCAAAAATCATCCTTTAGCATGATACCGATAGCACTAGTACTACCAGCCTGTCACCACGTTGCTATCTTGATTACTATGCCCCGGTTGGCGCTGGTCAGGCAAGATGCGCAGTACATTCTTTTACTGTACTCTGGAATTGACCTTTATGGATCTTTTTGATGTTAGTTGAATATAGTTCTAAGGAAAGCGTACCCACGCACGGCCGAAATGCAGGCTATCAAAAACAAAAGAAATCCAGCGAGAATCAGCGTCGACAATGTAGACGGCGGCAGCCATTGCGTAAAGTTCGTCAGGTGTATCATTCCGAGCGCCCGGCCCCGCAGCATTAAACCGGTCACCACTGTGGCACCATCCGGCGGCAAATATGGAGTCGGCAACGTGCTGATATTTCCAAGAATGAGGGACGCTGATTGCCAGTGAGATAGCATCGCAACACGGTAATCCAACCCCTAAAAACCCAAATTGTTTTAAAATACCGGACACGGAAAACCAGTATCGGCCCGGTTTCCGAAACGTTTGGTAACCTGTTGGTCTGTCGATAAATTTTGATAAAGTAAAGTATTGTAACTCGCGACTGAGATTAGACAATAACTTGCACTCGTTTCGTGGCTTTATTAAGTATCACGGATAAACAAATCAGACTTGCCGTAGTGGTCCGTGTGTAGCGACCCGTACAGCTGCCCAGCTGGGCTTTCTGCGGCAACCCGTTGTCGATCGCAGCCACGTTGCAGTACACGGCCCAGCTGCTGTATATGAAAGCCAGTCCGTTCATCCACAAATAGTGCAAACGAAACCATCGATTGTTCAGCACTGGCGTTGTTTTTGCTCCTTTTTGGCTGGTAGTCGGTTCCGCCACGCACGTGTTTTGCAGGCAATCGCATTCACATACTGCCAGATTATTTGTTGCCGTTTCGGTCTCTGTCGGCTCACTCTCATCTTCCCTAAAACTTATGAGAAACGGAAGAGAACACATGTCAAATTTCCTTTAAATTCTTTGAATCTTCCCCAACTCTTCCCCAACGAACGAAGGTCTTTTGTTATGACCTTTTCCCGATAGAGACATAGAATAACTTTTTTGTGGCACTAATTGAGAAGAAAATTGTATTAGAGATATGCAGTAGAAATACCGTATATTGGAGAAAGTATTTTTATTTCATAACCACACTGAACGAGAAATTTGTATTTCGTTTCAACGTTACCAGCGTTCCTTAAAGTATGTCCAATACGAATCCACCATCCAGCGTTCGGCAATTCGTCTTCCGCAGTATATGTTTAAAATAATTAGGACGAACAAGAGTGACACATACAACGTCATATCACCGATTGATTGGAAGCTGGCATAGATGTAGATGCCCGTATTCAGACCAATGAAGGCTGTAACTAAAAAAGACTGCCCCACCATTTTAACCAAACTCAACACGACAAATCCGCTACAAGTCAAACACAGCGATATGGCGTTCTTCACGAATCTCCGCCAGCTGTTACTCGCAAAGAATTCGGTGTGCCCGAACGTCAGGATATGCGTCAATTGGTGGCACACGGATAGATGACCATTCCATTGCGGTGACCTTCCGTGTCGGTTGGCAATCAGTGAACCGATGAGATGGATGCGTGAAAACTGCATGGACACGTACAGTACAACCAAGCCAAAGCGGCCAAAAAGCTTACGCGAGCCAACTGGAAATTGATTTTCTGTTGGGTTAGCGCGATGACTGAATCGTGGCTTTGAAATTCTTGCACCATCAGCCAGGAGCCATGGATCCATTATGCAGTCCCATACGCAGTAGTCGTTCGTCTTATTACCAGAAAAGGAACCGCGTCGTATTAAATATATACAGTCTCTATTATAATTATGGTTGTATCTTAAGCTGCAAAATACTGCAACGAGTTCGCTCTGATGACTACTTTACTTATTCTGCAATGAAGCGTGCCTCCATGTTTGCTACATATCAGGAGGTGTATGTTCTGTAACTTCTGACCAGCTTAGCATCGGAGCGCAGCATGGTTGTACGAAATCATCGAAAGCTGTTCTAGTTAATTTTAAACTTGACGTCAGTTTTCGTTTAATCGTAATATTATAGCCTAGAGGCCAGTTCAAAAAGAGGTTACAATGAGTAATGAAATGCTAAAATTAAATTTAAATTACAATTTAAATATGTATTAAAAATTATTTTGTCGGCTAGCTGGAACAGGAGCTGCACTTACCAGTCCGACGCTATTCAGTAAGCTATCAACGCCGGTTAGGGCGTTCACATCAACACGAGTGACTCGCATCTCGGGATAAAAGCGTGCGTCAAATTTTTCACTCATCTCAATAGAGAGCCACACAACCAGTACGGCTTCCAGCATGGTCTCATGGTAAACTAGCCACGACCTTCTGGCCCATTGGGAAACTATGTTGTCTATATATTCCATAATATTTATATTATACTACCTCTGTATACTATAAGAAGCCAACAACACTGTTAGTTTTAGTCGACAAAAATATACAAAACGGATGGTTTGGGTTCTTGTGGTTACTGCAAGTTGCACTATAAAGTTTAAATAAGGTCGGTACCGTGAAGAGACGATACAGTTGTACTAACAGTATTCAAGACTGAAACAGCGGACATTAAAACAACTCGTCCATGCTGTTACTTTAATTTAGGCAGAACAATGTACAAAGCAAAACGACCAATCATTCAAATAGGAAAAACTCTGCCGTTGATTAAAGCCTGCTGATTATACAGTGCATGCATGGAAAGTGCGTGTAGAACTGTCAGCTGTGTCACAGCTGGCAGTTTTTAATGAAACTTGGATGAACACCCAGTAGAAAACACAAGCTTTCGTGAGCGCAGCGCTATAATAATCCAGTTGCCGATAATGCTCAAACAGAAGCTTCGCGTAAAGTAAATAATACTTCGTTATAGGCTTATAGCTCTTTTTTTCCGTGCTAACAACGAAATTAATCCGTCTGATCATATGAAGTTTTATGTAAACATGTATTGATCTCTGTATAGACATCAGACAGGATGTCAACTGAACCTCCCTAACCATACCGGTACCTCTACACCGTACTTTCTTGTTTTATCGAAATAAAACGAGCTACATAATTATTAACCAACTTCGAAGTTATTTTCAGCTTTCTTCTTTTACATGAGTGACGGCTGGTCAATAATTATTCGAATACACCGAGGAGCGTTTTGAAAGAGCCGTTAAATTTTCGTGCATATTAGGGCTGTAGCAAAATCCAGTCGCATGACAAATTTTTGAGTATAACTGAAAATGCGGATACAGACTTTCGGCACAGTACAAATTAATGTGCGGAAGTTCTTTACTATAAAAGACTCCGCTCCAGCTTGTGCACGAGCTGTATCTTTGAACCTCTTCGTAAGCTGACAATAATTTTACTGAGATTTTTTATTAGGAGATTAAAGCGTACGAATAATAAGTCTCGGCCTAAGTCACATTCTTATACATAGCTCGGCGTGCAATAAGTCCCTTACATTAATTCGAAAGTAGAGAAAAAATATTTATCTCTTCTAATCAAGCGGCATGCACTGAGCAGTACAGACTGTATTTATATAATTCGGTCTATGTAATTATCGGTTAAATGGCACGCAGTAGTTTTAACCAAGATAAATCTACAGCAGAAAGTCGGGCTTAACAGCGGCGGGCTTTGCTCTGTTTTCACCTATTGACAATAGTTATTGCAAGTAATGCAATGAGAATTCAAGCAAGGGCTGATAACAGGCAACAGCCGATAAATTTGACAAAGGCCTTTTTAACAAACAAAAATATTAATGAACATTCTTCAAATTATTATCATGGTTCGCGCTATTATAACACTCCAACGAAGTTCTGCAGCATTCTGCACTGCAGATATATTTACGTGTTATTTTTCCGTTCCAAAATATTTATTGTCATCCAAAGGTTCGTACCACGTTTGAACAGTTCAGCCACCACAACAGTGCTTATTATGGAAGCGCAAATCAATTTCGCCATAACGCTGCTTTTTTTCGGTGTGACCGCTGGTAGTGCTGTTAAATTGACATCTCCCTTGCGACCAGCCGTGGGCGTGGTCAGCGAGAAAATATCTGCAGTGAACGGTTCCTCATCGCGTCGTACGACAGACACGATTGAGATGCCGGTCGGCGGGGGAACAGCACTGGGATACTTGGAAGACCTGGATTTGGGCTACACCGCTTCCCATGAACTTAAGGCCGTGTGCAGCGGCAGCAGCGTTGCTTTAACCCTTATCGGAACAGATTCCGATCGGCATCTGCAGAGCTCCAGCTTGGTGGTGGGCGATGGCGGTGCCGGTTGTCAGGCAGCTGCGGAGTACTACAGTTTATGGTTTGTCGAGTTTGATCTCGTTGTCCGTGGATGTGGCCGAACCCATGATGCTGCCAGAAAAGTGTACAAATGGCAGGTTACGGTGCTGCATTATCCTTTACCAAAAGACGGTATTGCGGTAGCCCCCATACCGACCGTGTACATAGTGGCTTGTGAAGCAAAAAGTTCCATCGACATTAATTTGGAGGACCACGGAGTAACCGCGACCAGCCAGCTCGACGCGTTCTGCAACGGAAAGAATGTGGAGCTGAGTTTAATTGTCGCAGACCCTGGCAACGAACTGAAGAAACTGGTTCTTGTAGTCGGACGCACTGGCGAAGCGTCTTGCAGCGCCGATACTGGCAATACCAATATGGTCATTCTGAATACTGCGGACACGGCAAACGGATGTGGTCGCAGTGCAGCTCTGGGTAGTGGTGACAAAATAACCTATACGTGGTCCGTGACGGTAAATCATTTCCTAGAACCTTGGGGAACTGCAGCGAACCCAATTAGTACAATGCACACGGCGACATGCGACGTATTGATCGGTGTACCCACTGCTGTTACCGATAATCCGCAACCGCTGCCAGTAATCGGGGAAGATTTGGCCGGAAGCAGTCCACCAATTGCTCTTAAGTAGGCATAGTGATAACGTAACTCTAGGGCTTCCTAACAGTCTGTTGAAATCCGTTTCTTTCCTCTTAGATTAGTTAGAGAGCCGAGTAGCACCAGTAGGATATGGACGCTGACGCTGTCACCAGTGGAAACTAACGCTCTCCCTGCAGATTTGTCGTATATGATTGAAACGTGCACGGCAACGCCTACCGGTGCTGCTACGCCTATTTTCCACTTCATACGAGACGGGTTAGTGGCAACGAACACAAAGCAGACAATAATATAGAGAAAATAATTTGTTTTTCAGATGTATAATTCCGAAGTCCGGTGTAAAGGGCACATACGATATAGCTAAGAAGGAGTACAAGCTCACCGTTAGGGCTTTTGGGTTTGCCGGGCAATCAGGAACAGTTTCCATTCAGTGCGCTGCCGCTTTGTGTGAAGTTTTAGACAGTGGAACAGGATTGTGCATGCGGCAAGGGGTAACCCTTCTTGAATGCGTTCCGCGGTAGCCAGAAATTATCGAAAGGAGAAACAAACAAAATAGCACTTCTCAGGTAGCGCGCTACTTCACGAGGAGGATCAGAAGTGCTTCGACGTGAGTGATCTCCAATGTTCTGACGTTATGACGTTCTTTAGTGTACTACTTCTATAAATATTTTTTGCATTTGGGTGATTGTGGATTTTCTTTGATTAGTTAGCGCAACGTTGATATAAATAGTCGAAATTAATTATGTCGCAGCACGAAGCCGGAAACAGATAGAGACACAAGCGGGCAAGCGTCTGTCCGCATTCGTCGTTTGTTTCGTTGCAAATAACTTCTAAGATAGAAGACCCAGCGATTTGCTTTCCTTGTATATATATCATTCGATTTTACTAACTCGTCGTGAGCGCAGTTGGTTTGCAGTTACAGCTCTTTATCGCCGATTTATAATATTATGCTGTTTTCTCATACCCGCTTCAGATAGTCGGTCTATCGTTCTAATTGGGCCAGTATTTTTCACAGTTAGCGGTCCCCGAGCCCGCCTGCATTTTATAAACCTGTGTCGTCAGTAACCGTCTTAAACGTCCGCCGGACATCTGAGCTTCCTCCACATGCAGAATTTAGACAAATAACTTGCACCACTGAATGGAATCATCCAATGGAACAAAACAAATAGCAGGTATCCGAAGGAATAGGAAATTTGGATAATGGGAATCGGAATTTTGGGCTATTGTGTCTTCTCGGTGAACCACGAAGGACAACAATAAGTATTTAACTGCCGGGCTGGCCCTTAACCCACCAGAGCCAGGTACCGGAAGGAGTGCGAGTTCCGATTTGAATTTGTTTGTTCTGCATACCTGTCTCATGCGGAAATCTCTGGGCCGGTAGCCATGACCCCGCGAACCCCTTTGGCTTGTTTTAACCAACTTCAGTCACGCACTGGATTTTAATAGTGTCCGGTTGTTCACTACTTTAATTATTCAAATGCTCGTCAACATCTCTCGTTTGCAATAAAATCACCCAGATTTTCATTACTGCTTTTCCTACCGCTACAGACGGTAAATCTCTCCACTGCGCCAGTTGGCATGCATGGTTTTGACCGGTTAGGGAACGTGATCCGGCACATCGTACTAAATTCGTGTGCATGCACGAACTTTCGCTTTCGCGCCTCTCCGGGCTATCCCAAACAGTTTTTGCTTCGTTTTATGACATTCTGTAGCCAGATGATTCTAGACACATGTAAAAACCGCTTGTGCGCGCAAATGCTGTTCGGGAGCTCTCTGTATGACAGTAAGAAAATTCGAAAATGTTTGAGTGCGCGTTAGTGAAAGTTCGTGCATGCATACGAATTTAGTGCGATGTACTGTACCAGGTCGCTTAAACCGTCCGAACACCCATTACAAGCAAAAAATGTTGCATAAAAACGATGACCGCTCCGTACTGACCGTAAACTACAATCAGCAGGGCGCAATCCGAGGGAAACCGAGAAACGGCTGAAAAAGGCGCCAATGGGGGAATCGAACCCCGGCTACGTCGTTAGATCCGCGTAGCCGTATGCAGTACCACTGCACCACGGCGCAATACGTTGAAATCATTTAAAAGATTTTGTCGCTGTACGTGAGCCGCTTCTCTCCTCACACTACCTTTCCATTTAAAGGCTTTAAATTCCGTGCACTGTCTTTGACTGCGTGCACTACATTAGCACTCCTTTATCCGCCTACACAACCTTTTATTTTTAAATTTAAAAACAGAAAACGATTTTAAATTTTCACAAGTTTTGCTTTCCGAGCTTGGTATAGTGCAGAACTCGGACGTATATTAGAACTTACTTCGGATTAGAGTGAATTACACTGATTCCACTGTTCTGGAGTACATCATATGATTTAAGTACTATAAGCATATATTATTACGGAAATCATTTGACGATAAGAAGTACAGTATGACAGTGCACCAACCAAAAGGCAGCGTTGATCGGTAGTATATCAAATAAAATGTCAAAGGTAGTTTAGCGAATGCAAGGTGGTGCCCGAAAAGTAGTGCACAGCATGAAAAGGCGTACGAAAGGTATTGTACGGACTACGGAGCAAATGGGGAAGGTAGTGTACGGAGTGGTCACCTAAAAGAAATGCAATCAGCAGTTAGGATATCAGATCGATAATTGATCAGGGATCAAGCAATTCCCGTTCGGCAGCCCTGAAAAGGACAATGGTACAATAAGGTACAGGTACTTTGCGAAGGTTCAAGGATCTTTACGCAAACATTTTCCTCAAAAATCGATAGTAAGGAGATAACGTCGAGACTGATAAACGAACCGACCACTATCCTCCTACACATCTCTCCGAACGTTCCGTCAAGCTCTAGATGACGTCAATTGGAAAGAACTGAAATGGTCAAAGAAATTCTTGCATATGCAATAAAGTGTTCCTGCATATGCAATCAAATCGTTATGTTACTGCTTGTAATTTTGCTCGTTGTCTCAGTACACAGACGATCAGTACGTAAGTGTCCATGCTTTCCATTTCTCCTGCAAGTTTAATTAAATGTTTTGAAATTGTGAAAATTTTGACCTTAATTTTTTTTGCGGATATTTTTCTTCTTAGGCGGGTTTTTGGTTTTATGCATGGACACCAGTACAATCGTCTAACTCACCTTTTTTCCACTACCAGTCCAAACCATCGCACTCACTGCATTCATATCACTGCACTCAGTCCAACACCAACGTTTTTGTCATTTTTTTTGTTTTCCACTGTTGTTTGCATTTTTGTATCACTTTCCGTCACGTTTGTTCTTATATGCAAAACTGCTACACTGTCCACTGCTGTAAAAGGGCACGACCCTCGCACGAAGACAATAAATTCCTTATTATTATTATTAAACAAACAGTTTCAAAAATAGCGAGCGTTGTCCCAATAGTTATCATCACAGAAGGGAACAGAATAATCAGCAATAATTCTTTAACAATAACGTAACAATAACATTACTGGTAAATGAATTTCTGATATCAGCAGATTGAATCGCACCTGATGATTCGCTCACGTAACGTCTGGCAAACCGACTCCCCATCGTACTTACGAAATGCCCGTTCAATTAGATCGTGTGATGATGCGCATTGGAGGAGAGGGCGTACAGTGTACCGATACCCTTCGCATTCAACCTTTATTAGAACAAGGGAAACGTTTCAAGTTACAAAATCGCTATGTGATACAGTAATTTAATCGTATGGGCAAAGAAGTAATGAAATCGTATGGGCGGGAAGGCACAATATTTGGTGCTAAGTCTTCCAGTGAGTGGAATTTCTCGTCGGAGTTTCGAACGACGTATCATATCACATTTACCTACAATACTGATGTCATTGTCAGCAGCTTCCTATAACGAATGCCAGCGTGCTCGAATTTCGCACTGACTTCACGCTCTAACAACTTTAGCAATATGTACTAGAAAAATGCACGTTGGCGTGCATTGGCAGACCGGAGCGAAGCGATCGAAAATCGTGTTTCATTGCTGTACGATTCTCGAGTACTGGTGATCTAATTTTACTAATTTACTAAAAATATGGCTAGCAGGCATAGATCGGAAAAAGAACAGGTGTCCTTGTGAGTTTCTTGTCACGGTTTCTCCACTGGACAGTGATGTTGCAAATCGGAATTCAGGACTGTCAAAAAGTTTCCGTCAGTGAATGATTACGATTACCAAAAGCAAGAAATACACGGTCACTGTGCGGCCAGATTGCAGGCCTAATTTAGTAATTTAGTAGAACGTCGTTTCGTACGAACGAAAGAAAATCAAAAAATCAAATCAGGATTAGAAATAGCTTGGCCAGCGTCCGATAATGTGAATAGTCAGTCAGAACAATTAGGCACAACACTGCGAACCGTTTTGACGACATTGTCAGCTTTGGTATTATACTGAAAATGAAAACCGATTAAGTACAGAAAATAAGAGACCGAAAATGTACAGAATAAGCGATTGGCACTTCGTCGCTAAGAATAGCGAGATGGCGCATGTTTTGATTTTGTCTTATGTTTTTCATCTTGTGTTTTATTTACCCCGTCATGAGCAAATAAGCATTCGGATTCAGAATACTAGAACTGTAGAGCACATTACGCAAAGATAATGAGGTGATTTACCGTTTTCTGCAACAGAAACAAATACAGAGACATTTTCTTACAGCTGGAACGCACGGCACGTCTGTACACATGATTACACAGACAACGGCTTCTTTGCATGATAATTGGCAAAGAATAAATTCGTTACATACTTCCAGCTATCCAGCTGCCATCTTGCCAGTGTCTGAACATCCCAGTTCTTGTACATTTTGCCAGATCCACCATTTTCGTCGACCTTAAAGCGGTCATGAAAATATCCCTGATGGGTGTCACTGAAATTACCACATGTTACACCATCCTGGTTTCTCCAGTTGACCATAACGCCAGGCTCAGCTTCGGTGATTCGAGGTGTTTTTGTAAGCCAATCCCACAGGTGGAACATGGACGGGCAGAGGCACCATATGTCGCTTGTGCATAACGGATTGTACTGGAGATTTAAGCCGGGGCGCCAGCCCGACTGCGTTAGACAGTCCAAGAAGCGGTTGTCCACGGTGGTCAGGTTGTTTCCACCCAAATCAACGAATTCGATGCGGCGCATGGTGAATAACCGGCTCAGATATACTTGCTGAACGTCACTCGTCATGAGAGAGACACGCTGTAAGAAATGAAATACAGTTGCAGTTGTTATAATTTGCAGTTTTTGCAACGTTTGTTGGCAACGTTACCTTAATGGTGTCAGCTAGTGGTATGAACACCGACCAATCGAAATGGGGCAAAGTGTTGTCACCAATGCCGATCTCTTCTACGCTGGACGTTAGTATATTCCCTGGAGTCGGCACAAAGGCCTCCATGGCGTCTAAGGCGATGGCAGAGAGTCGGTTACGCTCCAGTGTCAGGCTCTTAAGAACGGAGAAACCCGCAAACGTATCACGTGTGATCAAGGGCAGATAGATCTCCCGGAGGCGCAGTTGTTGAACCGTCTTCTTGACGTTAACCAGGAAACGGCCAATAGGAAACGGGAGATCATCGGGTGCCACCCAGATATTGCTTAGACGAATTTCAGTAATATTGGGTCGCGGCGGTAGCGGATCAAACCCGGGCAGCAGGCAGCTGGAATAGCATTTGTCCGAAAAGCGGATCCAATTATACGTTGTCGTTCTGTATCCAAGAATCAGAAATGATTTGTCGACAGGAATGGCACTAACGTTGTACACGGGCTTCCCACAGGCACAGTACAGCCATTGCGGGTCACAGGCTGGTAAGACGTACGTTGGACAGTCGGGCACTCGATGGGGGTCTTGAAAAAGCCCAGCGAAACCGTAGCCTACTATCCTAGAATCAAAAGATCGCAAGGGAAGATCTGCAGAAAGCGGCAGGATGAGGACGACAGTCGTTATCAACCAGGCAAATACGACATTATGGAACAGACGCACAGGGATTATTGAATTCATTTTGTATGTCTTCTTTCTCAAAGCAGCAGCGTGTCTCTTTTTGAGCATTTAACGCAAGCAGAAGAAACGCACAATTTATTAAGCAAATGGACTGCAGAAGATCCTCTGAATGCCGATAATTTCGAGAAATACGCATGCTGCGCATACCGTCTACAGTCTGATGCTCACAACCCGGAACATTACTGGCCTTACAGCCGGTACGGCATAGACCCGCACTAGTCATCGCTGAAAAATAGTGCTTTATCGGAAATATGAAAGTTCAAAAGTCCTGCTGCGTAGCCGGTAATGGTTCAGCTGAGGTTAATGTCGCAATATAAAAGCGATTGATGTAGCCTGCAGGTGCTTATTCGTCAGTGTTTTATGTTGGCTTAATGCTTTGTATGTTGCAGTGAACGTTGGCAATTGGCTCGAAAACTTAGCCTCGCGAAGACCCTTTGGTACCGGCATGGAAGGAAAATACCAGTTGCGAAACTTCCTTAAGCCCTGTAGAACGACGTTATAAAATAAACAACAAGAATTTCATTGCATTTTCTGATGGAAACGATCACCATAGCATGATGGTTACCTTTTTGAAGGCGTGTACGCCAATGCGAGTTGGTTGTCTCCAACGCGAGCTGGTTGTCTGTAGCGTGTCCGCTCCAGTCCGCAAAGGCTTCATTGTCAATGTGAATATCATTAAATGATTAAAGTTACATCAGTGGAACACGGAAACGACAACTAAAACTGCATGTACAATAAACATCAGAGATATAGTGTTCAAGCAAATCACGGATGAATACTATAGCTTAAGACTGATGGTGAATTTTTTTAAATCGTTGGAAATTTTATAGAGTGTGGATGTTCCCACCACGTCGCACCACCATTTGGCTATTCTCACCCCTTTATTGCATTTTTCATACAATATGTTGTTTGCGTCTAAAAGATTTTGTTTACAGATTTCATTAGCTCTGCCATTAGCGGTGCTTTTTTCTTTAAGACTGGCGCCACCGCCGGCCGATATTGTATCCAGCCGCATTTTCTCTGTGCCGAATGTTTTCGCGTCTTCTTATTACTGAATATTGCTTCTTCTGATTTTCCAGCTTTTGGCGATTTCGAACGCGGAAACAATTGCGAAAACGCCATAGTCGTAATCATCTTTTTGCTCTTTGCTATTCCATAATGACTCCGTGAAAGTCGTCACCGGTATGCAACGAGTTAGGAATAGACAAAAGAAGGTGTACGAAGTGGTCGCAATAGCCAGTAATGGTGTAAAAACTATTCCAAAAAGGTGGTGCGAATAGCTAAAAACATGGTGAAAGGTGGTGAGAATAGCCAAAGGTGGTGGCAAGGTGGTGAGGACTGAGAATAACGGTTTCCTTTTCTATATGCACTGCAACGTTGTCCGAGCGGAAAGATTTAGGTGGAGAAACTCGGACCATGATTAAAATCAATGTGACCTATTAGGGGAAGTGTACCGGTACATGGCACATACCAAAATCGTGGACATCTACTAAAGGTTTTCGCTTTCGCGCATTCCCAAACACTTATCGCATTGTTGTATGAAATTGTGTAGCCAAATCATTGGTATGCGTACACTGGCGTAAAAACCGTTTAGGCGCGCAACATTTGATTGAGAAGTTATGGCAGGTAAAAAATTCCAAAAAATTTAAACGCACGGAGTTGTAACAAAAGTTTCATGATAAATCGATGCTCTTTAAATTTCGCATGAAACACACAACCATGAAGATCGTTTTTAGTGCGATGCATCACCATAACGGCGACGCATTCTCTTAAGCACCAGCTTCAGTGAGTAGAGTTCTTTTATTACGTTCAAGAAATCTAACAGACATCTGAAGACGCAATAATTTCTACGCAACAGCAGTTTTCAGGGACTTCTGTTGTATGCAAAATGCCAGTAAAATTAATGCGGCGCGCGCCGACTGCAGGATTTCTCGCACATGATTAAAAAAGTCCAAGAGCAGCAGCTGATGCTGTTTCAGATTCGCCGTTCAAACGGCAATGCTTCGTAAAAGATACAGGGGTGCCGCGCCAAGTTCGGACAGTTTATCTTAAAAATCACTTCAGGTCACCCACCAACAAATTACTAGTCATTCAATTTTTCTATTATTACTGTATGTGTCATGCATCTTTTTCACTATGGGTCACGAAGCTGAGGGCGTGGCTTGCAATACAGCGAGATTTAAAGTAAAGCAGACCAGAATAAAAAAACTGTTCGACCCAACGAACATCCTAGTCTCCCTCCTGTTTAGAATTTGTTAAGAAATTGCACTGATGCTATAGTCCAAAAAAGTTTATGCTGGACTGTTTGCCATTCAAAGCCCTTGCTAAATTTGTCTGACTCCATTCTATTTCAATGCTGGCGATGTGACCTTTGCAATATTACTGGAGGCACTGCCAGAATGATGGATGGTGCCCTTTGAGAGCTCGCACAGGAATCGCAGTAGGTCGGATGTGTCAAGTATGTAGAAAGAACTCGTTGGCCAAGCACCGAGCAACATTTTAAGCTCTTTTTTTTGCCCAAAAGGCCTGCGACATCCCATTTCAGCACGTTTTCGCACCAGCGCAAAATTTATATGGCCACTGCTTTGTCGGTGTTTTCTCCGATCCTTCTGCCACCTCTATCTTATTGCATGCTTGGTAGATAACAGGAGGAATGCGAAAATCCTCTACTTTGATGCATGTCTCATTCTTCGCAAACATCATCTCGAAGTTATGTATCTCGGCGCGCTAGGCAACTACATTCTTCCGGAAGCACTGTTTAACATACAAGTCTATGGGAGGTGCATCTTCTTTCTGGGTCACCTCGAGCACCAACCACAAGAAAGTCTTTTCTGACCCATACCACTTACTTTTAAGGCCACTCAGCAATTTAGAAAAATGTCGATCAAAAAAGGTCACGTGGGGAATTTTCTAGAAGGTCAGTTATAAGCCCCCTGGAAATGACCACTACCCCATCCTGGTTTTAATCGGCTGAGTATTTATTACCCCATCTAGCATTTCGAAATTTAGCATATTCGGATCCGCAATAAAAAGTTACACTAGAAAAGTGCAAACTAAAAAGTGAAACCACGTATACTAATATTTTTAAATTTAATTTTCGCAACTGTCCGAACTTGGCGCGGCACTCCTGTAGATCACGGTGGCGGCCAGAACGCCCGCAATAGAGAAAAGGTGAAAACAATAGCGGAAGATCGTAATGCTAACCCGAGTTGACTTCTTTGTTAAATGTTAACCTCATTATAAATGTGCGGTTGAACGATATCGGCTAATGACACTCAATGCGGCTAGCCGCTGCTCGTACACATCAATAGAGATTTCTAATAAATGGCCGTAAAGAAAAAAAAGCATCTGCGGAAGCGTGGAAATAATTCTGGGAAGAAATCCACCTATTAACCACAGCAGGCAGAATTTCCAGCGAACGGTAACCACGCCGAGCTGGACCAAGGTCTTGCTCTTCTCCAGAAAGCGGTGCAAAGAGAACGAGTATAGTGTGTAGTTGTGTGCCCACTTTTTCAGATACCAAACAAAATAGAAAATCACGGCACCCAGCATACCACACTTCTGTAGGCGAATGCTTCTAGAAGTGGTCGATGTTGCGGATCGACAATGTTGACCTAATTTTGTTGAGCAGAACGTCCACCACTGGTCGGAAGAGCATTAAGGTTTTCTGCTGCAAACAGAACGCTAACAGCACCAATGCGGCTCGGGCCGGTCGCATTAAATCCTGGAGGTAGCTGAGTAGCGTCGACAGCTGTACTTCGCTGTGACCGACATTTTTGGCTGTCTCGAGGATAAACCGTAAGAAAAAAACCATGGTAAGGGCATTAGTCAGCATCCAAATGCACCACGCAACGCGATCATTCGTCATGGGACGCCACGCGACCTTTCATTGCGGGACAGCTAGTCGGCTGGAAATCAAGCCGCGAGACATTTCTTTGAGAGGCCGTTTCGATATCGAGACAATTCGTCACGACGCCGTTTCGACCAAGGACAGTTCGTCTATCAGACGATTACCTAGTGCGTTTGTAACGTTTCTCAGTGAGGGTTTTCAAACTGATAACCAGGCCAATAAAAATCCCCATTACATTGTATCTTAACACTGTAACATAATAATAATTACATATGTGAATACGCGACATACTTTCTCGACATCCTGTTCGAATGCATATTACTGTATATTAACAAAACTTCAAATTTGTGGTTGTAAGGTATAAATGTACACGTTACGAAGGGCTTTTATTAATTTTAAGAAAACTTATTTGTATACGATATATAAGGTGCATTTACAAAATGTATTAAGTACAAGATCTATACTACGCGCGGCGCCCCATAGTTTTCAGATCTCGCTAACCACAAAACTTCTGAAAAAATTGACAACGCCATTAGATCGGGTATAATCCAGAAGTGGCTCACGTGATATTTTTTTTGAAAAACATTCGATCAGAATCCAAAAACATTCGATCAGAATCCAAACGATCCAACCCTGTTTCAAGGTGACCTTGACCTTGAAACATAGAAAAATTTTGCCTGGATACAATATTTAACAAGAATTATTAAATACGCTAATTAAACGGAATAAATTGCCTTATTTTCGAACAACACCAGTTTGTCACCAACCGCAAAATCTAATAAGTAATCTCAACTCTCAAGCTAGTCTCTCGGCTATTGGTGTCGGCGAATTTCATTATGTAGAATATTGGGAGGTTCTAACTGCATACCGTATCTGTACGTATTACGAAATATATACGCACGGACCGTTACAAATACTGTAAGTTTATCGAGCTCTTCGATTTTCGTAGAAGTTAGAACTGCTCTTCTAAACACTTACAGTACTATAAGCCTATAGCCAGTGTAAGTGACAGAGAGACCAACCTACCATCACTGTCCGGTAAGCAAAATCTTTACGTGAATGTGTGACCAAGCTACCATCCCTGCCACTGCCTGGTGAGCAAAATCTCTGTGCGAATGGGTAAATAAGCTAACACTGCCACATAAGCAAATTAATACGTTTTGTGAGTGAATGATCGAGCTACCACCACTGCCCTGTGAGCAAATCTCTATGTGAGTGAGTGGACAAGCTACCTCGACCTAGTGAGCAAAATCGAACCGTGAGTGAGTGACCAAGCTACCCCAGTGAGCAAAATCGCTGGGTGAGTGAGTGACCAAACTACCACCACAGTCCAGTGAGCAAAATCGCTACGTTAGTTAGTGACCGAACTACTACTATTGTCCGGTGTACAGAGCCGTGTAGGTGAGTGAGTAACAGAACTAGCACCACTGTCCAGTTAACAGAGCTAGTTGAGTCAGTGACTGAACTACTACTATCCGGTGCACGGAGTACCAGTGCCACTGAATAGAGCTTGCTAGATGAGTGAATGAGTGAGTGACAAAATTATCGCTACCGTCCAGTTCATGCGTACTGCTCTTTGAAATCTGGTACCTGATAGACAATAAAATTTCGTGTTTCCTTTCTTTTCGAAATATAATAAGCAAAGCATTTGTAGAAACAAATGGAATGCGTCGGAGTGAAAATGATAAACTGATTTTTAATAAAAATTCCGTTTTTACGCTTTCACAGTATACCCATTATGCTTTGGCGAATGTAAGATGCTAAGTGCTAACTACTTGATAAACTAATCGAAATCATGCGAATGAAGTTATGCACCGACCGTATACCACAAGAAACGCGGAGGCGAAGCCGAAGCTGTTTCTTGTATAGATATGACGCGTCATACAGACGTACTGCACATGGGACATCGATGTCATATTGAAGCCGCATGGCCCATGCTCAAACTCGGACTTCGACTCGGACTTGGACTACTAAAACTTGGACTTGGACTTCACTTGGACTCTAAAACTCGGACTTCACTTGGGCTCTAAAACTCGGACTTCACTTGGACTCTAAAACTCAGACCTTACTTAGACTCTAGAACTTGGACTTTATGACTTGGACTTGGAATTAGGCGTTTCTTATGTTTCTCATGTCTTCTTACGTTTCTTCATGTTTTCTTAGGTTTCTTAGGTTTCTCAGGTTTCTTAGGTTTTTTAGGTGTTCTTAGATTATTCTTAGGTTTCTCAGGTTTCTTAGGTTTCTAAGGTTCTTAGGTGTTCTTAAGTTTCTTTGGTTTGTCTTAGGTTTTTCAGGTTTCTTAAGTTTCTCAGGTTTTTTAGGCTTAGGTTTCTTAGGTTTCTCAGAATGCCAAAGAATACCTAGATAATTTAAGAAATGTTAGTAATCTCAGAAACCTAAGAACACCCAACAAACCTAAGAAACCTAAGAAACTTAAGAAAACCTAAGAAACCTAAGAAACCTGAGAAAACATGAAGAAACGTAAGTAGACACGAGAAACGCCTAAATCCAAGTTTAAGTCATAAAGTCCGAGTTTTAGAGTCCAAGTGAAGTCCAAGTTTTAGAGTCCAAGCGAAGTCCGAGTTTTAGAGTCCAAGTGAAGTCCAAGTCCAAGTTTTAGTAGTCCAAGTCCGAGTCCAAGTCCGAGCTTGAGCGCGGGCCAAGCCGCGGCCCCGCATGAGTAATTCCGCTTCGCAGACCATTACCACATAGGTATGATTGTATAAGCAAAAACAATGAGAATTGTGCTTCTTAAATTTTAAAATACAGTAATTTGTAGGGAAAGCAGTAATTAAATGCCTTCAATTGGCTGCACAATTCTAACCGCATCTAATCGAATAACGGTGAAACGTATAACAGAATGTAAAGAATGATAATTAAATAATATTGATCGAAAAATTTGGTACACGGAATTTTAATTGGTACCGAATTTTACTTACACCATCTTATTAAAAAATTACATCAGAAACAAGTCAACTTAAGTGTTGCACCCGACTGTTCTGCTGACATGTGGAATCGTGATCGATTTGTGAGTGTTCGCTGTATGCTTACAACGATAATAATAATTCTCTTTCGGTGCGACAGGATAGCGTTGTTTGCCGAAGACTCAAGGACCGGCTGTGCCTATGTGGAATTGAGCATGCTTATTCTAAACATTCTTGTTAGTCCAAGAACAATTTACCTTCGTTCGCTTCGAAAATGCTGACAGCACTCTTGCTGTTTCAGGGTATTCCTACAAAATCTTATCATAACAACTTAAAAAGTTGCATAGTTGCATTACAATCAGTGGCGGTAACGAAGTTTTAGTAATATTAAATTATTAGTAATCTTTACGTGCCTCTTTTTCCAGATATCAGCAAAGCTGCCACGTAAGAAATCACCGTCTACGATTAATTTTCATATAAATACATGCGCACCGCGCGCGGATTCGTAGCTCATTACTACTGATTGACCTTTATGCGACTAGACTTAACATGCATTTCGTGACATATATTTTCGCTACTTTCTTCTGTGGCATTATTGTATGTCATGTTGCGGTACGTAGCCTATCATAAAGTTACAGTTTTACATCAAGAAATCGTCGTTATGTGCCAGTTATGTGCAGCAAATGGTCGTGGTATAGTTTTTGGAATGTTGCGTTGTTTTGAGGATTAGCAGTTTCTGAAATGTTGCGTTAGTGTGAATTTGGCATGCAGCTGATTATCTAATTACTTGATTTAGGTGGATAACATTCCCTGCCGTAATTATGAGGAGAAATGCGCAACTTTCTATTCAGTAAATGCCTGCTGCCCTGGGTTACTTTGTAGCTTAACGGACGCTGAATGGGGTGTTTGCAAGTATCCAAGTGAGGTGTCCACAACAACTCCAGCGCCTTTACAAGTGACCACAAAAAATTCCATCAAAGAAACGCTACCGGCAGCCCAACGATCAACCTCAGCGAAGCCTGTGGCAACGCATTCTATGAAGGCGAAGAAAGCCACTGCTTCCCCATCCACCACTGCTTCGCCACACCCGCGGTCGCACAACCTGATGAAGGAAAGAATGTGTCGATTTCCCTGGATACCATCAACGAGGTTTGCCGCTTATCTAATCACGCCAAAACTTGTACGTCGTGGGCAATGAGGCAGGGGAGATCGGATACTATTGCAGGTAAGCATGTTCAACGTTCAACGCTGTAATACAACCGTGTGCTTAGTTTAGTGTATGTGTACTGTATTGTCCTGCGCTCATGTAACTGCTAACTCAATAAATGAGGTTACCTCAAAATAAATACCTTTACTATACTGCTGAGCTGATCCGGCAGTAAGAAAAGCCTTTGGTGCATATAAGGGGCGGACAGCTGCGTAGGCAAGCACTCCCTGTACTTGCTGCCGTCCGTCCGGCTGGTATTTTACGTTGTGACTAAACATGGCGCTTATGTACCGCGCCTAACGTAACCTGGGTAACCATACATGTTGCCAAAGAGTCATATTCAAGTCGGGTGACAACTATAAGTACAGGGGTTCCATGCTTACCCATTGACAGCTTCTTATATTATTACTAACCTTACATTATTATTTACATGCAAATAATAATTATTACAGTATATTTTGATGTGGGATTATTTTAATTAAAAATCGACTTAGAGTAGAACATGAACTATGAATAATTCGTCATTTGTTGACATTCTGTACTAAATATTTTCCTCGTTTAAGTGGAATTTTATTAAGGGATTTTGCCCGGTACATAGTATCAAATTTGTGTACATCAACGGGAACTTTCGCTGTCGCGCACTCCCAAACACTATTTCTTTGAGCATTTTTCGTCGTTTTCCAACTCTTTCCCATTTATGTATAATTAGGCCTTGTCCCGATTTCGAAGCGAATCTCGCTATGGTACGGTTGCCCAACCGCATGAGGTCGCTATATGCAGTGGCCACGCCTACAGATACGGTACGCGAAGCCACCTCGCGAGGTGGAGTTGTTGCTGTATCGCAACGAAATTCGCTTCGAATTCGGGACGAGGCCTTAGAATTTTCGAATCTGTCGTAATCATTCGAGAAAATAGTCGGTCTAGAAAGGTTTGTTAATTACTACCAGTGTCTTGTACCTGCACTTCGTAAAACAGCCTTGGTTTCGCGTAATTCTTTGCAAGGCAAAGTACCTACCAATATTGATTACAATAACAGGGACTCGTTTTTTTCCACAAATTTTAACTTTTATTCGGCAATGGCCAATTCAGATAACAATGAGCTTGCGCAGGTAAAACTACTTAAAATGATAGGGACTCTTGAGCTCTCCATTTGAAATACCTATGTTTTTAGTGCATCTGATATACGTTGCTTAATTTTGCTTTTCGTTATCGTTTTTGTGTGGTGCCCTGAGGTCGTATATCGCGTTAATTAAATCTTTTAAATTGTACAAGGCTAGACACAGAGGTAAATCGAAAGGGCATGAATTAGCGGTTGAAAGTAAGAAGATTAACGCTTTCAAACGCATCATGTTACAACTAAAGTTTTGCTATTAACGGCAATAAATCTGCTGCTGTTAGCAGCAGTAATACTTTGAACTTTATTCAGCACGTCTACGATTGACAGTTGACTGGACCAGCGTAGACCTTGTTTAAATGAAAATTACATTCAGTAATAAGCACGCTGAGGTATAGTTCCAAAAGTGTTGGCAATAAAATGCTGGAGTCGTTGTTTTCCCGTACAAGTTATAAACTGCACAAGCCTGTACTTAGGAACCATAGAAATACTACACATACAAATAGCGTAAGAGTGAGATAAAAGCCTTTCGCAAAGAATATATTAAATAACAGCATTGTTCATTAGTAATATTCATTAACTTGACAGATGACCTATGGAGAATAATGTCGACCTTTCTGCGGGGTTTGAACAGTTGGAGAGTGTTGATGGCGCAGCAACGCTTCTTTTCTTTGCAACAAGGTCCGCAACATTTCCAATGGACCAGGGCGCCAGATCAAAATGGGGGCCTTTATATACCAATTCGAATAAGTAAGTAGCTGGCAGTTGAGCCTTGACGAATAACGTTTTTACCGGAAAGTTGTAAAATTTGTTATGAAATGCATAGTTTCTGTTGCGAATGTGTAATTATATGACAATTAACGAGTTAATTGATGTTAATGTTAGCTGGAGGACATGCGCTCCCGCTCTCTCTCCTTTCGCCGTGTGTTGCGAGTTACGTGAGTCTGTTGGTGGCGCTGCGCGTCGCCGTGGCGCTTAGATCAAAGCGGCCGCCGTCATGCACGGGCATGCTGTTTGCACTTGGCACTGTTCGTGTGCTCGCATTGCATGGTTCTGCAGTTCTCATTGCTGTCTGTCTGTGCTCCTTCGATATCGTGTGCGCGCGAGTGATCTCTGTTCTTTTATGCTCTGGAATCGAGATTTTTCATCTTCCTAGATCTGCATCTTGGATTTCGGAATGTTTAGCCGTTCCGCGCGCCGTGTTCCGCGCACCTGCGATGGCTGATATCTAGCTGCCATCTGTGCGATGGTTCAGCTCCTCGTTTATCGCTCTCTAAGTCTGTCAGGCTGTCACCATCGGTAACTGGCTATATCCTCGCCAGAATTTCAGATCAGCTCTTTATGCGTCATCAAAATCCACACCGCATCCGAAGAGCCAAGCCGAAGCGAACAGCTGCACTCAGCTTGAACGCGTTACGTCGCTCACACGTTAAGCGGCCCTCCAGAGGACCATCAGTGCGAAGGATAAAGCGCACAAGATCAACCACTGCTCAGCAGACAAGTTACAGCCGTCATCAATTATCTGCTGTGGCTAGCCCAACGGGAAGACAGGCCACGAAGGAAAGCTGCGCCACTTTTGACGCGAGCCCTTCATTGACGGCAGGATGGCCCCCAGCTACGGTGGCGACTCGCACCACGACGTCAGCCAAGCCACCGACGACGGCAACACAGACCTTCAACTACGGCTGCATCTCCACCGGACAGCAAAGAAGGACCAATGACGGCTGCATTTTCCTCGGACGGCAGAAAGACCCCCTTCCAGCGGCGGCGCCCTCCTTCGAAGGCAAGTAGGCTTAATGGCCCATCAATGTGGCTGCATCTTCCTCGGACGGCAGACAAACTCCCCTTCCAGCGGCGGCGCCCTCCTCCGACGGCAAGTGGGCCCACCAGTGACGGCTGCATCTTCCTCGGACGGCTGACAGGCCCCCCTTCCAGCGGCGGCGCCCTCCTCCGACGGCAAGTAGGCCCACCAGTGACCGCTGCATTTTCCTCGGACGGCAGACAGGCCCCCCTTCCAGAGGCAGCGCCCTCCTCCGACGGCAAGTAGGCCCACAAGTGACGGCTGCATCTTCCTCGGACGGCAGACAGGCCCCCTTCCAGCGGCGGCGCCCTCCTTCGAAGGCAAGTAGGCTTAATGGCCCATCAAGTGACGGCTGCATCTTCCTCGGACGGCAGACAGGCACCCCCTTCCAGCGGCGGCGCCCTCCTTCGACGGCAAGTGGGCCTCAATGGCCCATCAGTGATTCGGCTGCATCTTCCTCGGACGACAGACAAACTCCCCCTCCCAGCGGCGGCGCCCTCCTCCGACGGCAAGTGGGCCCACCAGTGACGGCTGCATCTTCCTCGGACGACAGACAGGCCCCCTCCCAGCGGCGGCGCCCTCCTCCGACGGCAAATAGGTTCAGTGGCCCATCAATGTCGGCTGCATCTTCCTCGGACGGCAGACAGGCCCCCTTCCAACGGCGGCGCCCTCCTTCGACGGCAAGTATGACTCTAGCTACGGCTGCACGTAAGGCTGCGTCTACTTACGACGGCAAGCAGACACCTAGCGACAGCTAGACGCACGGCATACCAGGCCACCAACTCTGGCTTTGCCTACCTCCGACGGCAAACAGACCCCCAGCTGCGGTTGCACCTTCCTCGGACGGTATACAAGTCTATTACCTCCGGCGCGCTTACTTCCGACGGCAAGCAATCCCCTAGCGGCGGTTGCACCTTCCTCGGACGGCATACAAGGCCACCAACGTCGGCTGCGCTTTCCTTCGACGGCAAGCAGACCCTTAGCGGCGGTTGCACTTTCCTCGGACGGCATACAAGGCCATCACCTCCGGTGCGCCTACCTCCGACAACAAGCAGACCCACCAGCGAGGCTGCAACTTCCTCGGACGGGAGTCAGGTCCGTTAACAACGACGGCGCCCTCCTACGACTCCAAGCAAACCCCCAGCGGCGGTTACAAGCGGCCCCAGCGGACGGCAGACCCCAGCGGCGGTAGCACCTTGCACGGAAAAACCTGACCGGATCCTGACATACCGCGGATCCTGTCATACCACGTCGGGATCATCACGCTACACCGCTCCGTATCGGCAACGTAACGACGCCGTAAAGATAGCCGAATTTTGCCTACTCCCAATGGAACTCCGAATCTTCTCCAAATACATCCGCAGAATTGTGCAAACTGCTGCATCCATCCCTATATTAGGTTGTTTGGGGTTTTGTTTGGGGCCTTCGGTTGCGCAGGGCACTGGTCGCTCTCTTCCGCCGACCCCCGGTCGGCCGGCTTCTCGCTGACCCACGGTCACCGCACACAGTCTCGATCACAGAGAGCACCAGCCTCCCAGCAGCCGGGGCTCCAGTGCCCCCAGTGGAGTCCGGAAGCGGTAACATTAATATCCGTTTGCTCGAAACTATCGGTACTATGACAAAATGAGAATTCTCATTTAATTTAGGTGACGGCAACAGATATCCTGCACCTAACCGATTTGAAAAGAGCATTCGGCGAGCAATTAACCAGATCAATCAAGCTATTTATGGATGTTTCTGGTTCAAACTAGTCGGCATAAACGCACAAGAATACGTTCGTATTCTCGATATTAATGTTTTTCATGCAGGGCACATTTCGTGCTATAATGGGTAAGTGCCGTTCATGTTTAGATACCACTAAGCAGAGTTTTTAGAGTATTAATTATGTTAAGTATTTGAAATATTGATTGAAAACTACTATCTTGAAGAAAAAAATCTGCTCTATTTAGAATAATTTTTCACAATGGGGCAAGTATGGCCGTTGTGCTTTAATAACTAATAAATTATAGATATTTTGGTATTGCAAATCGTTCTGTGCCTTGTATCTAGTACTTAATGTATCTGGTTGATTATACCTGATGCGGTGTGACCTGACTTCGCAGTCAAACATTAAGGTTTAATTAAACAAAAACTTTTTATAACAATTCTTCAGGAATTTAGAAAACTGTTTTATCAAGAAGTCACCCCATCGGTTCTTGAAGGATTGAGTCACCTGCACTGTCTGAGGCCTTGAGCGTTTCGTCACGGCATGATTTTCGTTGGGTTCTTCGAACTTGGGTTAAGCAAAAACGGGAGGATATTTAGGAAAGCAAAAGTGGGAAGGTCTCCAGCATCCCAATGCACATGGAAGATAGGCGTATCGTCAGTGACGTCACACAACGTTTTGCAGCACAAGTTTACGATTTAAAAAAATCACTTATTGATTTTCTAATTAATTACTAGATGGAATGTTCTAATTTTTTTTCGTCTAGATTTTAAAGGTACTTATATTGTTTTTAATATTTGTTTATACAGCTTTTTCGCTTAATTTTGAACAGTTGCATGCCCATTTAGAAAATGTTAAAAGTAGAGGATTTGTTTTTACATAATGTTACTGAAATGCTATGAACATCCTATTAAGCATAATCAGATTTTGTTTTCTCTCTCCAGCGTTTATAGGAATATGGTGTTCTGATACCTCAGCCTCTAAATACAGCCATGACATATGCCCATAACGGGCATATGCATGACATTGGCGGGTGTGTGATACTCTTCACAATGGGATACTTAAACAAAATAACAGTGTATAACAAAGCTTTTCCGCGCACTCCGTAGCTCCTATCTCTAGCACAGAGGCCCCATTTTTTGACTAGTATTGCTTATTCGTAGTGGTTTGTTCTGCTTAGCAAGTTTTGCTGTTGTTTTCCAGAGGAGCGTTCAGCGAGAACTTTGGCTACGACCCGCAGCAGGACAACATTATCCGCATAAATGCTGATGCCTTCACAGAATTTGAAGACCGAGTTATCGATCTCATGTTTATGCATGAGATATTACACTCCGTTTTTAACATCAGGCACGAACACACTCGCTTAGATCGCGACCAGTACATCGTGCCCAAAATTGAACACCTGATGTGCAACAGTAAGTTTGTCACAGTGTTCAGCTGCTTACACGCAATAATAATCTGCTAATTGTGTGAGTCGTAGTCATGTTCATTCGTTTTCTTCGGTTTTATTAAACTAAAACGCAACTTGGCTAATCTTGCTGTTTACGAATAGAACCTCCCTTGAGTAACGGCTACTTCGACCTTGATCATGAAGCTAGCATGGAGTTTCCTTATGATCTGCGCTCAATCATGCACACGAACTGGGATGACGTTTCAGTTGGTCGTATGGTCAACACTGTAGAAGTACAACCCGGTATTCCTCCGGAGTGGGGCATCGGACCACAAAAACAGGGATTATCGTTTTTCGATATATTAAAAATGCGGAAATTTTATTCATGCCCTGTTTATCTGAACACCACCCATTTCGAACGTAAGCCAACCGATGAAAATCTTTCTTTTACTAGCATCCAAAACATCCCACCAAAGCAAAGAACACAGAATGTTACTGTACAGTGTACACTAACATTAGTTTTCGTTAGAGGAAAGACAGCCGATCTATTTGTGGAACTGGATGGTCCACTGCGTCCAGTACAGTCGACCTCTGCCTCTGACTTACACTCGAACGGGGGATATTAGAGTGGATAATTCCAAACTCATCGACCAATGTCTTGAAATTGTCGACAGAAACCAAGGTCTCCTAGCCAACATAGATCTTGATTCCCGAACGTGTTATGTTATTTTTCGCCTGGACAAATGCGAGTACCGAGCCCACAGAGCTCAAAATGTGGCCGTTATCCGGAAAACCCACACAGTAATGCGTACCATTCATGACAAGATCATCGGGACGCCATCTGATATTGTTCCTGTGAGTACTGTGAGAGATCCGACATATGGTACTGAATGTCAAAGATTGTGCCAAATAATGCCAACGGTCTGTGTTGCGGCGACTGTGCTTAATCCCTCTACAGATTGGCAATCGTGCATTTTGTACCAGTGGATCGACAACTCCCTGATTGAATGGAGGGACGAACCAACTGCAATAACTTATGTTGCATTTGATTGGGCAATCTGGATGAGAGACGGGATTTACGATAGTTTTATCAGATCCTAAACTGAAATCGCAGAACGGCGTTATTACCATACAAAAACAACCGCTTAAAATGGTTATTTTATTAGTTTTGCTTTGCGCAGTAATTATTCCATGTTACCGGTGAACACGTATGCTTCGGCTATTGCCGCTTAATTTGTTTACTTATAGTGCTTACACTAATTACTGACGAAATAATCAACCTATTTCGCTTTACATTCGTACGACCCTTTTCGCATAAACCTTAGTCTGAACACCTCATTGCATGCAAGTTTTGTTGTGTCCATTAAAACGGATATATGTAAAGAATTTCTTTAAAGAAGAGCAATCTTACTCTAATTTAAACGAGGCTTGAACTAACGACAATTTACAAACGCCAGATGGTACGGGCGTGAGCGTAAGTCATCATCAGACATGAGCAGTTAGCCGTCACAGTAATACTAACCATTCCGTAAGAGAACAAGCAGTAACAATACCTAATACGAACAGCTGTTCTATGATTCTGATAAGGCCAAACAATTGACAATGCAAGCACTGATAAGAAGCGAGACCGGCACAAATGCGCTAAATTACACCAAAATTACTTGATAATACAAAATGCCCTTCTGTCCAGGCGGAATCATTTGTACTTATAGGACAGTAATTAATGTAGCAAGAGGCTTGATACAGTTCTACATCGTATTCGCTGCACCGAGACTTGATAAAATAATTTTTGTGCATATTTCCGGTGGACCGAACCGAACCTCTCTGGGCGCTACGATTCCATTTCATTTAATAAACACAGTGCAACATGAATGCGGTATCGAGTTTCGTTGCTGTTTTGCTGTTTTTTACTGTGAGCGCCCTAAAACCAAAGAGTGCCAATAAACACACGGAGCCTTCGCCGATGCGAAGGTGAACCGTTGGACCAGCACAACTCGGAACCCGCGCCATTCCCGAAACAGATTCATATTGGCACCGGAAATATAACTGGAGATCTGCAGGATCTGGGGATGCCGACAACTTACCAGTTGAACGTCGACTGCAGGCGCAGCGCAGTTGCATTACACTTCATTCTACACGATTACGGTGCTGATCTGGCAGGCGCCAGCATCCTTGTAGGTGGCGGCGGGGACGGTTGTGGGATTTTTATTGTGGGCGATACTTTATCCCCCGGCCTTAATCTTGCTGGCGATACATGTGGCCGGACGCATGACCCTACAAACAAACAGTATAAATGGCGTTTAGTTGCTGAATTTTACCCTGCTCCAGTCGGCGGCGTCTCATTTGAACCCTTTGTTTTTCCATACACGGTGGTTTGTAAAGCAGCGACTGCAATAAACATGAATCTGGAAGATCACGGAATCTCGGCTACCAGTCAGCTGGAGGTTTCCTGCAACGGAAAGAATGTGGTGCTGAATCTGATTAACCAAGATCCTGCTGATGAGCTGCAAAAATCGGTACTGGTAGTCGGAAACAGCGGTGAAGCATCCTGTACATCTAAAGATATTACTCCCGACTCGTTAACCGTCAATACGGCGGCCGACACGGTGACTGCCTGCAGCCGCAGGGAGACGCTAAGCAGCGACAGCAGCATCGTTTCTTATACATGGTTAGTGACGGTCAACCATTATCCGGAACCTCGGGGAACGGCCGCCAAGCCGTTAACTTCAACGCACACGGTGACCTGCGACGTGGCCCTTGATTTACCCGCTGCGGTTACTGATAACCAGCAGCCCGAACCAGAAACCGGCGAAAATGTGGCGGGTAACAGTCAAACGGTTGCTCTACAGTAAGCGCTTTAATTACGTAAAAATTCAGTTCTGCGTTTCTCCTAATACAAACTGGATGGAACAGTTAAGCCTGTTATAGACTTTTTGGTTGTTGTTATTTTCACAGGTTGGTCAAAGATCCCAGCAGCACCAATAAAGTGTGGCTGCTTACTCTGTCGCCGCTGGTCGCTAGCGCAATCCCGGTTGGTTTATCATACAAACTCGATACGTGTACCGCAACGCCTCCAAATTTGGCGACGCCTGTTTTTAATCTAATTCAAAATGGGTAAGTAAAAAATGGTGTAGTACGACTGCGTATTGCATGATGTTTCCATCAAAAGTATTTTCTCCGGACGCATCGGCTAAGAAGATCGTCTCTATCATCCATCAAGCAGACTTCCTTAATATATGTAGACCTAGAATAGTAGAATTCAACGAGGTTTTTCAGATGCATCACCCCAAAATCCGGCGTGAAAGCCACGTTCGATGCGGCTAAAAAGGAGTACAAATTAACCGTCCGTGCTTTTGGATTTACCGGTCAAGATGGAACAGTTTCCGTGCAGTGTACTGCAACATTATGTCAGGCCGACGAGGAAACCAGTTTGTGTGTTGGGCAAACACCATCTGTCACTGAGTGTGGAAAGATGTCGTTGGAAGCTCGCAATACAAAGAACAGGAATTTTGGCGCCAGTGACAAAAGCGGCAGTATCAATTTAGCGAGCCGCCATTTGCGATCAGTGCGGAGCACTGTTACTTGGATTAAGTCAAACTCTTTAATTATTTAAATTATCCGCTGTATCTAGCAACAAATACTAATAATCAGCTGAGTGGATAATTAATTAATGAGTTGAATGTTCTTTTTTAAATTTAGATTCCTTAGTCTAAAGAAAGTTATTGGTGAGTATGCATGATCGTTACAAATTATCACAATAAAAAATTCGGTCCAATAGGCAGGCTCACGGATAATATTGTGCTTATAATTACTGTGTTTAATAATTATTTATTATCTTTTAATGCGGTACTTCGTAGCGCTCCGATGCGGTATGCATGTGTGTGTGTGTGCCTGCTGGCGTTCGCTTGCACAAACGTATGCACAACTGCACAAGTAAAGCCGAAGTACATTACACATAAGCAATAAAACGTATCATCAGGTGTGTTGTCCCATTTTAATTTTTTTATCAGGGAATGCCTCAGAAAATTTGATATCAACTGGCCAACGGGCACTGGGCAGCGCGATCTCGTAGAACATGAATAATTCTAGTGTGCAATTCTGCTATCCGGGTCTCCAGCAAGTCTGCAGTCTTTTATTTCAAGGGGCAGCACAAACAATTGTAAAAACTAGCTGTCTTTTAATCATTAACTTAAAAAAGTAGTAGGTTAGAACAGGTAAATAATAAAATTTTACCAAGCTGTAGTGATTGAGATAATAAGTATAGTAGTGCACTACTTATGTTATATACAGATATATAATATATTGTACAACATGTACCGTACATCGTTTCGCTGTTACAGCTTACAAGTACAACGGATGAACTCTATAAAATTTCCGGAATTGCACTAAATCATTAGCTTAGTGAAAACAGAGTAAAGCCCAGTAAACAAAGCAATTAATGTCACAAAAGTGTAATAATAAGTGTGACAATGACCTGCCTAAAGGGACAATATCGATAAAATAATTGAGAGTATCATACTCCGCGTAACGTATAACGTACCGACCGGCTCTTCATTGATGATCACTACAACTGTGTGCGGCGTGTGCTGTTTATTGTTCGGCTAGAAGCTGTTAATATAGAATTACTGTATAAAATACTTTTTAGTTCTGACCACCACCTCGTCCAACCGTTCAATCTGCCTCCAAGCGTGACTTTGCTCTTTTCTGCATCTAAAACTTCCTACATGCAATTTACTGATCACCATCGTTCAACGAGCCGATGCCGTTGTATTAGAAAATATTGATTATTATATCTACTTCATAATGATCCGACCCAGCGTATCCCTGATAATACTGGCCTTTCTGGCGCAGATCAACGCCCAGAGTTATCAATCCCCCTCATCACCAGTATCACAAACATGCACCGCCGGTTGTAACGTCTACCCAGCGTACTTCAACGCCTCCGACTCGGTGATGCTCCTGCTGGACTACCAAACCGGCGTCCTCAACTACGCGCGCAGCACCCCGCAGAAATGGATCATCGCCAACATGCGCATCCTCGCCCGCTTCGCCAGCGCCCTCAACATCCCGGTGGTGCTGACTTCCAGCCAGGAAACCGGCTTCCAGGGCCCGATGATCGACGATCTGAAGACCCTTCTCCCCGACGCTTTTGCCGCCCGGATTCAGCGCAACGGCCCAGCGAACCCCTGGGACTACATGCCTTTCCGGGACGCGGTGACGAAGGCCGCTAACGGCCGCAAGAATGTCATCATCGCCGGGCTGACCAACGACGTGTGTGTGACGTACCCGGCCATGAGTATGGTGCAGGCCGGGTACAATGTGGTGGCTGTGCAGGATGCCGGGGGTTCGCCGAATAAGTGGGCGGATGAGGGCGGTCGGCGGCATTGGGAGCGTGCCGGTGCCCGGACCCTGACGACCAACGCACTGGCGTTTGAGATGGGGAAGGACTGGAGCACCCCGGACGGAGTAAAGATTGTTACCATTGTGGCTGAGGAGCTGATTATGAAACTGAACGATATCGATGGACCACGCACGTGAGCTGATGTTGGTATTATTCGTTTGGTTTTGCGTTGTTGTACGCATGACACGTATAGTGGACCGCGCAGAATATTGCCGCGTCAGTAACGCGTTGCCGGTGTGTGCGAAAACGGTGGTCGTAAGTAGAGCGAGTGCGAATCATTATTGCTGAAGCATTGTTGTTTCCTTAATTGTTATTGCTGATAAATGTTCGAGACTTTTGTTAATAATTTTGAATCACTGTTATTGTTATAATCAACAAACTATATGTGAGGTGCTTTGTCGAATTCAGATGGGCAATTTACACTGTTTCTACAGTAATTGTGCGAATATATCTACTCAAGTATACAAGTACTAGTTATGTGTATGATATAGAATGAGATTGAAACCAATTAAAAACGCACTGTCAGCCATTTTGTAAAATTCAGTACAGGCCACATAATTATAACCGTAGCCGTCGGATCCGTTTATCGACTATATTCCGTTCCTGAGATTAAGATTTCGAAGAATAATGATGGATATATTATGATAGCTCTGTAATAATATTAAGCAAGCAGCACCGTTATGCTCGTATGTGACCACACTCGGACACAAACCCTACGTGCGATGCATCCGCCGTATTATTAAATTAATGAAATGCAGGTACAGAAACAAAAAAATTTAATATTAATCTGTTTGCCGAGCACAAAAAGAAAAGCATGCGCAGACTGCATCGCATGGCCAGTGCACTCGTACATTATATGAAACATGCTATACATATGTAATACAACCATATGTTAAAATTATTTGCACAAATTATACGGATCATACGATTTATTCCTTTCAATAAAATTTATGAATACCCGTTATTTGTGAGCAAATAGTTCTATACGGTCTGGACGTATGCAGTTAATATACAGAGTATTGTATAGTACAGCAGTTGCACTTGCACATGTACTCTGCATACATATGAAAATTTTACGGCAGAGTGTTACCTAAATTTTAGCAAATTAAGAAAGTGAAAAAGGGTATATCAAACGATGATGTCAAATTGTTATTGCGTTGAAATTACATTATAAAAGCAGACAAATAGGAAGAAGTAGCTGTGCATTATAGAAATCAATGTCTACTCTGTTGTGTACGTAGGCTCTGTTCAGTGTATCGCTATAGTAATATATTTCGTAAATAGACCTTGATATTGTTATCGAGCTATAGTAATTACTACTAGAATAACAATAATGATTGTGTACAGCACGTACATGTGCAAAATCGGACATTGTATAGCTGCTCACAAGGGAAGGCTGCAAATTTACACCATGTCGATCACACTGGTTGCTGCAAACGTAATCTGCAAAACAAACAATTTTGTCTACATTAAAATATGATTACATCCCGTAATGACCAAGAAATTTCTTTCGATAAAACGCTGCGTAGTGTTATTTTAAGCATACTGCACTGATAATCTTTTATTGCAACTTCCATGCTCATTGAAATTTACCTGCATAACAAAGAGTCCGAGTAAACATCTGCATTACAGCATATCCTATATAAGTGTTCTATTTCACATGCGGAAATAATTTTTGTTCTTAAACCTAACTGTATAAAATAGGCGTGTGCTGACGGTTCCGCGCTTTCTTAGTCTGATTTAAAATTTAGTTTAGAGACCAAGCTAATTAGTAAATATGCACTGTCCACACCATTCAAAGGTCAAACTCTTCAGCCCAGCCGACAGCGTCATGCTGCTGATCGACCACCAACAGGGTACCCTGAATTTCTGCCGCAACATCCCTCACAAGATGATCATCCAGAACACCCGCGCCTTGGCCCGTTTCGCTGCTGCCCTGCACATGCCGGTGGTCCTCACCACCAGCCAGGAGGAACGCGCCCAGGGCCCGCTGATCCCCGACCTCAAAGAGCTTCTCCCGGAAGCATACGACGCCCGGGTCAAGCGCACCGGGGTGGCCAACGCCTGGAACGATCCAGCTTACCGGAAGGCGGTGGAGACGGCCGCCCGCGGGCGGAAGAACATCATCATGGCAGGCCTGACGAATGATGTATGTATTGCGTATCCGGCCGTGAGTATGTGCGAAGCCGGGTACCACGTGATGGTGGTGCAGGATGCCGGGGGGAGTCCCAGCACGATGGCCGATGAGAATGCCCGGCGGTTCTGGGAACGGGCAGGGGCACGGACGATTACGGTGAATGCGCTGGCGTGTGAGATGGGCAAGGACTGGAGTACACCCGAGGGCGGAAAGATGATCGGGATTGTCATGGAGGAGATTATTGGGCATCTGGATGAGATGGCGATTAAATAAAGCAGATTTGGAAATAAGGAGAAACGTGATGATTTTATTCAATTTGACCGCTTGTTTACCTATTCCCTACTTCAGTATGATGCCGTACGTAAATGTTACAATTTTAACATAATTGTACCGATGTATGGTACGTTGAATGAGATGCATCGAGGCAAGAACTGCAACATATTATTATCTGTTTGAAATTTTAATATATATAAATGTTTCGTTCTGTGGATGGGTATACAGGTACAGTACCACAGACTATAATAATTTTATCCTGGTATTAATTTTATCATGTAAACCGAGGACGTACTAAGTACGTATATGAGTTTAACCGAATAAAATTTAACATGATCGCTACTGATTATTTTGCTTCGAACCCGCATAATTTTAGATTGAAGCCACTTGTAACGTGTACCTGTAAGTGTCAAACGTAAGTGCTCATGTATTATGCATTATGATACCTGAACGCGAGTACATAAATTACAGTATTATTTGCATGTATGTACAATACACCTTGTCCATGTATCGCGTAACAAAATGCATGTACACTGTACAGCATCTGCACGTAACTAAACATACACATCTTCTTACGATACAGTAGCTTTCCCGGCAATAAGATTATTTTCTTATCACAGTTTGCCACCGGGGTTTTAATGTAGTATGTTTACCGAGCTCGACACACAAAGTTAACAGACAATAATGTAGTAATGTTTTGTCCCTAGAGTATATGCAACCGCTCCTATCCACGCACGTAAAGCAAATTAGCTGTGTCAAACTTAAAACAAGAGAACCCAAATTATTCTGGACTTTTTGCTACGATTAAGCCGTAGTTTTTTTAAAACTATCACGTCGACAGAGAAAACATATGCATATAAACCTGCTTTCGCCTGTCAATCAGTCCATAAACAATCCGCCCACATAATTCCCACCAACAAGACATTTAATTGCATGTGAATTGCTCAAACCGGTCTGGGCCGAGCCGCCGCATTCTCTCCTAAGCGCAGTGGCAGTATATTCTCGGAAGTCGCGTTTCCGCGAGCTGCCTCTACCGGGGAAAAACAGATGCCGGTGCCTGGATCGTGCATCCACTACACAAAATCAATGTCAAAACCAACGCAACACGATGCATCCAAACGAACGAGATTCATACCGGCAACAAGATGAACAAAGTTTTATCGATTGACTGGCAAACACGATACGACGGCCCGCTCTCACCCGTTTCCGGTTTGTACGTGTACGCGCATCGGAACGCAGTAAAAGAATATGTCAGACGTTCGGGCAAAATATTATTCGACTGTTTTCAACTGGGTTCATATATCCGGCAGTATCGCGTTGTGCCTTGAGGGTATAAACTTGGAAAATATCCGCATTTTACTACGGTATTTAATAGCCGCCCAGAACGTCGGTTTCATTCAGTTTTTTTCAAGGTGTATCGTTGTTCGTTGAAAAGATTAAATGAGCAAAATCATGAGTAAGGTGAAATATTTCAATATCAAAGACAGCGTGATGCTGCTGATTGATCATCAAGTTGGCACGCTGGGATTCTGTCGGAATATCCCGCATAAGATGATCATCCAGAATACCCGCGCTCTGGCCCGTTTCGCCAAGGAACTCAATATGCCGGTAAGTGTCTTCTGGCCGATCTTTGTAATATTAGTCTCAAAATTAAACAAAATTAATGATTATATATTTTTTTTGGTATTAATTTTAGGTATGTTTTCCGTTTTTCTTATTTACTTTTCAGTTTTATAGGATTTGGTTTCCTAACGGCTGTTTACCTAGTATTTATCACATAACAGTTATTTTTAGAAATTTAGTTGAATCTTGAATATGCAGTGTCACAAGATATGAGAGAACATTAAAAGTAGTATTAGTCCATACGATACTGGTGCAGACTGATCTGTGCAGTGCTTTTATATTCAGCTTTCTGTTATTATGTCTTTATTCTACTCGATATTATGTCGCGGGAAAGATGCTTACTGACAGGTAAAAGGTATGCTTACTTGTAAGTACCGTGTTAATGAACACGATCAGTCGCGAGTGTGGATTACAAGTCGTGTTTTCTCATGGTTGAGGGTGTTGTATAAGATGCCGTGTACGTACAATGCAGTCGACTCAATGCTTTTGTGTTAAGAATTGTACTAGCTAGTAATACAAAGTACTTGTGCTAATGAACTGTATTGGTTATCTTTTATAAAAACTTTCACTGAAATCACATATTCTCCCACAACTTTTATTACTTTGTTTTGCACAAAAAAATTGTATGATAGATTACTATACAGTACATGTGCATATAACTACAGTACATGCAGCTCTTTAACCGCATAACGTATAAAATTTAACGGTACGCACGTGATCTGCGCAAGTGTATGACCAGTTCTGTCCATGCACGGTATTTTAACAAAAAGGAATATGTATAGAGACAACTGAGCAAATTCACGTTTCCGGTCCTTTGTGTATATCTGGAGCAACAAGATTAATTATAATCAACTTTGTTGATACGGTTATTAATTTTTTGCCTAAATGACAACTATGCCGGTGCTGCGTTGCGCATTTCTACTTGTTACTGCATATACAGATTACAAAACATGCGTTACTCATAACTGACAGTAACTAGGTGAATAATTGTACTAATTTTAATGGTAAATTGCAATGCGCAAATGGGCTGCAGATCTCATAAGGGGACAAAAATTTAAGAATAATTTAATATGTTGTACTATGCTAACATTTTATACTCTTTGCATTGCGGTAGGTCCTGCTAACATCCAGCCAAGAAGAGCGCGCCCAAGGACCTCTGCTGGATGACCTGAAGAAGATCCTGCCGGAGGCCTACGAAGCCCGTGTGAAACGCGGCGGCATCGCCAACGCGTGGGACGACCCCGCCTACAAATCAGCGGTGCAGAAACTGGCCGGCGGAAAGAAGGACATCATCATGGCCGGCCTGACCAACGACGTATGTATCGCCTACCCGGCGGTCAGCATGTGCGCCGAGGGCTACAACGTCCTGGTGGTGCAGGATGCCGGCGGCAGCCCCAGCCAGATGGCCGATGATACTGCTCGACGTTTCTGGGAAAGGGCCGGCGCTCGCACCATCACGGTCAATGCGCTGGCGTGCGAGCTGGGCAAGGACTGGAGTACGCCCGAGGGTGGGAAGATGATCGGGATCGTCATGGAGGAGATCATTGGACATCTGGACGAGATGACCAAGGGCATCGGAGTCAAATAAAAATATGGGATGGTTTCTGCGGACTCTGAATTTTGCGCATCTTACTGGTATTGGCTGTAGTCTAAGTATTATAATCGCTTTCCTGTACTTGCTGCTTTGTTAAAGTTTTTTGTTGCTGGTTTATCTTTCGCCGCACAATTACTGGGCTTGGATTGTCAGCAAAGAAACAACTTGTTGTTATTACTGTCAATCTCTTTAATAAGACGCTTTATCCATGTGTGTTATCCTCCAAGGTATTAAATTTTCGGTAGGGCATATCTACGTGATGCCTGCGCTGCAGTTTGCACACACAGTAAAACGTACAGTAAGTAAAAGGTACTTTCGTGAACGATAATTTTAGCTTGAAGTCTTCAACCTCCCGTTGCCTGTTCGTCTGGCCTTGCTGTCGCAGTTTATGTACCACTTGTGCCTTGTACGTGACACTTAGACGGCTAGACCTACCGTACAACGGTAGAGTACACTCCTGTATTAAACACACTGAGCTACTATTTTTTTCGCGAGCTTCGGGAGCTTAAAACCGCAGGGCGTTAATCCTGAAGAAATGCGTTTAAATAAAATAAAATTCCAGTCCATATAAGCTACAGACTGGAAGTTTGGCAGAACTTCCAGCGGACACGTACAAGGAGGTGCCTAGTTATGTGCGGATTCGGATAAAAGTTGCCGTGAACCAGTTGTCAGAGACAAGCCAAAAATTAATGTTTCACCACTTATGATACCGATTGTGGGGCTTCAGGACTAAGAGAAAGGGGAAACTGACCAGATGGTCCGCGGTTGAACGACGCAGCAATACGTTTACCAAACAGTGTCACTCATCCACTGCGCAAAAGCAGCCAGCACTGGGTATAAAAAGAAAAACACACAATTGTGCAATATGCCCAAAAACGAAGCAACTGCATCATGTCCTTTACATATTATTGCATGCCTCCTTCCGTCTACCGCACCGGCATGCATATCGTACTTACAAAAGTAGAATACACAGACATCCACTGCCAGGAACACCCCAGGGGTCCGTACAGTACCACCTGCCTGTATATACAGTACCACCTGCCTATAATTAACTTTATAATTACTTTTAACTAAATTAAACAATAGAGTACAGTAATTTACATTAATTTCATTAAGTTACGTAATTCATTAGTGGAAACAATAGTTAATTTTCATTTTTCTAATTAACGAGTTAAAAAATACGAGTATACATGAAAAAACATAGTGTACGATTAAAAAACACACTGTACAAATAAAAAACTTAAATACCTTACTAATTACGTATATGTACATATGTACAAGTAAAAAAGCGCGCGCTGTTAGCAGCGCCACCACACCTGAGCGTGCGTGTACGGTGTATGTGTAACTGACGCACAAAGGCTTCTGTCTTGGCTAGCGTCTTGAAGACGCTATGCACACGGCGTAGTTTGGCCAACGCCATATCTTGGCTCCTCAAAAATTCTAAAAATATTAGAATTTACATTTGCGAAAACCCCAACGTTTTCCCGTCATCCCGCCGTACTACTCCTTCGATTTTTGTCCTTCTGCTAAGGACAGTGTACGAGTGTGTGTTTTTTCGCGCCTCGGTTGGTTTTTTCGCGGAATCCGTTGATTCAGGCACTCAAACGTGCCAGTTTGTTTGGAGATCTGCTGCGTCAGCACTGTGGTCCCGTATCGTCTCTCCGCGCGTGTTGTCGCTCAAGTAAGTACTTTGTACTTCTTAAATAATTATAAAAATATTTTAAAATGTGTGCGGTTTGTTTTTTTTCGTACAATTGTACGACTGTACAGTGTTTTGGCACTGATATCTGCGTTATTTTGCAGATTCCCAGTGTGCGCACCGTCCACCTGCACTGTGTTGCCGTAGTTCAGCTCAGCGTAAGTGCGAAATTTTATAAAAATAATTATAAAATATAAAAGCGCGCTTCCCTACGGTTTTTTGTGCCAGATGTGGAAATGCACAGAGGCAATGGTGCTGATATCTGCGACTGTTTTACAGGTATCGCGCCAGCTTTCCCCATCGTCAGCGCAGCACACCCACTGACATTTCCACGTTATCCACAGACTGTAAGTGTAGATAATTTAAATTAAAATAAAACGACCGAGACTACGGCATATTTCGGACAGTTTTGTTCGAAGTGTGTGTGGCAAATAAGCGAAAGTTCATTTTTTACTAAAAAATACTCCGCAAACACGTGTTTCTCTGTTCGAATCTGTTGCTAATGGTTTATTAGCACTGAACGTGTCTCTTGCGCGGTGTTCAGTAAATGCGCTCGGAAAATCAAAAATATAAAAATAAAATAAATAATCTATGAGAGCAAGCGTTTCTCTGTTCAGACACAATGCTGACGGATTTCTCGTACTGAATGTGTATCTACTGCGCGATCTTTATTGCTTTTTCCGAAAATCTGGAAAATTTTAAAACAAATAATTATGTGCACAGTTCTGACGATGCACCAACACCGTGTTATCGTGGTTGATTACGCTTTTAAAATTTATTTTTATTAAAAATTCCGGCGCTGCTCTTGGTTTGCAGGCGTGTATATGTTTTGGGATTTTGTTCTGTAGGAGCTTCTATCACGAGCGCTTGCTTCCCTGCTGTGCTAGCGACGTTTCCCACGCCTAATCAGTGTGCCGCACCCATCTCCCGGCACTAAACAACACCTCCGTGAGGCGCTCACGGTAAGCAATTAAAATTTCAAAATATTTTAATAAAATCAAGTAAAATTAAGTAGCTGCACCAACACCGTGTTACCGTAATTTCTTTATCACATCTATAGAAAAATTCGTATGCTGCATGTCATACACACTACGTACTGTACATCATTTACGTACTGTACATCATGTGTATTTTGCGTTAGTACGTATAAAATATCTGGTTTTCGCGCTGTACCAACACCGTGTTGCCGTAATTGACTGCTCTTTTAATAAATATATTTTATATAATATTAATTCAGTGTTGTTGTACGGTCTTTTGTATCCGTATATATGCACACTTTTTATTGCTAATAATATTTCGCTAAATTAATAAGCGCTCTTTTATCACAGATTTGCCCATTATGACGTGCGGTTTTATTTCCGTACCATTTGGACGCCGCGAACTGGCCATACCGACAGTAGTAAGTTTAAATAAATAAAGAAAAATCTAGGAATAGTGTTATGCGCTATCGTGTGCTTGTGGTGTACGTGCCTGTGTGTTTGCTCGCAATAATTGCGCTGAATAATTTCAATAAATTATTATAACAATATAGCAAAATACTAATGTTAAGGGTAAAATATTAAAGTAATTCCCAAATAAGTGCGATACATTTACCCGTTCACAAAATCATTTAATGCCAACTAAATTTCAATGGCAAAGCTGACGTGCGCTATTAATACATGCTATTCAATACTGCATACCGGTGTTACAGATACAATTATTCAGTATTGTATGTACGCTTATACGTTTATAATATCGAGTGTTTTAACAAAATGCTGCAATAATAACCGAATTTTTCTAATTTTTCATTTTATTTTTATTACATCGTTTCAACATTCGTAATATTATTCCCATCTTTTTAAATTTATCGAACCGTCATTATTTATGCGTACATGCAAGTGCAACTAATTATGTGCGTGTTGCTTGTGAATGCTTTATCTGTTTACGTGTTCTGTGTACAGTGTACATCTCTTGATTGTGCAGTGTGGCGTATTTATTCATGACAGCATATTAGTATTGTAAAATACATACAATACAGCGCGCATAAGTACAGTGATAATCATACAAGTATTTAAGCACATTAATATAAGCATTGTTAGCGCATCTACAGTAATTATTTTCATCTTCAGCACAAGAGCGTTGATCAGTTTACAGTCAAATTTTATATCATTTCTTCAAACAGATTAGTACAAATACTGTCGCAGCGAATTAGCTGAGTTACTCGAGTGTAAAGTTTTTAACGGTTTTCTTTTGTGCGTTGATCTGTCGGTATCCCGCAGAGATAAGTAGGATTAAGTGCTACGATGGCAGCATAGCTCTTATTTATTGTCAGCTGCGCTTTTTCATCTCCTTTATCGCTTTGATAATTTGAATAACTGTTTTCCTTTGTTGCATATGCAGTGTACTTGAAAAAACTGAAAAAATCCATAAAATTAAAACTTCGATTTTGGTAAGCAACTTCGATTTTACGTGATATGTTGCATCATAAATGCATACCAAATTCGAAATTTTTTCAAAATTTTTTTTAGATGAATGTGTTTGAAGAGTATCAGAAGCGTCATTCAGAGTATCTTAACGAGACCGATCGTGAACTAGTTGATCGTATGGAGACGTTTTATGGTGGGAATCGACGTGCATATATGCGATCCCGCAGCCTACCACCGGATGCACGCGATAGTGCATCTTCCGACGTTCTGGAAGAGTACGACTTCGATCAGGAGTTTATTGAGCAAGGATTTCGCCTTTCCCATGAAGCCGATTTTGACGAATATGGTAACGCGTTGTTACCAGATCTGGCAGTTCCAGTTGATTACGGGAGAGTTATCCCGTCTGATTTGGTAGCGAGCGATGCAGTACGGGCGCTGTTAATTAAGCTAATTAAGAAGTCCAAGTATTTCTGCGCATCGAATGCAAAAGATTTCTACAAACACAAATCCAATATGCGCATTGCCAAGAAAATTGTTGAATGTCTGATATCTGAATACGGGAAAATTAACGCCCATAAGGCGTCTGCTGTTGTTAAGTACGTAGCCGAACTGGGTGGTATGAAAAAGGAAATGCTGTTGAAAAATATTAAAGGTTGATGTGCAATGTCCCGCTGTGAACGTTGCGCTTATCCACAAAATAATACAATATATCAATTTCAAGGGCAGCTGCATTTATGCGCTTGCCATTTGTAGGCGTACTCGGTGGTGACTCAGATTTGAAAGCGACCAATCTCATGAATGCATCAGTAACCTAGTGGCACATACACACAGTAACAAATACAGTCAAGCACGGAACATGTGGACAATGTCCACGCATAAATTGTCAAAATTCATTTAACGTTCAACAAGGATCTAAACTTTTATTTCGTCGGTTCCAACCGTGTTTAGCTTTAAAGTGTTATACTCGCATGTTGTTCTATTTGCTTTCTTGAGATATGTCAAGTTTTAAGCTATGGCCCGGCCGAAACAATCCCGCCCTCGAACTGCAAAGGACACTTTGCACTTCCGGGCGTTGGTTAACTCTACGCTGCACGACTATCTACTTCCCACACCGGAAGAGATGTCGAGCTGCTGCGGGTTATACT